TTAAGCCTAGGTAGAAGACGGTTAAGGCCGTTAACCTATCGCTAAAGAAGCGCGTCCCGAAGACGACTAGAGCTACCCGCGTAATTTAGCTATTTCGCTACTAAAACGGAGTCCGCGTTAATGTAGCATCGGAGAGAACTAAGTATAGCCTTCGTAAGTTAATAAAGAATCGGACTAGGGACGATAAGAACTTTACTAAGGAGTCCCTCTAGGACGAAGTAATTAAGAAGAAATAGTTCGCTAATGCGAACGAGTTCTAGCTACGGTTTATAAGAGATAATAGAATAGCATTTAACATTAACCGGGACATTTTCCTCTAGACTATGCTATAGTACGTCGAGGATTCCGACGAGTAGCCTAAATTCGAGATCGACGTTCTTCCTAGTGCTCCGCCGAGAAGTATACGCGTCCGCCGCTAGGCGAAGTAATTAGGTAGGTAATAGGTARTTAAAGGATAATAGACTAGATAACGGACGGTAGATGTTAGACGATAGACTAGATAATAGACTGGATAATGGACTAGATAATAGACTAGATAATAGATGTTAGATGTTGGATTATAGACGGGAAATTAGTAATGGGTAATGGACAATGGACAATAGCGCGAACTTTTCCTGCTTCCAATTTAGGTGGCGTACGTTGGAGGCGATTCTAACGAATGATCAGTTGGTTGAGATGAAATTGAGTCTTGTTCTAACAYAGTAATCAGGAGTCCACGTTCGTAGCGTTTCTCCCATACCTGGCCCTCCGCAAGCTCCGGGAGGTACGGTCGGCTTCGCATCCATTATCCTTGGTCCAATTCCCATTGTCGGGGGTAAAATTGTCAGTCCTCGCCGCCCTTGATGGAAGATAGCCATATGGAGCTTCCATCATGAGCGAGATCGTCCACACGTAAGCGCAGCTTTGGTATCTCGAACTTGTGCTTTCGGATGGGCAGTGTCGATATGGCTGGCGAGGCGCCTTGAGCGAGCGGAGGAATGGCTGGCATATTGAAGGCGTCAGATGCTTTTACAGGAGGCTCTCGGAATTACATACGTAGTCGCCTTCTCGACCACAACTCGGGGCATGTGCATGGATCTGCAAGGTTCGGACGGATTGTCAACCCTAAAGACGCTCGGACACTCGCGATGTAAATGCCGTCCAGCAGGACGGACGATCAACTCCTTGCTCCTCAACTCAGACTGTCGCCCGGTATCCTTCGTGCCTTGTGCAAGGCTTTCGTCGAGCTGCTCGTCGCCCGACTTTGCGATCGCCGAATATAATTGCGAATCACGCTCAACAATCCGAGGTGTCGCAAACCCCCTTGCGAAGCCGCAGCCCTGTATCCTAGCAACGGCAGGTGCAGAGATCCACAACGCCGCGCTTCGATCATGACGGACACTACTTTGTCAACAAGCACCACCAACGCAGCCAACATGGAGCAGCAAGCGGCGACTCTGCTGCAGACGTTGAAACGTCCCGCTGCGCCATCCGAGGCCAAGATCCAGCAACTACAGGCGCTCAAATCAGACGTCAAACATTACCGCGTGCCGGAAAGCGCGCAGTCGATCATCTTCGAGTGCATCAAGGCCGCCATCACCCAGCAGGCCTCCGCGACCCTCGCCAGTACTGCCTTCTCCACCCTCGGCCATCTGCTAAAGCGACTTAACATCCAGGATGCCTCGGGTCATGCCATCCGCCAGCTTGCGCCGCGCCTTTTCCCGGCCATTCAGGACAGACTAAACGACTTGCGCGAACCTGTGCGCATTGCCGCAGCGCAGGCGCTTACAGACTTGTTTCCATATTGTGCAGGAGACGTGGAGCAGATCGTACTGGACGAGGCCATCGGTGGTTCCAATGCACGAGCCAAGGAGACTGGGATGAAATGGGTGGTGAAGATGCACAACGAGGAGGCCATGCCATTCAAGGGCTACGTCTCGTCAATTGTCGCGCGACTGGAGGATGCGGATGGGACAGTGCGCGAAGCTGCAAAGGCTGTCTTGATCGAGCTGTTCAGCAAAGCGCCCGACAGAGCCAAGACAGACCTGAAGAAACAACTGAAGGCACACTCCGTACGGCACTCCATCGCAACTCAGATATTGGCAGCTTTGGACCCACCGCCGCGAATACACACTGGAAACGACAGCGAGCCTGATCTAACCACCTCGACCAGATCCTTGCCAGCCGTCGACCACATTGCACACTTTGCTGAGACGCTCAACAGTGAAGCTGCGCAACCGCCGCCGGTCGAGACCGTGCCAATGGATCCGATATACGTGCACACTCAGAGGGAGCTGGAAGACACGTTCCGCGACATGCTCCCCCACTTCGAGGGCAAGGAGACAGAGCAGAACTGGATGCCACGCGACAAAGCGGTACTCAAGATACGACGTCTGCTAAAGGGAAACGCGGCCAACGAGTTCCACGGGGCTTTCATGGCAGGCATCAAGAGCTGTGTCGAGGGCATGCTAAAAGTTGCGAACTCGCTGCGCACAACCATGTCCTCAAACGGCTGCCAGTTGATTCAGGAGCTTGCAAAGACCCTTGGACCAGCCTTGGATCCTCATGTCGAGATATTATTGCAATCATTCATCAAAATGAGCGCCGCGACAAAACACATAGCAGCGGAGAACGGCAGAATTACCGCTGACCTGATTTTCCAAAATTGTTCATATCACGTACAAATGATGCGGCACATATGGATCGCCGCGCAGGAGAAGAACGCTCAAGTGAGACAGTACGCACCGGACTGGCTGAGGACTGTGCTGAAGCGTCAGTCGAGCTACAAGCATGGATTTGAAAGTTCTGGCGGGTTAGAACTCGCCGAAAAGTGCTTGAAGAAGGGGCTCGATGACGCGAATCCGAAGGTGAAAGAAGGCAATCGTACCGCGTTCTGGCAGTTCAGTAAGACATGGCCTGAAAAGGCGGAGGCAATCATGTCGAAACTCGACCCCAAGATGWAGACGGCGCTGGAGCGACATCCACACAATCCTCACGCAGCTCTTCACCAATCGCATAGTGCGGTTGTCGCAACTGCGCGTCCTGCAGGTACATCAAGTCGGACCGCGCTACGGGAGATGCTGGCAGAGCAGAGAAAGGCCAAAGCTGCAGGAAAGGTCCCGGCTCGTCCAAACTCTGCGATGGCCGACCTTTCCCCTGTAAAGTCCAGGACGACGCCTGCAGGGAGCGCCAATGCTCGTGGTCCTTCCAATCTATCAAAAGTTACAAACCGGAATGTCTCGTCAACATCCAACGCATCAGCAGCTGATCCTTCCGCGGCGACGAAGAAGGGTAGTTCCCTGATGTCAGGACCCGTACGAAGGCCGCGGAGGCCTGAGGTCCCAAGGCCCCAGACGGCCGAWCCATACAGTTCGAGAAGAATGCTCCGGCCTGAGACACCGGCAAGCAATGCAAGCCCTGCTGGGAGCCCTGGGAGGGGAACTGGTGCATCTAAAGCTTCGTTCGCGTCTTCAACTGCCCGAAACAGAGCAAAGGCCACAGATATCGCAGCAGGAAGCCCAGTAGACAGCCCAGTCAAGCGTAGCCCAGGTCTTCCACGTGGCCATTACCAGAACGGTCCAGATTCCAGGCCGACGAGCAAGGGCAGCGTTGGGWCAAACGCAGGAAACACAAGCAGTGCTCGAGATGACCACTTCTCTATGGCTGTGCCTATCAATGGAGCTTCAAATCGTGGCGCGTTCTCCCCGGGCCACAAGAGGGCTACTGGCCAGTCAGCGTCGATGGACAGTGGCATCCCGCAGATGACTGACGACGAAGGATTCACCATGGTAATCCCGGATCTCGGTGGAAGTCAGTCACGGGCACGCTCGCCTCTCGCGTACCGTAACCCTATGAAGGCTATGTTCGATGATGCGCGAGAGAGAGTGGGCAAGCTCTCGCCCGAAACCGAACGATACATACGGAAGCCAAGTGACGAGGAGGCTAGTCAACAGGGTGGCCCAGTCAGATCTCCCGCTCCTCAAGCTGAAGAAGTGCACATCTACGAGGACCCTTTCACCGAGGACGAAGCCCGAGGCGGGGCGTCTGAAGACCGCAAAGTCCTGGGTGAATTACCTGTGAATGAGAACGTTCGCTTAGGGAGCCCGACCTTGAGTGTTGGGTCGAACACAAGCCCTTCGAGCAGTCCGCGCCATGAGGAGTCGCAGGTTCCCACCATATCGACTCCTCAAGATCGCACAGATGCCATGCGGAATCGAAAGCTGTTGGACTCAGGAATTCAGCGCATTCGATCGAAAGCACTCGATGCTCACGGGTTCCGACGTGTGCAGGAACTTGTCCGGTCCAAGACCGATATTTGGGATGGCGGCAAGAAATACGATGAGCTCATGGCCGTACTTCTGGACTACCTGCGAACGTTCGATCGAGACGTGAAGCTAAACCAGCAGCCTCACAAAGCCGCTGGATTGAAGACGCAAGCGCTTGGACTGGTTCGTGCGCTTCTAGCATTGTTTCGGAAAGATGCGGTGGCATGGCATGGCAAAGCTCTGGTGTCTGTGCTGGTATGCAGGCAGGGGATCGACGGCAGTAGCCATGTCCTGGCGGATGTGCAACGAACAGCAGACGAGATCGTTCTGGAAGCTGCGCCGGAGTCATGCATAGATGCGATTCTCGCATTTCTGCCAACAGCCGCGGATGAAGAAACGTCCCCTCACTCTGTTGCCATGGCGCTTGGTGTGCTCCGACAGCTGCTCACGGCGGCTAAAGACCGGGAAATCGATCTGGGAGATGAGAGAAAAGCGAACGTCGCACGTACTACTGCAAGTCACCTGGGAGACGCTGACTCTGAAGTCCGCAAGGCGGACGTCGAGCTCGCCAGCGAGCTGTTCGATATTTTCGGGCCTGCCAAGGGAGAGTTCTGGACCCAGTTCAAGGGTGTTGATGAAGGACGGCTTGGGTTATTGACATATTACATTGCGAAGAAGAGCAAGTCTGTCACTCCGTGATTTGGTGATTGATGTTGGAAATGGGGTGTATGGAAAAGCGGCATGTACTCTATTTGTATTTGGGAAGCGAAGGCGCTGGTGGTGTTCCATAACGAAGCGAGCATGCTTGTACGAATTGAAGGTTGCACGTATCCCATGTCAATGCCTCTGTGAGAACCAGGTGTATGTCTGTTGTATTGCTCATGTGCGCGTCGTCCTTGTTCTTCGCCTAAGTACGATGGACTCCGATTTTGAAGGACACCATAAGCTATGGCAGCTAGCAAATTCGTACTCACGTCACGGATGTCAACACACAAGGTAGGTCCACAAAGCGCAAATATACCTAGGTAGCGCCTCACGTTTAAGAGGTTATAGTTCGATGGTGACACATCACCGCCCGCCCTTGAACGGGGCCCAGACTACCCAAACCCTAACACTAGTACTCCATGATGTGAAGATCAATGGTCAATCTCCAGAACATGTAATCGCGACACCTCACATGGCGGTAGTTGAGATGGAGCTCCACGCGAGATGAAGCACATAATGCTTGCTGTGTTCGCTGAGAGAGGGGATCCTTGTACGAGCATATCACCTCTCGAGCCGCTGCTCAACTACCTATTGTATGTGGAAAGGAGTGACAGCGACAGTAACCTGCAAAAGAAAATGATCATGCAGCGTCATTGTCGCAGAGTTGTGGGCGTTGGAAGTTAGAACTGATAATAGCTTAATAAGTAAGGTAACGCTACCTATATGAATGCTTACCTAATGTACACCCGACGACTCGACCTCTGATGGAACCTTGTCTTGCTTGTCATCAACCTTCCTTGAAAACATCCCTCGTCCCACCATCTCGGAATGTCTCCAAGCTCTTGAAGACTCGGTGTTGGTTGCTTTCTGCCTTCCGTTCTCTCTCCCATTGCGCTTTGATTCCAATTCTCCACCCCCGGCACGCGACCTTGAATCGTTTTTGACACGCTCGCTCCGCCTCTCATCACCACGGCCCCTGCCCGTACGCACACCCGACGTGAATGCAGGCAAAGCATGCACAAGATCTCCAACTTCACCGGCTCCGCTCGTCATGGCTGGGAGAAGATGACGCCTTCGATGGGCTTTGGACGCCAGCAGGAAAACCCGATGGTGCAGGCCAACAAGCGCGCAATGCCGGGCGTGTCCATGAGCCCCAACCCGGCGGTGCCCGGCCATCCGATCAACCTGTCGTTCAACGTGCCATTCCACTCCAATCTGGCCGGACCGGACCGGGAGGACATCTTGTACAGCAGCACTGGCGCCTATCAGAAGTGGGTGCACGCCGATGGCGCCGCTGAGGACACGCCCCACCATGCCCTGCCCGTGCACACGCGCAATGTCGAGACACTGCGTAGCCTTTGCAAGCAGCTAAGCGATAGCAGCGGCGAACGCGTGCATGCCACCGTCACCTCTTCCAAGCCAAAGCCGGTTCCGGGCATGCAGCGCGGCCCACTCACCGCACTGGTCACCAATGTGTGCATCTCAGGAGATGCAGACGTAGTGCACAAGATGCGTGCCAAAATCTTGAACGAGACGCCGATAACACTGGTGAGATGCTCTCCTTCCATTTTCCACGAGTGGTGCGTGCGGCTGACAAACAAACCTGTAGCGCTGTGAGAGCGTGGACATCGATCGAGAGATAGTCTTCCCCAAGGGGCAGGAGGGCGCACGAACGGATATCCTCAATCACATGGACGATATCGCCGACCAGACAAAGGCCGACATTTTCCTGCTCGAGTCCAAGGCGAAGCGAAAGGACTCGGACTCGGTCAGCTTCACCGGAGGCATGGAGAAGAGCATGGATCATAGACTGCGACTGTAYGTCTATGGCGACAACGAGAGCTCCGAGAACGCGAAGACGAGACTATTAATCATGATTGACCAAATTCTCCATCGCCAAGTTGATACCATTCGACTCGAGCTTTCACTGCACAGCTTGGTTGCGGGTCGCAACAGGAGGAACATCAAGATGATCGAGTCGTCGACTAGCACTGCGATCTACTTCCCTCCTATGTTTCCAACCGTTTTTGGGTATGCACCTCCGGGTTCCATACCGCTGCGGGCCAGGGACGAGATCATCATCACAGGTGACCACATGGACAACATTCTTCAAGCCAAAAAGCGCCTACATGATCTGGTACTGAACTGTAAGACATTTGTCAAAGATGTTCAAATCACGAGGAGCAAGGTGGATTACATCCTGTTGGAACGACTGGACAAGATCCGCAAGATCATTGAGGCCAATGKGTCATATGTCCTGCTTCCACCGCTGGGCAATCACTCAGGCGTTTTGCGAGTGCAGGCAACTGACATACTCAATGTAGAGCGCACTGTCCGTGAGATCATGGGTCTCGCCGGACAATTCTACAGCGCGTCTTGGTGGGTCACCCATCCAGACCCTTCACAGCGACAGCCAACGCCGTCCGACATCCGTGCCATGCTGCCCGACATTTGCATCAACTCCGGCTCGGAAATCACCTTTGAGAAACTCAACTTCCATATCAACGGCAGTGATGACTCTGTCAAGGCGGCCATGTCCATTATCAATACCTTGCCTTTTGTCAAAAAGGCACAGTCCACACTGCGTGTCAAGGTCGAGCTTGCCAATGAGCACAAGGAATTTGTGAGCGGAAAGAAAAACGGGAAGATCAATAAGATCATGAGCCAGAGCAACGTGCAAATCGTCTTCGATGGCTTCAACGAGTACAACTTCTACATTGACGTTCGCGGAGCACAGTACGAGGCGACCAAAAATGGATTGGACTTGGTGGAGCTAGAGATGCCAGCGTCCATCTCCTTCCACGTTCCGGACCAGTACCACAAGCGAATTATTGGTATCGGCGGCCAGCACATCCAGCGCATCATGAAGAAATACTCTGTTTTCGTCAAGTTCTCCAACGCGATGGACCGTGGTGGAATCGGCAAAGACGACGACGACATCAAGGTCGACAACGTCATCTGCCGTACTCCAGCTCGCAATGCTGACAATCTTGAGCTGGTGAAGCAAGAGATCATGGACATGGTCGAGAAGGTAGACGCCGAGTTCGTCTCCGAGGCTATCCCTGTTGACCGCCTCTACCACCGCGAGCTGATAGCCCGCATGTCGGAGATTGAAGATCTGGAAAAGAAATGGAACTGCAAGATCACATTTCCTGGCACTGAACAGGCCAGCGACATCATCACTGTTTCCGGCCCAGAGTATCAAGTGCCTCAGGCTGTCGATGAGTTCTTGGTAAGCATCCCTAGCGATGGCCACAGAGCAACACGCTGACCATTTACACAGGGCATGGTGCCAGAAACCCACGAAATCGAGTTCCCGACTTCGAACGAGTTGCGTGCATTCCTGACTTCCAACGAGTTTAACATGGACATCGCTCAGAGACTCAAGGAYCAATATGTGGTCGAAGTCGCCGTCAGTGAGCCCAGGAAGCAGACCGAAGAAGACCGTGAGATTGTTTTTGAGCATCTGGTGCTTAGCTACACACGCAACAATGCGGGCGGTCTGAAAGATGCCATTGACTTCTTGCTGCTTCCTCTGATGGGACGCGGCCTGGATCAGAGTGCCGTCAAAGGTGCCATCCCACGGCCTAAATCTGATTCTTTCGAAGACAACATGCCATACTTTGAGTCGAAGCTGCTTCAGCGCGCCGAGCCCCCAGTGACGACAGAGTCGCCTACCCGAGCAACCTTTGGCGACRACAGTACCGCACGCTCGATATTCGACAAGCTCCGCAAGCCAGGCAGCATGTCTTCCTTCACGTCGTTCATGGAACGTCGACGCAAGAATGGTGCGAACTCGCCTGCCTCCCTTTTTATGCACGCTTCGAACAATGCCTCCAAAGCCTCTCTCGTGAGCATGGAGTCCCGCGATTCGGGCTACCGTAACCCCTGGAACGACTCAGGAATCGACCTCGAACATGACCAGCAGACTGGTCATGCGCATACCAACAGTTGGAGCTCCTTCTCCGGCGCTACCAGCCGCCCAAACACCTCATCCAACTCCATCTCCGGAGGATACGATCCCAAGTTCCCGTTCGGCGTCAACGGGAACACTTCAACGACGTCTTTGAATACCCCCCCGATACCCGGTCTCGGCATGGTCAACAGCATGGGCGACACAACGGCAGGCGCCAGTAACGGCGACGTGACCCCCAAGTACGAGACTCGAATGAGTAACGGAAAGGGGAACCTCACGCCCGCTGACGGCTTGCAAGCGCCGATTTCTCGCCCATCTTCGACGAATGCCGCCACCACCAAACCTTCCTCCCTTGCGAAGTAGCACTTCTGGATACCCCTCGGCCCTAATCGGGCCTACGCAATGCTTTCGACGCGCTGCTTTATTGTATGCCTGGCATCTTGTTGTTTTTGTTTTTATCTGAGGAAATACCCCCAATGCGCGACGTTAACGGGACATGAAAAAAGCAGTGCTTTTTGCCAGTCTKATGGGACTGAAATATACCACTTTGCGTTTGCTTCCGGTTTTGCTGTTCTTGGCTGCGAGGAGTGGATGGTGTTTTTGTTTTTGCAAGCGCAGCCCTTGTTACATCGAAGAAACATGCGGTTTCAGGGGTGTGGCATTGCTCTTCACACTCCTTTCGACGACGATGATGAATGAAAAAAGAAACCAATTGAGAAGCATGAAAGTACCTTTTGCGAGTGTGCTACTGTGTTGCTCAAAATGATATATACAGTGAGAAATGTATCGTTGCATCCACTCACTCACTCTCTACTTGAATCTTGCGAGACGACCAGACGTCCCCCTGAGCTTAAAGACCACAATGTCAACACGATCAAGAACAAATCAGTTGACGACCGCTTTGACTCTCCGCAAGGCTGTCTCATTTGGTGCTYGTGGCTACCTGTTCGGGAACGTTGTCGTCCATGCACTACAAGGAGAGCCGGGAAGCTTTTGAGTTTTCGCGTCCCTTGTACGTATTTATACATGTCGAGCTTTTCAGCTTTCCTGCTCCACGCCGTGCCATGCCATGCAACGCGTTTTGAAATAGTAACACAATATGAACACTTGCCATCCAACCTACGTGATGATCTCGCCCGCGTCGACCATTTGTGCCTTCCATACCTTTCCACTTTTCCTGCCGTCTGCGCCCTCAACTTCGCTGGGTAAAACAATATCCTTATCAGGGGGACTGTACAAATACCAACTCCTTAATGCAGCCGCAGCAGCTCTAACTCGGGCTTCGTTCAAACTCGCACCCGTTGCCTCGCCCAGCTTATCGTCTCCACTAAAGACACCAACCACGAAGACTGGTGTTCTCGACAGGCGACCCGTCTCGCTGATGAGGCGCGCGACGGGTGGCTCGAATCCTTCCCGTGCACATAATCGTGAGAGATCGCGGGTCGGGTAGGTGAAATTGAAGAGTTGATGGAGAGCGAGATGTCTTGAGAGAACATGTGCAGCGTGGAAGTTTTTCGACGCTGCGGATCCGGCGTGCAGGTACAAGGCTCCTGCTAATGCACGAACGAATGAGGCCGAGGCGGCCTCGACCGTTGCAGGAGGCGTGTCCATATTTACAGGGCCAATGGTAGGTGTGTATCTTGAAGCAGGCGTGGACAGAGCGTCGTTTGAAAGGTGCTCCTCGCCGTCTGGCTCGGATCGCGATGCAATGGGTGCGCCTTGGAACGGCTTCGCATCATCATCGGTCTGCAGTCCAGGCTGGAGATCGCCAAACATATCATCATGCAAGATTCGGCYCGTCATTGTGCGCTTTCCTTGCCACCACCCCGGTCGTGTTGCATCCGTATTTTCTGTCCCCGCCTGCGGCATATCTTTGAGCCTGTGCATACCATCTGGGCCCATGCTGTTCCCTGCGTCCTGCCTCTTGAACTGTAGTAAACCAGCATCAACCTCGGGTCCTGGCGCCGCAACAATCTCTACACCCCACTCCTTGCGCATTGCGGCAAGTGTCGCAGGTCCAACATAGGCATATTGTGCGGCGAGCAGGACAGACATGGGGAGGCGCGGGTAATGGCAAATCAAGTATTCCGAGGTATAGTATCCCAGCAGCTCCTGTCCCAGGACTGCAAGCTCCCCATTGTTATATCCTGGGCGGGGATCGACCGAAGCATCAACCAGACAACGGGCGAGTGTCTTCAATGGCAGCTTGGTGGGCAGCGACAGACGGGCATGCAGCGCCGCCAGCTTTGCCGACCGCGCAGCACTCTCATGGTTGGGGAAGTTGCGCGAAATGGCGGCAGTCTCGAGGGTAGGATCCAATTCGATGGTGCTGCTCGGCAATGCAGAGTCGTGTGATGCAGTCAGGCGTGGACATTGGGCAAAGGCTCGCCGTGAAGTCGCTATTGGTGTCGGCCCATATCTGTGCACCCTCCGACCCAGCAAGTGTAACCGTGTATTTCGCGGACTCTGCTGCAGAGACGTCGCCCAGAGGTCCAGACGAAGGGCCTTCATCGCGCGAGGATGAGGAAGGGACAGGAAAGGGACGGGAATGAAGTTATTCGATGACCCTCAACTTCTGGAGGCTTGAATTCGAGAGGCAAGTCCGACGGGGAACGGCTCCTCCGCAAGACTTCACCTCGTTGCGCCCACCTCACTACTCGCCCTCCACACTCGCCCACTCCACACAACACACAACACACAATGCGGCCGTCACTAATTCTACGAGGGGGAGGTGGAAAGATTCCGTATGCTCGAATGCTACCATGATGCGCGTTGCTGCTCAGTATGTGTCTCTAACCATCTACACAGCTACCCAAAACACGTCTGGTCCCMGGCCGGTGGTTGGTACTCGCAACCTGCCAATTGGAAGACCAACACTGCAATCATGGGCGGTGTAGTATTTGGAATCGCTGCAATGACCTGGAACTTGAGTGCCGAGCGGGAATTCAGGAACGAGATGCCCAGGGTGAGTTGCGCTCACATCAACCTCAATGCCGAGGCCATTTTGCTTCTCCAAAGCAGTAGGCGCGATGTCAAAGGTTCCGTTCTAACAAGCCGCGACGCAGGCCGACCGATTCTTTCCATCACGATACTGGAGCAAGCAGATTATTGAGCACGAGAAGGCCGAGAAAGCCAAGGCAGGAGAGCTATGAGATTGCAGGGAAGATAGGAGCGGACAAAGCAGATAAGTGGCGTCGACCAAATCGTAGCCAATGCGCTGCATGTGAAGGAGCGAGAATTCACCAGGACGAGGATGAGGTGAGGGAAACGGAAGATGGAGCGGAACCTGTCATATACCACACAACAAACCCTTTCATGTCACCCAAAGAACGTATACAGTGAGACAAACAGGCTGACTGTGATCGAATGACATTCAGCTCGCGAGGGGGACTCTTTTGGTGATGTGATTTCCAAGACCTGCCATGTCCAGTCTATTAACTTTCTCGTACATGTACAAAGAGACTTTGGCCACTGGATGTTATGTCCAAGACCGATTCCACCAATCGAAGTCTAAAGTTTAGCCTTCAACTCAGCGCTCATAATCTCCTTGATGTCCAGAGCCGCTTGGTTGAGGAAGAAAGCCATGCGCTCGGATCCCAAGCCCTTGCTCACAACATTGAACTGCACGCTCTCCTCGTTGATCATGTATGCGATACTGCGAGAGTGTTAGCAATGGGTTCAGGCTCACTCAAGATGCAGTTAACTCACCCCCAACCATCATCAATAACCTGACTCCATCCGTACCCGTTGTAGTACTCGGAGCTCAATTGACTGCTGGAAATGTACCAGCTGCTGGAGTATGTGTACGCAGGATCGTTGAAGATCTCCGGTACGGGCTCTCCCTCTTGCAGAAGCTTCTTCAATCCGAACAGATGTCTGTCCACGCCCTTGCCGTCGCTAGCAGCAGAGATGTACTCTCCGTGGGCTGCCAGTGCCTTTCGGAAGAGGTTTCGGCAATCCTCCGCGGTCGCATTGGGGTTCGCCATGGCGTTGCAGAAAGCCACGCTTTCATCGCTCACAGTACGGCAAGTCTCGGTGCGACCTTCCTGGAAACGACGTGTAGCGGCACTTTCATATGTAGGCCTGTTCTTACCGTAGAATTTGTGGTAGGCGAGCTGGATGACCATCTGCACATAGGCATCCGGCGAGCACTTGAACTTCTTCATCAGACCCTTGCCATATCCCTGAAATGCCTCGACTCGCAGCTCGTGCTGGCCTATCAGGCCAGCGTGGTCTGAAGTCGCCTTTGCCACGTCCGAGTAGTTTTCTCCGCTCAGCTTGAAGCGAAGAGGCTGGGGGTCGGGAATGTCGGAGCGAAGGGTAACGTTCTCAAAGTCGAGCTTGTCGTTGAAGATCCAGTGCATGATGGTGTCATTCAAGCGGTGCGTGGGCGTTCCGTCCATCATCGAGTGCTCACCGGTGAAGCCAGAGGTACCGTTGTCGTTGATGATGAACTGAATTRGCTTGTCGAACCACCGGTTGGAGCCATCGCCGTGCCAGTATTGGCGCGAGCGTTCGTGAAGAGTGACGGGTTTCGCATCGTCGAGACAGATGACGAACGATGCCGCCTCGATGGCTTCAAGGGTTGCCTTGTTACCAGGGTCGGACGAGAGCAAACGCGCACGCATGTCGGTCCAGACATCGCGGTTCTCCGTGGTCATCACACCGATTGCTGGTGCCCTTTCCGCCATTTCGTAGACCCGCTGGAATTGATGTTCGAGCTCTTTGGCGCTAAGCTGCCTGCCGTTGTGGTGGGTCGGGACCTTGAAGAAAGCGTTCTTGCGGATGACGAGCACATATTGGTGGTCTTGGTAAGAATACTTGATGGGGTAATCGGCAGGCTTTGCGGGTATGCGACAGGCGTTGAACATCCAGTGGTAAGAGCTCATTGCCATGGGCAGTTTTTTCATGTACTCAGGCTCGAGCGAGCCCTCGTCAACCTGTTTCTGGAATTCCAGCGAAGCGAAGGTGATCGCAGCAGCACGCTTGGCTGGATCTCTACGTTTTCGGTCGTCACGGTGACTGTAAAAGTATGACACGTAGGGGACGACGGGGTCGCGGTAGCCCAGATAAGCAGCGTTGTTCCACCACTCCGAAAGCCAATTCTTGTGCTTTGGATCGTTTGCACGGCTCACAAGTCGGTCTTGTAGTTTGTGTCCAACTGCGCCGGGCTTCACAAAAGCTTCAACGGCCATCTTTGTGTTCTCGTACTCGGCCGCCGATAGCAGGGCGTGCACCGACTTGAGGTATCGCTTGGAGGTCTCCTCGAGGGTTGGGACGGGTAAGCGGGGGAGGGAGTCCTCATATCTAAGCATGGCACCTTTGGAGTGGTCCTCCTTGTAGCCTGGCCATGGTCAATGTGTGTTGCTCCTCTAGGCGGACAATGAAGGGGGAGCACATACTTGCCGGGAGGCCACTGTTCTTCCGCTGCTGGGGAGCCATTCTGATGTTCTGCATGCGCAAAGATCAGTACTCCATCCAGGAAACGGCAACGACAGTGAAGTTCGGGGGTGGTGCACTCACGCTGGCAGCTAGTCCTCTCTGAAGCGTTGTGGGAGCAGTAAAGAGGGCTCGCCTTCTAGCAACTGCGCCAAACATCCCAAGGACAAGATGGGTAAAGAGTGAAGGGCAGGAGATCGGTTATAGAAAAAGCTGTCGGCCGACGTATGGCGTCGTCTGCGTGCAGCTTGTCGCCCGGCACGTTTCCGTTTCAGTTCCAACCTCGGCTTCGCGTGATGGATCTACTCTCAAGCGTTCTCCAGACCGACCGGGGCCCTTGCTTCTGTGAACTCGCCTGTAACTTGCAACTCTTCACGTGCGTAGTTGCGACGGAATTTCGCAGGATAAGAGCAGATTCTTGAGATGCTGATAGTACAGGCCGGTTAGCGTTGGGTGATTGCTCAAGCGATAAGATCAAGGTGTTGTCACAGTCTTTCGTTGCCGTGTGACGTTAAAGCACGCGCCAATTGTCCCCGGATCCAAAAATCCTCCACACCAAGGTATCCTTCCTCAGGAGTCTTGGCCTTTGTTACGGCCGGGATGCACTTCTCGCCGACCTCGTCCGAGAGATGTGCGTGCTCACTTTTGTCAGATGACGAAAGCCAAGGGTAGTGTCCCGATGTATGTGGTTTGCGATGTCGACGAGGAGCATGACCTTTTGGGCCGGCCAGCAGGATCAGCAGAAATATCCCCATCCCGAGGCTGGTTGTACGACCGGACCTTATCCTGGGAGCACGAGAACTTATGCGTGAGGTTTCCGAGACGCTCGCGCATTGAACAATAGATCATCTACACCACTCATGCATGGGATCCGATTAGACAGACATTCGCTGTGGAAGATGTGTCAGAGACGAAAAGTGTTTGGAACCGCTATAACTACATTTTTACACAAGAGCTCTACGCTTCCAATACCCTTCGGTCTGGTACATGTCTGAGCGTGGCCATGAACGCTAATGCGCTTATGGGTTCGCCTTGACCCACTTCTCACCCTTCTCGATGTTGGTCTTGAGGTCCTTCAAACATACATCAAGGAGGCCTTGCTCGTGCTCAGTGACCTTGCCAACGGGGTGAATCTCCTCGACGCCGTTGGGGCCGAGAGTTACGCTCGATGAAAAGTAAGTGACGCCCTGGTCCTTGTACAGGGGTGAATCGACGTAGGTCTGCTCGACAACGCCCTTCTGGCCCTGGGCGGCCTTGAGGAGCGACTCGGTGAAACGAGCACCGGCCATGGCCATGGAGAGGGTAGCGGAGCCGGCACCGTCCTTTGCCTTGACAACCTCGTCACCACCGAACTGCACACGCTTGATGAAGGTGGCGAGCTCCTCGCCGGTCAGCTCATGACCAGACTGGCTGAGGAGTGGGACGATGGTCTCGCCGGAGTGTCCACCAACGACGACAATGTTCTCGGTAGCTGGGTCGGTGTTCTTGATCTGCGAGATGAAGCGGCTGGCGCGGACAACATCGAGGGTGGTCACACCAAAGAGCTTCTTGGGGTTGTAGACACCTGCGGCCTTGAATACCTCGGCGGTGATGGGCACGGTGCTGTTGACTGGGTTGGAGATGATGAGCATGGCGGCGTTGGGCGCGTGCTTCGCGGCGGCCTTGGCGAGGTCGCGGACAATAGAGGCGTTGGTGTTGAAAAGGTCGTCGCGGGTCATGCCTGGCTTGCGTGGAACACCAGCGGGGATGACCACGATCTCGGCACCCTTCAAGCAGGCGCCGAGGCCCTCTGGGGTGGGCTCGTAGCCGGTGACCTTCGATTCGTCAATATGCTGTACGTACGCATCTGGTCCATGTCGATGTCCATATCAACGATCTGCAACATACAGTGCTCTTTGTGTTGATGTGTCCAACATCAGCGGCGACACCTGGGCCACCCTTGATGTCGTAGAGGGCAAGCTCGCTGACGCGTGGGTTCAGCTTGAGGAGGAGAGACAGCGGCTGGCCGATACCACCGCCAGCGCCGAGCACGACAACCTTGGAGAGCTGCGACACAATTCCTATTAGCTATGCAAAGCATTGAGCCGCGGCGACAACGCTACTCACGTCGGCGGAAGTGGCGGAGAAAGCTCTGCGCTGGGCAGCTGCGCCCAAGACGGACTGTGACACCTTGCGAGCAGCGAACATGATGACGGTTATGTGTATAGAGGTGATGTGGGTTGGTGTTGTGGTTGACTCTGGTTGCTTTCCATCGCCAAAGACTTCGTAGAATCTTGGTCGAATGCGAAGCTTTGACCCTCGGACACTTTGGCCGATGACGGATGACCGTACGGCCGAGCGGCCGAGGAGCAAAGTACCTACCTCAACCTCAAGATCCTCAACCATCTTACACGTCAATCACCACGCACGAGCATCTCAACTTCTCCTTAAGCGGAGCGGCAACCTCACTGTTGAGACATTTGCAAGTACATGTAATCACTCTCATTGTGTAACCACCCAATCGACACAGCGATGGGACCTGAAATGAGATGCAGGTGGTAAGGTAATAATTTTGGTCTCTTCCGTTCAACATTATCCATTCCCTTCAAAGGGAGGGGTATCAAGATGCCATCTATTCTGCTGTATTCCATTCTGTCCATCTCCCCGCCTCGCTTCCTCAAATTCCATTCCCCCTCCCAATTACACTTCAAGTCTTAACTTGGCCACTTCCCACGAGAAAGCACTCAGAAGACAAACCAGTCTCCAGGAAAAGCATAACTTTTACTTCTCCAAAACTCCGGCAGCGGTGCAAACCAGCTGCTTCTCAGAAAAATGCATATTTCCGGAATGCAACAAACTTTTGGTCATTATCGTCGTTGAAATGAAGGTCTCTATTTCATGGTGGCCAAGAGAACGAGGCATTCTGGGTTGAATCGATTCGCCTTTCGGCTGGATTGTTTCTGGCCGGCGGATTCGAATTCCACAGAGTTATTCCGTGTTGATGGGGAGGAAGTGTCCTTGTTTTGGCGAGTGCTGGCTGAAGGAGTGGACTTCGCCTTGACGGACGACGCGGCCGACTTGTTGGAAGTGGAGAAGAACATGTCGGCGGTTTCCTGTCGTTGCTGGATGCGGAACATAGTCTTGGTGGAGGCTGAGTGAGTGTAGATTGGATGCCGGTAGACAAAGCTGATGTAGTAGTGACTGTGTGGTTGCTGATGCTGATAGAATTTCTCTGCAGCACGATCTCTTCCTGTACTTATACGACTTCCCGTCCGTCATCAGAGAGTCCAAGCGTATTGGTGTACACGCCTTGCAGAACACGCCTCCCTGATCGAAACACTGATCGATGAACACAGCCCGCAAGCCGGCGTCAACTAGGCATCTAGTCAACGACATGCACCCGCATTCACGAAGAAGTATTGGACAACGAGTACGCCTCAATGACCTATTTTGGACTCTGCACAATTTGCAAAGAAACTTCGAGGCCGTGAACGGGTCATGCCCTGTGGTATTTCTGACGACCATCAAAGAAAGCCGAAGCAAAGCGTCTTGCAGCCCAGAACGACGAGTTCCCAGACGTAACAGCGTAGCATCGTTGGGCGGACCGTCATCCGACGCTAGGGAGTTTCTCTATGCATCTCGGAGTTCGCTGGGAAAAGCTTGCGCATTCACTCCACCGCAAGCATCGACATCGAAGCATTCCGCTCATCGAAACATATTCTCATATTTTCGATTCGATTCGCAGATGTTGAAAGCATCGGAACGTCGTATTTGAAAATTGAAAATTTCAACGCAAGGCTGAGCTGGCTGTGCTGGATGATGAATTCCTCAAGGTCACCCACAGGGGATTCGAACTCCGTCTCCACGCCGGAATGAAATTTTACACTGCTTGAAATGGAACATTCTTACGTATTTCGAAACGCTAGAACCATCTGCCTCACATCGTCAACACCGAAAAATCACATGCTGGGATCTCCATCGCGCTTCGCATCGGTTGAAGGAATTGCTTGTCGAAGGTTCGACGAAGGAAAATTTCGGTCTTCGAGAGACATGTTGACACGTTCACATACCTGCTCAGGCCACTGCCACACTCACTACTCTGCGTTTTGTGATTTGATAGATTGGTATCGTATTAGCGAAGTCTTTTCACATACCATTCTAATAGACATCCATCTATGGGCTACCTAACCGCACCAGTCGTGAAAGGTCTATCATGCATCATCTCGATGGTGAGCTTGTGCTTGGAATGCCAGATCCATCAAGCGTTTCGAAAGCAACGACTCGTTYGGATACCCGCTTCTACGCTCTCGACTTCTGTCCCGCCGAAAGTTGAAAGGGTCCTCGAGCATAGAGGAGTTCTTTGGAGCATACCTATCCGAAGCGGGCGACAGAAGCGGAGGTCGAATCGAAGCGGTGCTCTGTGACCCCGTGTCGTTGTCGAAAGTCTCCGCCGGCCGAGATTCCAGGACAGGCGGCGCATCGAATTGCCGCGGCATGGTTGGCACTGCATTCGGCATGTCGTGTCGCGCTTTGCCGCTGTATTCCCCTCGGGGAAGGGATTGGACAAATTTCTGCGCGTCGAGCGGGCGCTGCGATTCGAACGCCGTTTGTGCGGGTTCAAGCCCGCTGCATCTTCGTGTGCGGTCCTCAACAGAGACATGAACTCCACTCAAAGAATCTCGTCCCGGTTTGTAAGCGCTGAATCTGGGCTCAGGGAGTTGGAGCTCATTGCAGAGTTTCTCCTTGCCGTCCGGTACCCGGTTCGCGAAGACGACCCTGACGGATTTGTACAGAAAATGCCTTCCTTTGGAAGGACAACAGATGTGTAGGTGGATGAGATATCTCAGCGTAGGCTTGTCCTGTGAATCGCCGGTTGAGCCCCTAGCAGCTTCCGATATATCGCTCCCTATGTTCTGACGGGATGAAAGCGGCAATTCGATAATTGGGCCAGCAGAATAGCTGCGCTGTCGTATAAAAGTCTTCTGCCCTGGTTCCATATCGGTAAGATCGTACGGGATSAGGAAAAGCTTCACGGCGGTCTTGTTCGGGTTTTTGATCACGATCTGAAGCTGGCCTTGTTGTGGTATTCGGTAGCTGCCTCCAGGCGGAGCTTTGGGAGAGCCCGACCTTCTTTTGTCCTTCTGTCGTCGCCGTCTCTTTGCTTGGGCGTCCGATGTCAATGCATCTTCCCGGGTACGAGAACTAGCCCGAGAGCCTTCGTTGCTGCTACGACCATGGAGTCGCTGAAAGCGCTTTTCCAGTGTCTCTTCAGCACTAGGAAGACTGTTCTCAAGGTCAATGAGACCAACATATGGACTCGGCTGATCACCGCCAGGCGTTGATCGAATGCCAGCACCGTAGCTGTAGAATACTGCTGGAAAAGGCACGCTAACATGCCGAGGACAGCGCAAGCTGGACTTGCAATTACCCTTCCCAAGAACACCAATTTGCGCGACGAAATTCAGTGGCTTAGACGGAATGGTAGACATACGACCACGCAAGATGGATTCTTCGTAAGAGCCCACCATAGGGGCATGATGGAGGGGGGTTTCAGAAAATGAAGGACGCCGTGAGCCAGTCAACGAACTCTGTAGCTGGCTAGTGTACGATGTCGAGTTTAGAGATCTCATGGGTTGGTGAGCTTGGTACGGGAAAGTCTTTTCCGCGCGCAGTGAAGGTGGCTGTTGTCGACTAGATGAGGGGTAGTCTAAAGAGGGCTGAAAGCGCTGGAATGACTGAGGGGAGAAAGTGTGCCTGCGTGACTTATCAGGACTTCGCGAGTAGGATAGTTCACAAGGCTCAGGCGTGTCGGGTCGTGAAGAATGCACGAGAGGGCTCGTAGGCGGCTTGTACACAAAACTGGTAGCCAGCGAGGCGTTGGAAGCTGCACGAGATCTGATCTGCTGATTGATGGGTCGGGCATGCACGTGTGATCTTGTCCCTTCTTCACGGATATGCTGCAGAGCCACGGGAAATTCTGTATGCCACAGTGCAACAGGCGAAGTTGAAAAGGCAGGCAATTCACGATCTCTTCTACCCGTAAGGTCTTCTTGGAATCTTGAAGAAGTCTGATTTCGATCGCGGAAATCCCCGCTGTGGAGGGCTGAGCGTGGTCGTTCGATTTGCATCCCGATGGATTGATTGTCGTGTTGCACCTCGGGAGATCTTGATCTGGCGTTCAGCGTGCTTGTACGCGTGGAAGACTTTCGCTCCGTCTCTGGGGAGTTGGATCGAGATGTACCGCTCTTAATCTTTCTTATGATTTCCTGGCGATCTATCGAAGTCGATTTGCTGCCCCCAGCCGGAGTTCGCGGGCGTCCGGTATAGAATGGGTTGAAGATCGCCGGACTTGACCGCCCTTCGTCTTGCACCTTCACCGTCTCTTGCATGCCATGCCCGGCTTCGCTATGTTGCCCATACTCTGAGCAGCATCTGGGACACCCATTGCCGGCCATGCCACCGCCCGGAGCCTACTTGCCGGCTCCGAGCGTCGTTCTGTTGGCCGGTTTCGGTTGAAAGTATGTCCAGGGCAGCAAGATCGCGATGACAACTGTGACTCGATGTTGTATAGCGACCGAGGAGTTCCGAGGTCAGGGAGGAGCGAAGAGGAAGTGAGGAGTGAGTGCTCCGGAACGAGGAGTGGAAGGTCGTACGAACGAGGCGTTAGCTATCAGGGTGATGTCAACGGACTTGAGGGAGAAGGGCGTCAAGGGGGAGAGTTAGCCCATGTGATGTGATGGAGAGCATGTTGCAACTTCTACTACGCACTGACGGTGACCATGATGTCGGCCTAAAGGCGTGAGTTCATCACATGCCGCCATCCGTTATCGACCTTATCGGGTTTCGAAGATCTAGCTCGTTTTCCAGCCCAGCCAACCGACTTCACTGCACATGAAATTCAATCTCCCTACATCAAAACAACTCAACACACCACAGACATGTCCGAGAAGAGAAAACGAGATGGCGCAGACGCCGGTTCGAAACACGACAAGGACAAGAAGCGACAGAGGAAAGGGTTCAACGTCGGCTCGGAAAATCTTCCAGACGGTGTCCACAGGCGCAAAAATCAGGCCATCAAGCAGGCGCTGATAGATCGAGCGAGAATCAAAAAGGACTTTGCGAAGCTAAAGCGGAATGCTGGCGTTACCGATGAGCCGGAGTCGATTCCTCAACCGGCGTCACTCGCATTGGATGCTGCGGATCAAGAGGAACCCACCACGGCGCCGCATCCAGACCGACAGACGCTGATTGAGAAGGAGGAAGAGGCACCAGAGGCCGAAACGGAACGCAAATCGAATGTGGAGCCCAGAGCGCGGAAGCAGCGCAAACCGAAGATTGTACCGTTCAAGAAGGAGTACGATGAGGCGCAACAACGGAGAATCGAGGCGGAAGAGCGTAGAAAGGCGAGAGAGGAGGCGATGCGTGAGCGGCAAGGCAAGATCGAGGAGCGGGAGCGATTCAGAAAGGCCATGGCTAAGGCACGGACGGGTGGGCCGAATGGTCAGCGGAAATTGGGACGAGAAAGTCAGGTGCTGCTTGACCGGGTGAAGCGCATGGTGGGACAATCATGATTTCAGGCGGTACTTAAAGAGATCGGAAAGAACGGCATCGAACCGAGAAATCTCTCCGCAGAAGCATGGTCCTCACTCAAGTACGACTTTTTGTAGAGAAATATACACGGAGCGACTGAGCAATTAATCGACAGCAGAATGGCCCTGAATTAAGATCAAATTTGGGTTGGAAGACATCGCATTCATGCTATTAAGACTCCAGCACGCCATTCATTTCGCTGCCCAAACAAAAAGTTGGTTTCCATCTCGTGCCAATCGAGACCAATTGCACACTACATGATCATATCTCGTTAGATCTTATACACAATTCCACCACTGAACATGATCTTGTTGCGCTCGTTCAGCTCTTCAAGCGCCTGTACCGCCTCGGCATCGCCGAAATGTGCCTCGCCAGAACGGAGACGCGCGTTAACGGCTGCAATCAGCGGTTCAACATCCGCTGCGTCGTTGGCAAAAAGCGGACCATCGATAAGTTGACCGAGGGCAGCTTGGAAAGCCTGGACTCGAGGAGCTGTGATGGGCGTAGCCTCATTTTCATCCTCATCCTCTGCCTCCTCTTCCTCCTCAGCCGCGCCAGTCAAGTCTTGTGAGTCGTCTTGCAGAAGTTGCGACGCTGGCTTAGAGGAAGCCATGCTGAACTGACTTGACGATGCAGCGTTACCATTGGTGCGCTGCGTCCGTGACGTCCGGGCAGGCGTTGAACCGTAGAGATCCTCTTCCTCCTCTTCCTGATTTGCGCCTGCAGTAGAGTTCCCATTCTGCCTAGAGCCTCTTGTTTCTCGTCCGGGGGCCCGTGTAGACCTTCGTCCTGTGCTCGCCCTGAAGGCCCCGTCTCCCGCATCGTCATCATCACTGTCAGAATCATCGTCCGTGGACATGGCGTCTGGGTTGGGTGAGCGCCTCGCCTTCTTGCGCTTCCTGCTCTCATCTTCGACGACTTCCTTGAAAAGAGCAAAGCGGAGCACACCTTCTGCGACCTGTGCATCCTTCTCCTCCACACGATTCGAGAGCCTTGACTTTGCATGAGCGGATGCCAAACGAATCAGTGTCTCGAGCGTACGTGCAGTCATAGGGGAAGTCTTTCGCTGATTACCCTCCATCTCATCGTTTCTCAACGCACTATAAGCAGAGATGATGTGATCCGCCGCACCCTTGGTCAGAATAGGCTTGATCCGAGATTTGGCGTATTGAATGTACTTTTTGATAAACGGTATGCTGAGAACCTCCACGCGACGATTTGACCCACGTCCAACTGTGATTGTGACACCGGCGTGAAGCATGGCATTGAACTTTTCGTAGACCTCGCTAGGCTTGTTTGCTTCGCCTTCTTCCTCTAGACCCACACCGAGAGTCTGATTGAGCTGTTCGCGCACTGGAGCGCCCTCCTCCGTGCCTGGCTGGCGGTAGCGGTGCATACGGAGTACGTGTTCTGAAACTTGGCGATCGCGAACATCCTCAATGTCATCCGTGACGACGAAGAGCAAATCGAAACGAGAGAGTAGAGAGTCCGGAAGGGCAATGTTCTTGTGGGGATCTTTGTGCGTGTCGTATTGTCCGTAAATTGGGTTGGCTGCTGCAATGACCGAACATCGCGCGTTGAGTGAAGTGTGAATACCAGCTTTGGCAATGGTGACCGTCTGCTGTTCCATGACTTCGTGGATTGCTACGCGATCGACATCGGACATCTTGTCGAACTCATCGATACAAACGACGCCTCGATCCGCCAACACCATGGCACCAGCTTCAAGGCGTCGCTCACCAGTCTCCTTATCTTGAGTTACTGCCGCCGTAAGACCAACTCCCGAGGAACCACGACCGGTCGTGGCAATTGCCAAGGGTGCTGTGTTGAGAACAAAACGGAGGAGCTGAGATTTAGCTGTGGAAGGGTCTCCCACCATGAGAATATTGATGTCTCCACGGAGATGCGTACCATTGTCCAGGTTCTTCTCCATACCACCGAGAAGCATGAGAAGGATAGCCTTCTTGATGTAGTCGTGGCCGTAAATGCTGGGCGCAAGAGACTGGGAGAGCAGGTCGAATACTCTGCGCTGTTTCGAGATCTTGTTGATATTACGGATGTCCTGGTCTGTAATGGGTTGTTGTGCGATACCACCGCCAGATTTTGACGAGAGCAGAATTACATTATTTGCCAGGATCAATGTCTTGAAAGTCGAACTCCCTTGGGCAGCATTACGGTTACCCAATGATCGGTAAATTCCAACAAGCTGTATTCTGTCACCAGGTTTGACGCGGTCCACCATGTCATCGTCCATGATCACGTCCACTCCACGAGGCAGTTGGCCGGCAGGCGCTCGCTCTGGCATCTCTTGAATGGAGATGGTCTGGTGGTCTCTGTATGTGCAATATCCGTACTCTGTCACCAGCGGGTTTCCCTCGCCGTCTTCTGTGGGGTATACACTCGTGCTGGCTGCTCCGTTCATGGTCATCGTCTGGTCTCGATATTCCCGGAAGTGGAAGGTGGATTTCTGCTCATTCCAGTGCACACTCTTCACAACCTTTGGCCTTACGAGCGAGCATTTGGTCACAATACCCTCTAGAGAGACCATGTGATTGAGGTAGCTCGAGGCGAGTGTCCTTGGATTGCAAGCAAACTCGCCGAAGCTGCCGATATAGGCGCAGTAGTAGACAGCATCTTCCTCCACGCGCTGCGTCGCACGATTGCGAAGGGTCTGAACGATGTTGAATAGGGCGCGGTCAAATGCCTGAGAGTAGTCGAAAGGCTGATTCAGGAGGCCATCGGCAATCTCTCTGCTGTGAGAGCGAATCTCATCAATGCTCACAGTAAGTCTACGCAGACCACGGTTGAGCATAAGCAGGATCTCGGCCTGGTAGCTGCGAGCGCGCGGGTCCTCTGTGCATCGTGTCAGCGGGTAGTGCAAACGCGTGCTGGTTCTCCGCTCTTCTTACGTGGATCGAGAAACTCCTCTGCGGCGCGAATGCGATCCCGCACAGCCTCATCACGAAGCTGAATGCCGTCCATCGGGAAGGTGCGATCGCGTCCGAGGGGTGAGGGGCTGGTGGGGTGTGAAGTGGTGAAGGTATAGCGGAAGTGGGAGAGAATGCAGGGCAGCCCGCGAGATTGAATTTTGGCCGCGCTCACGACGCGAGTCGCGACGCGCTGGCGGATACGAAATCTCTTTGAATCACGTGCTTACAATGTTTCTCCCAAGACTCATTCGTACAACTTTACAGATCCTAATGCCCACGCTCTCGCCCTCGCTCATCATTCAAAAAGTCATTCAAGCCACTTTGGTGAGCAATGGCAGCCTCTCTTCAAAAACACGCTAAATGGCTGGTCAATCTGCCTCAATCCAGGAAGAAGGAACACTCCAATCCACCGCGGTATTATCTCCACCCCAGCCGACAATTCTCGTGTCTCCCCTTAATCGCGCCTCTTTGGTCTCGGAAGCATCGTCTGCTTTGGACGCGAGCAAAATGCTGGAACCTGAGCTTCAATACTCCTCAGGCTTGAAGGAGGTTGCCAGTAGGGCAAGCGCAAAAGATTGCTAGGCCTCGTAGCTCTCAATTTCTCCAACCAACGCGTTGAATCTTCAAGAACGGTCTGTCCGTAATCAGTCGTCATCTTCAAACACAGCCTCATGMTGTTCCAGCAGTGCCTGCACCGCGGCACGTTGGACCTGCATATCGCTCATCTCACGCTCGATCGAAAGCGGCCGCATGATAGTCGGCGCAAACACGACCGCGAGATTGAGCGGCGTCATGAGATTTTTCGGCTCAAACGACATGACCTTGGCCAAATGCTGAATGAGCATAGCAAGCGTCATGCGATGTGCATCAGGTAAGTCGCTCACGGCCATGTGTAGCGCAGCGGCCTGTTTCTCCTTATCCTGGATCTGACCAGCCTCTAATAGCGAATCGTACACGTCGTAGGTGATCAGCGGGGTCGGCAGCTTACGGAAGTATTGCTTCAGCGCGCTGGTGATGGCGTGGATGTCCAAGTCCTGGTCGCCAATGTTGTAGTAGTTGTCCTTTTCGAAGCCTGCTTGCACTGCCTTGACTTGGCCTGCACCGCCAGATTTGCGATATACGCCTTCGACGTCCATTCCTCGTTTCTCAACTTGACGTATACATGTGACGACAATACCAGGAACGGGTTCTCGTTCGAATTCACAGCGCAGGGATAATTCGGAGCCGAAGAGGACTATGTTCTTTGTCAGCGCTTGATCACTCCTGCAGGATACCATGTAAGTGTTACCTGATCCATCTACACCAACGAGGTTGGTACTGCTGTTGTTGTGCTTCATGTTACCAAGACCCGTGTTTTTATGAGGGAATAGTCCTTGGCCAACAGTTCCCTCGATACCCTGCTTGCTATTCACACTGCCCTGATCGCTGCCGCCAACGGCTTGATGGGTCTGGTTATACGGCATGCCAATCGAGTAAGGGCCGTTCGTTGCGGGTGCGCGATCTCCTCCCACGAAAGCGCCCTTGATGCCCTTGGTTAATGTTCCTGTAATTTTCTCTCCACCCCTTCGCCAGTTGAATTTGTTGGGCTTAGCGCCCTTGCGGATATTGACAACCTGAGGCGCCGTTAAGACGGTGGCCGGCTCGGCTTCAGCGTCGTGCAGCAAGGCCGGCATGGATGGATCCGTGTTCACGAGATTGAGGTTACGCATTTCGGCCTGGCTAGTGTTATCAACTTTTGCTCCAGGGTGATAGATCCCGAGGCCATTATTTGAAGGAGCAGGAGCAGGGGTTTGTGCTCCGTTAGGAACACGGTTGTCCTGATACACCCCCTGAATACTGCGGAGGAGCTCGTTGTTGTGCTGGGCCAGTTGCGCATTCTTTGACGAAAGTGATTCGTACTCCTGGAAGCCCTTGTCTTTCATCTGTATCAGATTACCAATCTCATCCGTGAGTTCGCCGCGCTTGTGCATGAGGTCCTCAATCTGGCCGCTCATGCTGTCTTTTAGTTTCTGAAGGGATTCTGCAAACTCTTTCAGAATGCTCGTTTTGAGCGAGTTGAGGTCAAGCGGCTGAGAACTGTCCTTGGCTTTGCTCAGATGCTCAGTCATGACTTCGAGCTCGCGCACCACCATCTCGCGCTGAGTGTCCAAGAAAGCCATGGTCGACCGCTTTTCGCGCAATTCTGTGTTGACCGCCTTGATGTCAGAAGACGCGTCCAATTTCTCCTGCAATGAAAGCTTCTCCGTCTCTAATTCAGCAATGTGGTTTTGCGCTCGTCGCAGAGAGGTCCTGAGTGTATCAACACCATCCGTGCTACTGGGAGAGGTAATGCTTGGTGTGCTCGACTCAAGGTTTGCGTTCCTGGGAGACCTGCCACCCGGATTCGCTGCTCGATCGCTGAAACTTCTGCCGTGCTTCACTGCATTCGATACCCGCCGTAGTACCGACGGTGATGCAGCGCGTCCGTTGCTCTGCACCGGGCCGTTTTCACCTCGCAGAATGCGGCCCATTTCATCGTCCATAGAGAAGCCACCATCAAGGCTGTACTTGGGCAAACCGCCACTGCGCATCACGGACGACGGCCGACCATCGAGCGACGAGCGATCCTCGCTCTGCATGGTGCTGATGGAGTCGTGATGGCTATGGTTATGGCGCTCAGCCGGGGGAGGCGGTGGAGCATGTCTCGGCGCGATGAAGTCGTCATTTGCAACAGACTTGCTGGGAGCAGTGGGCCGATTTACAGACCGTGGCGGGGGGCCACCCTCTATGCTGCTACGAGCAAGCTGCGGGTCGGGCTTGGACCGGCTCCCGTCATGAGAAACAGCCTCACGAGAAGTCGAGCTGTCGACTGATGAAGACGGCACGGACGAAGATGACTTGTTCCGCACGTGCGATGATGTGCTTTGCGCACTGCTGCCTGAGGGATCGGGTGTTGTCTGCTTTGCTCTGAGTGCCGCCGCGAGGGAATCCCCCCGGAGAGGCAGACCCCTGTCAGCGCTCCGAGGAGGAATTGGACCCGGCGCAGGGAACTGGCTTGCTGATTGATATTGCGCAGCCTTATGTTTTGGATCATCAAATGGGTTTACGCCAGAGCCCTGCGAGCCACCTGATATGGGCGATATTGGCTTGTTGGGGTGGTAGTTGTCCTTGGACTGCGTGTCGATCGGGGATACGCCCTTTGAATTGCTGCGCGACCTCTCCTTCTTGAYCTTGGGAACCTCCTGCAGTTTAAAGGTGTCTTGGTGGATTGGTGATTTCGAGCCTGTTGTCACTCGCAACTTCGAGGATTTATCCTGAGCACCAGCAACGACTGGCGATGCAGTGCTGGGGCCGCTTGACGGCGAGTCCTCCCCTGATGCATTGGGCTTTCTATTTCTGCCCTTTTCCTGGAAAAGAATATGCGGACTGGGCTTCGCCTGGGTGGCGGCTCTCTCCTGGTTCACAGCTCTTTCCGGCTCGCGCTCTGTAGAGACTGAACGTGAGGATGCACTGGTGCCCGGCCGCGGTTCATCTCTGACCGCAGATTTCGCAGACAATCGACCACTTGCTCCGAAATAATCTCGGGGGGGTTGATTCTCTTTCTGAGGTTGTGGCGACAGGTCATGACCTCGCTGGACCTGTTTACGTGGTATCGCGAGCGACGGAGCTGCTATGGGAGTGGGATCAAACGCCATTGGGAGGAAACCGCGCTCTGATCCGTCATCATCGTCGGCTGGGGAAGACACGTTGGATGGTCGCGACTCGCTGTAGGTGCTCGCTGGGAGCGTGGGCCCTTCTACTGTTTCGTCAGTTGTTGTCAATGGTTTCAGCCACTCCGCATCTGTGGACCCACCACCGCGCATGTCGTCGGACAAGGGCGACACATCCCGTTTGTTGTTGCTAGAAGATGCGCCATTGCGCGAACCGAACTGTCCATCTCGGGGTGACTTTAATTGCGAACTTTGTGTAGCTGGCCTGTCGTCTGGCACTTCGGAGTCGGGGGTGAAAGCTGCTGGATGTGCGGCGCCTGGTGGGAGCGATGGTAGGGCCTTGTCTCCACCGGCTGAGCCAGCGCTGGGTTTGGGCGCCCGCGCTTTCTTTCTTCGCCGTGCCATGAGGCTCTCGTGACAACTCATGCAGAATATACCCTGTGATGTGCGTGCATACCGCAGGTTCTCAATCTTGCGYTTGCAATTGCGACACCTGAAACACCCACTGCAGAACGCCTGTTCTCCTGTAAGTATTGCCAAGTCTTCGATCTTGTTGCCACAGGCGTTGCAGCTATATGTGCAGTTGTTACAGATAAGAGAGCCGTCGCCGAGAAGGAGGAGGTTCGCATCGGAGTCGAGAAGTGTGCCGCAGGTGTTGCATCTAAACGTATCGCGCGTTAGCATGGTAGGCACAAGCTATGACTGAGTTGTGAAGACGTGCCTGAAGCATTCGATATGCCATCGTTGCCCAGCTATAAAGCAGTCAGTAAACAGCATCACGGTGCGACAGAAGAGATGGAGGGAAGAGATGGGATAGACGTGCCCAATTCGAAAGCCTGCGAGTATTTGGTTAGAAGAATGCCTCCATCGAGAACGATCACGCAACCATGGCCATACCTTTCCCTCCTCGAGGATCTCTCCGCAGCCCTTGCACGGGTAGACCACGTCGTCCTCGCCCATCATGGGGGACTCGGGGTACGGCGACTCCATAGCGGCCATGATGGAATGGTTGGTAGGTAGGTTATGCTCAGCCCAGAGAGAGGGTTTGTGGTGCGGAGGACATGCGGCCCAGAAGAGACCAGAGTAGACCAGACCAGATCAGATCAGAGCGAGTGTGAGTGAGGAAGCGTCCAGTAAGGTGTGGCCCCAGGAGAGCGTTGGGCGATCGCGAACTCTTCGCGCCCTTGGCTGTGTGTCGATGCCCGCCTATACAGATACTGTAGCGACGCCTGTGTCGTGCACGTCGCCGTATCGTCCCCGCCCGCTGGCGTTGTTGTGAAATAAAGTATGGAACACGCGCCACGCCGCGACGACTCTCGAGCAATGTCCAGAATGTCGTTGTCGTGAGAGAGCTCACCACACTCTGGAGTCTCAGGTGAACAGGGAGCGAGCGGCAAGGCGGCAGGCGGACAAAGTCTAAAAGCTGCTGGCAGTCGCGAGGCGCAGAAAGGCAAAAATAAGTGCCAACCAGACCTGGATTGTGGTCAGGAGAGATCCTCGGACTGATCAACAAAACTCCCACGCTGCAGCGTCAGAGTGATCGATCTCCTTCTCCACCACCTCGCAGTGAAGGATACGAGATCGTGCGCAGGAGACGAAGGTAAAGAAAGAACGGGTACTGCCTTGCGTTGCCGCACCATTGCGATCCCTGCTCCATTGAAAGACGTTGTGTTTCATATCGGTCGCGTGGCTCGCTCGCCCTTCGTACACCCTGGGCTTGAAGAGTCGACCGTACGAACTCACCTACTGACGTCGATCGAATGGAATTGCTATCTACACGACCATTGCAGTTCTCTCCCATATACAAGCCCACTGCGTACCCAAACCAGCGCCACCCCTGGCCAACCATGCATACAGCCGGCATTGCTTACTAGGTCCCAAGCCGGCTTCTCTGAAACATTGAAACACGCGCAAGACGCAAGCCGCTGATCCTGATTCCTTGGAAACGGCATGCTTTTTTCATCTCGTTGGTACGGCCGGTGGACTTCTTGCGCTCATGGCAGGGCAGAGCAGGGCGATCGCATGTGCAGCGCAGAACTTGGGTTTCTTGGCTCAACACGAAGCATCGCGTTAATTTCACAGCGGCTCCCAAAAAAGGTAGGCGTTTTTGGACGCGGTTTCGGATGCTGGTCGACACATCAGGTCCCATCCTTGGACATCATCGCCAGCAATATCAATGAGAGCAGTGGATGGCACCTCTGTCGCTTCACTCACATCATTCATCCCTACACCCACTTTTTCCCATCGACGTTCAGCTGAAGCGCTAGTCAGACCGACTGTAGCGAATGAACACACTTTCTGGGCGTGGTTCGGAGCGGCAACCTGCATAATGATCGGTGCAGCATGATCTACTCATTTTCGACAGGTACCCAGAATCCAGACTCGTAGCAAGCGAGATTCATCGCTTCTGGTGAACTCATGATTGGTTCGAAGCCGTGAAATGTTGCGACCGTCACGCACAATCGTCGTGGTCAAGTGACGGGTTAATAAGCGAAAGTGTCGCATTGGTATCTAGGTACTGCCCAACACTTGGACAACTCGGGGCATTGCCCTACGCCACGTTCATCATCCTATCTTGAACTTGTCCCAAATGAATTGCCGAACCTGCTCGTTTCCCCCTTTGCCAACACCAGCCCCCAAGCTGACAACCTTCAAGCCGTCCAAACGTCTGGCTCTCGACAGTGCAACATACTCTTGGCCCTCCTCAAAGCTGCTRCCAAGGTCTACAATCACTTTGTTTATTGTCATTCCTTGCGACTTATGGATAGTCATTGCCCACGCCGCGGTCAGAGGGATTTGAGTCCTCGCAAGCAAGGTGTACGGTTTCTCGTCTCCAAGTTCGTTCACTTGGCAGTCCGCGAAGATCGTTCTCGTAATACCGTTGTCGAACTCGACAATGGGCCAGTGCTTGGAGGGATTGCACGGTCGTTCTAGAAAATGGCGTATCTGACCTTCTCTAAGAAGTGCATGCTCCCCTCGCAGCTCGCCCATTACGATAGGTTCGGGCTCCATCGAGCTATCTCTGCCCCGTCTCTGGCTGGATGCGAAGCGTCCGGAGCTTGAGCGTCCTGGCTTTCGCTGGGAGGACACAGTTTTGCTGCCTTCAAAGACCGTAGCTTTCGGAAGCTTCGATGGATCGTATGGTTCGAACCCAACGATCCGACCCTGACTCCCGTTGACCAGGCCGGCAGTGATGTCGAGATTTACGAGAAGCACTACTAGCATTCCGATTTTGTATTCTACGCGGTTCTCCAATCGGTGTTCGCGAAGCGCCTCGAGCGAATCGTCAAAGCTGTTGCGGATTCCCTTGGACTGTAAATTCCTATGGACCTCGTTCCAAGCAAAGAAGTCGAGGCAGGTAAAGCCGTGTTTTGGGGTCGTAAGTCGATCGAACTCGGTATCATTGATACGTTTGACCTCCGCCCTCCGCGGGAACAGCTTCACGGCATTAGTCACATCGCACGGATGATTCAACAAAAGGGTACGGTCTTCGTGCGACAAGAACGTCCCCAATCTCAGCTTTTGTAAGATTTTGATAAAGACCTCATCTTTCTGGCGATGAATCTTCGAAAGATTGATGTGTTGGAAGTTGCATTCCTTCCAGACCGGGGACCGGAACGCCCACTTATCTTCGTCTCTGCTGTCGCCGTGCTGCGGACATCGATAAACAACCTTTCCGGCCACGACGCGCTGTGTCTGCTCTTTGCCACAGTGTATGCAGAATTGGAATGGTTTGACAGGAGGAAGCTGGCAAAAATCCCCTGATGGTGAACGTTAGCTCGTTGGACAAGCCGGCTATCATCGAAGGGTCAACTCACCCGTGACGACCAATTGCACTCCACCGAAGGCCTTGGTACTGCCGCGGGCCTCCTTCATGACRGCGTCTAGGCGTCGAAGCAGATGATTTTCAACCATGCTAATCTCGTCAATAACTAGGACATCTGTGTCGTTGAACCGACGTCGAACGAATCTCCCATGTGCTGCTTTGATGAGATCACTCAGCGGCTGCTTCATATGCGAGGGTGTCCAGCCAGCATATGTCCATGTGGTTGATCCATTAATATCGAGCGCTGCCTTGCCAGTGGGTGCAACAATCCTCACGCACTTTCCAAGGTCGCGGAGCTTGGGAACAAATGATTTCAGGACCGTCGACTTTCCGCAGCCAGCGGAGCCCGTGTAGAATACATTCTTGCCGGCCTACAGACATTAGCGGAGATCAGTGTACGCTCTGAGGATAGCTTACCAGGATGAGGTCTACAACTTTTTGCTGCTCTGCGCACAGAACTGGCTCGACGCTTGTAGGCACAGACGCTGGCATCTGCACCTGCTGGATCGGGGGACTCGAGGTCAAGTCCACAACACCGCATGTTGACATCGGTGCGGCAGTTGACAACGTCGGCGTGGGAGCGAGTTTCCGGATGGCGTGAGATCCATTTTCACTCTTCATTATTGGCAAAGTGGCTCTCGGCGGTAGATTTCGAACATCTTGGGAGCTTCGTGGAGGCTTGAACGGATCCTCAGCCAGTGAGACGGCAAAGGTAGGAGGCGGCCCTTTCATGTCCCGGGTGGGCGTATTGATGTTTGGCTTCGCAGTGACATGAGGGGCGTTCTTGAGATTCATTTTTACCTTCTTAAGAGGCACAATGTCATCTTCGTGAGCGGTGCGGGCACGGATGGCAGCAATCTTCGATTGTAAAGCCTCGAGTTGCCCTTGTAGCTCCTGTTCGTCTTCGGAAGCATCGCCATCTGATGGCACAATCTAAGAGCGGGCACCTCGTTGTCAATGGCACGTCCAAAATCGAGGGAGATGAACGGTAAATGTACCTCGGGGTTTACGATCCGCTTTGGGCTTACTCGCTTTCGTTTGGGGTGTTGCGGCTCATTTCGAATGGCTTCATTTGCAGGGACTGACTGCAGCGGTGCTCGAGGCGACGAGTGCAATCTTGCAGGCATTGCAGCCGGGAGCTGTGTTGTTTTGGGAACCTGCGATGCGGGGGTTTGTGTCGGCACGTCTGTTCTTCGACTATCCATTAAGCTTATGGACCTAAGCTCATTGACGTGCCGATTGAATGATTCGATCTGCTCAGAGGCTGCATTTGCGACGGAGACGGCGCGTAAAGCTGGCCGAGCAGGCACTTGCGCTGCACTGGCTGGCAGTTGCGGTTGCAGCAAGACTGTAAGCTCTGATTCGACGAGCTTCAGGTACTGGATCTGGCTGTAGTTTATCTGCCTACAAATAAACACCATTAGTCTTAGCGGCACCATTATACAATCGAGTGGGCCATGCCGTTCGACGACTGCAGCTCAGCGGTATGGGAATTGTGCCTACATGCGATGAACGATGGCTTGGAAGKCAGCGTCGTTGTTCACGTTGTTGAAAGCATTCGTGGCCCGTACAACGCGATCATCCTGGGCGTACATGGTCTCTCGTATGCGAAGATCGGCCCGGATCCAGAGTATCTGCTGTCCAAAACCGAGACCCGAATACTTTTGCATCAACTCAACGCCCTTCTGTGTCAAGCTCGCAAAAGCCGGACCGAGAGCACCGCACGCATTTCCCAGCTGGGATATCATGGCACTGCAAACAGGCGGCGAGATCTCTGAGCGTGTGAACAATGCATGTATTTGACCGACGTCTTGACTGGAGACTCTGGCCAATGCATCTTCGGCAATAGCGTCTTCAATTCCGGCTTTGAGATACCCGATGGCAACTGTCATGTCCGGCATATGGCCCATTGGGCGAGGCATTCTGCTCATAGACGTTCGCTTCGTTCCGGAATCATGGGGTCGGGTGCCGTCTTGGAAGTTCAGATTCGTTGTCAGGTTGATGGTCAAGATGGAGACGCGACGCGCCGCGCTAGAGAGTTTAATTGGCGCCAAGGCAAGGTCTCGCTGAAGTCACTCACAAACATATCGGAGCTATGTTGGTTATGCGCCCATGGTTCAAAGAAATAAAGGCACCAGGCCCTATTGATTATCTAACGCTAATCTCAAAAGAATGCCCATCTTGGAGCACATCGCCATTCTAGAATGGCTAATATTATACAGTAGTGAGAGCGTGGCCGTCATTCGTTAGTGGGTCGTTAAACAATCGCGATGAAACTCCTGCTCGACTCCCCTAATACTCCAGTCGCAGCTTTTCCACAACCCTCAAGACACTTATGCTAAAACAAAGCAGCCATGCAACGAGTGATATTATCAGTACGCCGGAAAGAGCTCTTTGCTTGCGGCAAATGTTGGGGTTGTTTGGACATGTGCGTGGTATCTGGAGGTAGATGTCGCCCACCTCTTGATATCCTTCAACGAAACAGGCCCAACTTTCGTCTAGCAGCGCACTAAATGCCAGAGAGAGATTACTGGCGGAGAAAACGATGAAGTATAGATCGCAGAGGAGAAGCATCGTCTTTGCGGCGACAGATCGCAGGCCGAGTCTAGTGCATGTCAGTCCATGAAGATGTGATATTGTACAGAGGACTCACGGTTTGCTTAAATATTCGTCCCAAGTAACATAGCCCACGTAAGGAATGGCAATGGCGCTGACGATTATGCCCATATAAGTAGAAGCTCGTGGCGCGCACTGATTGCTGGGACTTGGATCGGTGTTGACTGCGTGTACAGACTGGAGAATGGTTGATGATACGCCGAGAGCAGCACACGAGAATGCCAACACGGTCAGTCGGAATACCAGAGGGACAAATGCGTTTTTCAAGAGAAGTCTCTGTGGAACCGTCAGTCTTTCGATCGCAGAAAGTTCCCTCCAACATCGTTGTACTCACCCAAAAGAGTTTCACCGTACGCTCCTGTCTMTCAGGACTGATGAACCATTTCCCTCCCAGCATGATGCCCTTGAGACCTCCCAACCTCCTAGTCCCCTCGGGACTGATCTCGTCTTCTGGTTCCCATACTCGGCTGGATATAGGCACATTCTGTTCCATCCACTGCGGACTTCGGATGATGCGCACTTCGCGCTGCTCATGCAAAGCCGGCGAAGATTGCATAAAGGGTATCCATCGTGCTTGGTGTTGCTCTATGGGCGCAGATAGCAGGCCGGGTTCCGCAGAGCGATATTGGTCCAACCTCTTCCCAGGCTTGAGATTGGACGACGGCGGCTTGTAGTGGCGCGAGTTGGGGACCACAGGCGCGGGTGGCAGAAAGAGCGGCGCTTGCTCCTCGCCATCATTCACATGAACCCACGGGGGTATTGATTCGGGAAGGTGAGGATCGTATTCCTGGTCTTCCAGGTCGACGGCGGCGGGTGTTGTCGACGGCAGTAGTAGATGTCGTTGCTGTTGCATTTCCGGCATCATGCCCTTCCTTACGCCACAACACACCACGCGCCGTGATGCGCCGTGGAAAGTTACGCGCGGGCAAAATGGGGTGTACGTGTGAAGGATGTCTAGTGTCGTGAGGACCAGAGCCAGGATGCTGGTCTCTCAATCAAACCAGCTCCAAGCCACCCCCATTTTAGCTTTGGAATCGCTACCAGGTTATTGCGCTGCAAGGTTGGCAGTGATGTAACGCAATTTCGTCACAAGTATTCGATAAAATGTACGTATGGGACAGTGTGCGACTGAGATAATCGAGCATTCTAGACTCCTATGTGTTGCTTCTGTCTGTCTCTGATAGAGCCTGTGTACATGTATTTACCGCATCGCCTTTTGTTGACAAGAGACGGCGTTGGGCGGAGATTGATCGCAGTGGAGCAGCCACGTGCGGTTCGCGGCATCAAACTCTACCACGGTATCCGTGCTGCAGTGTAAGGTACATGTAGATTGAATGTCGGGTAGGACTGAACTCGTTCCCACACGTCGTTAAATATTTCCGACAGTTTACTACTGTGCGTCGCTAGTATCAGTTGTACCTTATGCTCGAATCGCTCAACACTTTACAACATCAGTCCAACTCTTCGCTTCGACGATGCCCGCTACAAAAGGTGCTGTCTTCCCGAACCCTGCAATATGCTATGTATACTGTTTTGAACATCACCATTGACTCCTTCCTTCCTCGGCGACCTTGCCGCTGACCTCGCGACGACTCATCCCGTACCCCTTCTCTTGAGCAAAATGACCTGCGTCAGCAATGTCAACTCCGCTCCGGCTGATGACTCGGCTACTATTCTTCTGGGGGCTCGGGGTGCGCGACGACACGGGGGTGGGAACTCCCCATGCATTCGTCCCTGGAAGAGGCCGGTTCGGCGCAGGCCTTGCGGCACCTTGCYCGACAGCTCCACGGACTCCTCTTGTCGCGGATGCGAGATCTCCATAGTGCCTGCCTCGAGGGGCTCCGTTCATCAGCCTGCCTGATGCAAGACTTGGCGCACTTTCTGAGTAGACTGACGAGGCTGCAGTCGCGTGGGAGGCGACGGTCATCGTGCGTGCAACACCTGTCTCGATGGGCTCATACTGGCCCTGCTGCTTGCCATTGAACTGCTTAGGATGCTGCTCGTCTGGGTCCGGATACTCATCATGAGGGGGAGGAGTAGGTGGGTTCATTTTCAGTGGTCTGAGAGCCTTTGGTTGGAATGAGTCGTATCGCGTAAGATCCAGATCCACATTCGGAAGCGTCGGCTCAGTCTGGTGCTGAGGAACGCCTCTAGACGTTCCGAGATCTGATGGCTCTTCATCCATGACATACCAGTTGTCGTTTAGCAATCCGTTCTTCTGCTGTGGTTTGTTCGCTGCTTGAGAAGACACAACCGCGTGGCGGTCGGGGCTTCCCCGAATTGCATCATAACGAACGTTGGACGCGTATCTATCATCAACAACAGATCCCGCACGAGAGCGGTGCCCCGGCCCGACGTCCTGACGAGAACTGCGAGCTGAGCGCGGACCTTGATAGAAGTTGATTTGCTCGTACTGTGGTTGCTCTCTCCAGCTTGATCTCGGATTCTGCGGAGAATGGCTGTTGTCGGAGTCTCTTCTACTGTGACCGAACGGTACGACTCTTGCCTCGGATCCCTTTTTGTTTGCAAGGTATGAATCACCTCCGGAGAGTGTGCTTCCGCTAAGGTAGCCCATCTTCTTCTCCGTAAAGTCTTCACTGGATAGTGAGGATATTGTCATTTCGGAATTCTTGTGCTTGTGCTTCATCGACGATCTTGAGCGACGGCTGCTACCAGTAAGATTGTTCTCCAGAGGGTTCATATCTGGAGGGAGTCGAGCGATCTTCCGGAACATGTGGATCAAGTACAAATCCAAACCAATGCTGATCAGGTGCAGCGCTCCAACGGCTATGCTCGCATAGAATGTGACATGGATGATGGTAGTTGTGGCGAATTCGGTCTTGAAGAAACTTGTCCAGCGATTGTCTTCGCCCTCTTGTGGAATCCAGTTCTGATTCGCATATAAGCAGATGAGAACATAGAATGGGACGAGACTGGTGTCTGTGAACAGAGCGAAGAAATGGTAGCTGGCGCTAGTTCCAGGAGTTCGTCCCTTCGCTGGGCGGATGAGATGATAGATGGCGTACATCGTGATAAGCGAGTCCCATGCGGGCTGTGAAGAGGACATGTCAGAAGATGCAACATATGGTTTCGAGGATACTTACAGCAATGCGAATCATATACCCTGGTGCGTCGCTCCTCATTTTCAAGCAGATAACACAGACGAGGATACCTAATGCTCCTACTTCCTCCACTACCCGTAGCGCAAGCTGAACCCATCTTGTCCACACAATGTGCGTTTTAGCGCGGGCAGGCAAAGGTTTGTGGTCGACTGTCTGTGCCGGGACAATCATGTAGCTGTCCGGATGCGCGTTGAAATCGATAAGAGGTGATCCTTCCTGCTGCGATCTGCGCTTGTTACGCTCAGCGCGTTCAGCAAATGCCGCATAATGGGCCTCTGTAGCAGCCCGAGGATTGAAGTTGGAGTATGGGTAGACGACGGAGTTGCGGCCAGTAGACGGATCGTAAATGAAAGGCTGATCCGAAGCCCCCATCATGAAGGAAGCAGTGACTGGGTATGACCACAAGACCGGAATACACAATGGCAAGTAAAGTGAAWGACGCTTGACTTAAAGCACAGGAATGTGATGTGGTGTGGTGTGATGCAAATGCGATTCTGACTGCATGAGCCGGCCAGCCAGATCTTTGATCGCGGGGATTTGTTGATCTGAGATAACTTTGGGGTCACTGCAGCAACAGGGCAAAGAGCGATGACGATCGTTCCTGACTCGGATCTCCCTCCGCATCTACCTAGCTTCAAGCTTTCTCCAACACCACCACAAGAGATGCACGCGAGGTCTGCGACGGCGTACATCTGTCAGAGCTGCCGCCATGCTCGCAGCCATGTGGCCCTCCAGAGACGACAGTGTGTCTCCCAAGCTCGACCTCAAAGTCGAGCGTACAGCACACGACCGCGACCACTGCACCTTGCCATTATTGGTTCGGGACCTGCGGGCTTCTACTCGGCCTACAGACTGCTGAAAAGCTTGCCCAATGCTCGAGTGGACATGTACGAAGGTCTGCCCTCACCATACGGGCTGGTGCGCTTCGGAATCGCGCCAGATCACCCCGAAGCCAAAGTACGACCTCGCCACTGCAAGCCAAACAACCACTTCCGCGGATAAGTTGCGTGATGGCTGATCTGTCTATTGCCCCGTAGAAATGCTCCGAAACATTGGTAGACGTCGCAAAATTCCCGGGATTCAATTACATCGGCAACGTGCCTGTTGGAGACGAGCCCTCCTCTCTCCCACTTGCTGAAATAGCGCCACACTACGATGCTATGCTCTTTGCATATGGCGCTTCAAAAGATAAGAGGCTTGGGATACCTGGCGAGGATTTGAAAGGTGTGCACTCCGCACGGGCTTTCGTAGGATGGTACAACGGGCTGCCAGAGTACGCGGATCTCAATCCAGATCTGACCTCGGGTGAGACCGCCATTGTCATTGGACAGGGAAATGTCGCCTWGGACGTGACTCGAATACTGCTTGCACCACTTGAAGAACTGCGGAAGACGGACATATCCGAGCATGCTGTCGAAGCGCTCAGCAAGAGTAAGGTCCGCGATCTAAAGATTGTAGGACGGCGTGGTCCCCTGCAAGCTCCATACACAATCAAGGAGCTGAGGGAACTATTGAAGATGCCGGGACTTGGGTTTGCACCACCACCCGAAGGATGGGAGAGCTTGGTTCAAGTTCCCCGCAAGAAGCTTCCGCGCCAACTGAAACGGATCATGGAACTGCTTGAGAAGGGCAGCATGACGCCTTTGGAGCAAGCCGACAGAGCGTGGCAGCTAGGGTTTCTCAGATCTCCGCTAGAGTTTCTATCGACCAATGGAACCGACCTTGCGGCCGTTGGCTTTGAGCAGATGGAGTATGTTGACAATCTAGCCTCGATCCTGAAAGGTGAGCCGCAAGCCGACCTCAACATTCTACGCAGCGCGCAAGTGAGAAGGACTGGCACTAAGAGCATGATTACGGGATCTCTCGCTTTCCGTTCTATCGGCTACGGATCCGAGGCACTTGCTGGCTTCGAAGAGCTCGGCATACCGTTCGATTCCAGAGCAGGAATAATACCCAACGATCATCTGGGTCGCGTGTTGGATCCTGCAAAAGGTCCGGGAGAACYGACAGCTGCGCACGTTCCTGGCATGTACTGTGCAGGTTGGGTCAAACGTGGTCCAACTGGCGTTATTGCATCTACCTTGGACGATGCGTTCACCACCGCGGATGCTATCGTCAATGATTGGCAAACTGGAGTCAAGTTCCACGGGGACGTAGGTGTTGAAAAGAGCGGCTGGGACGCAGTGAAGGTAGCAGCTCAGAAAAGGGGCATTCGCAGTATTAGTTGGCAGGACTGGGAGAAGATCGATGCAGAAGAGGTGCGTCGTGGAAAGGAGAAGGGGAAAGAGAGGGAGAAGTGTAGAACGGTGGAGGCCATGTTAGAGATTCTGGATTGACGGGTGTGTAAATTTGTATATTTGACGTTAATGTGCATCTCTCGATCGAAAATTGCAGTTGCCAGCGAGGCCGTCAATCAGATGCCAACTTCATTTTGACGTTTTGATATCAGGCTCCCGATAATCAAGGTTCATAGCAGACTGGGTTCCTTTGCTAAAGAGAGATTTGTGGAAGAGAGACTATTATGGTGCGATAACTGTTCAAACACTTTAAAGCCGATGTTATTATGTACAACGCACTTGCTAGCGGTATATAAACAGATGTGTGAATGTTGAGGCCTCAGGTTGAAGTGTTCCTAGCGGATCTCCGTGGCCAATGAGATCTCAACTGGAAGGGCGCCAACCTCGAACTACAAGACGTGCCCTTTCCACTCCTCCACACAACGGCAACCAGCAGTCAATGGTGCTTGTTCCTCAAAGACTTCGAAAGCTGGACCGTAAAATCTAGTGTCGTTCGTCATGACAGCCGTGCAGCAGAAGGTCAGCCACAGACGCGTTCGATATTGGCTCATGGACGTTGCAGGCCTGAAAAGACCATGGATGTCATGGAACTGCTTCTCAGGKGAATGCTGCAGGTACCTCGCTCACTTGACCTCGCTACATGTTTAACGTCTCACTGCGTCGACATGATCCTGGGCCGGGATGAGAGCGCAAGCCGTCGACATGTGCCACCTTCTACCAAAAAACAGCGACGGAAAGGACACAACCACAAATGACATTACAGGGCGAGAGCGAGGGGATTGGACCGCCAGGGCGCGATCCGGCCGGTGGGACGAGAAGATAGAATGGCGGCGTCGCACGGCATATTGAGTATGCAGCTCGGGGTCGTGTGCCTCTCTCTCTCTCTTCAAGCGTCCGCATTGCTGCAAAGCTAGGTACAGGTATCATGTGTTGAGCAAACCCAAGGTAGCGAGTAAATGTAAGTAAGCCATCCATCTTTCCTATGTCAACTCTATAAGAGGCAGCCAGTCACTGGGGTCGATTTGACATTTGCGGCTGTTCGCGGCCGCCGCTGAATGGCACACTCTTTTCAACACCGCGCTTTACAAATTCGCATTTACGCTCTCTAGCCGGCAACTGCCTGTTCGTCAAACTTCACCTTCTGCGAAACCCGCTGCACTTGCATCTGCACCTGYCCCGCCTGCCACTCCCTCCTGCGCCCTCGCCATGCCACGCGGGTAGCACCTCGACCAACACTTCCTCGACAATACCGCATGGTCCTCCGCGAGCCGTGGACCATCACCGACATGGCTCCATCGTCGACGTCGCAGCGACCCAACAGAAATGCACTACGGCCGACTCTGCGCGCGCCATCGCGTCTCGACGGCGCCGATGGAGATGGACGTCATGCTCAGCAGGCGGGACGCTCTTCAACCCATTTGAACGCCCAGGCATCGGCGCATTTTCTCCGAGAATCCTCTCGTTCTAGCTCTCGAGAGACTCGAAATGCGCGGCCAAACGTTCCAGCCCCAGCCGCAATGCCTCTCGCTGCACCACAGCGAATACAATGCAATATTCCGCCACACGCTCCTCCCGTCTCATCCCCGCTGAACCCAGCATCCTCGGACTCGAGCAGCGGCCGCAAAGACAGCGACGCCAGCGCTGAGGCATCGAATCGGGCATCCAGTCCTCGGCGTCCTGCCGGTGGCGATGGCACGACTAGCACGTCCGGGGAGCAGACAGTTTCCGATCGCTCTTTCTTGGCATTACCAGACGCATCCTCTCAACTGGACTCGAGCTCAAGTCTCACCAGACTCCACACGCCTAGGTCGGTGCGGGATCTTGGATCAGACTACACTCGTTACTTTAATCCATTCGCTACGAACAATAATTCTCAGCAAGACTTATCGGCGCCAGATGGTCCACCCGGCCAAACCGGAGCGACAACGGACCTTTCGAAGCGCTTGTCCAATCCCTTCAAGGATGACAAGCGCTCCAGCTTGTATGAGTCGACTGAAGACATCTCAGCTCCGCGCCCGTCAATACTAAGGCGGCGGACAAGTCCCGATGAAGACGGGATCGCTGTCTGTGCAACGGCTCCTCCAACGAGAGTCGGGACTCCTGCCTTCATAAATGACGCCGATCCCGAGAAATCGCCCATCTTCTCCTACATGGACGACCGATTCGGCGCGCCCTGTGCTTTCCCACTTTACAACGATCAGCAAGAGGATGACGATGATATGCACATGCCGCGGTGGGATGACGACAAGACGTACAGGCCGAAGCTGAAGGATCGATTTTCAAAGGAGAATTTGATCAACACTGTAGGCATGATCTTCCTGACACTAGGCTTGGGAACCATCTTTGTTGCACTGCCCATCATCTCATTTACGGGCACAAATCTTATACCCAGCCCGTATGAGACGCCGGCCAATGAGACAGGCATGGGTGAGATAGCCGAACCGTGGGCACATGTAAACGACAATCTGTACCCGCTGCTGCAAAACGTCAGGACCGGGATCATTGACCCAGACACTCCCGCTTCGGCCATGACTCGTAAGGGCGTCGACGGAGACAACCTGAAGCTAGTTTTCAGTGATGAGTTCAACGAGAAGAACAGAACCTTCTATCCTGGAGATGATCCTTACTGGTTTGCGCCGGACATCTGGTATGGAGCCACGCAGGATTTGGAATGGTACGATCCTGACGCGGTCGATACTGGTAAGTCAATCAGCACCTTTCCTTGCTGTCGTTTTCATACTGATCAAGCACAGGTAATGGCACTCTACAGATCCAGCTTGAGGCTTTTCAAAACCACAACCTGCCATACCGCTCTGGCATGCTCAACTCCTGGAACCAGCTATGCTTCAAAGGTGGCGTTTTCGAGATTTCCATGAGTTTGCCGGGGCCCGCTGGAGTTCACGGCCTTTGGCCCGGTGCCTGGACAATGGGCAATCTTGGACGCCCAGGCTATACTTCCACAACAGACGGGGTGTGGCCCTACACATACGACGACTGCGATTCTGGCATCACACCCAATCAGTCGGCGACGGATGGAATGAGCTTCCTTCCAGGTCAGAAATTGTCGAGTTGTGCATGTAAGAATGAGGATCATCCTACCCCTGAGACTGGCCGTGGCGCACCTGAAATCGATATTGTCGAAGTCAGTGCAGACTGGGCGAACCGGGGCTTTAGTGTTGCAACACAGTCGTACCAGGTTGCGCCCTTTGACATCTTCTACTATCCAAACTACCAATACATGGAAACGCCCAACTACCAGTTCAGCTACGTCAACACTTATACTGGCGGACCATTCCAGCAGGCAGTTTCCACGACGACCATACTCAACAACGACTGGTACGATGGGAAGGCCTATCAGAAGTATTCGTTCGAATACACGCCTGGCGGTGGTAAGGACGCCGGCATTGCGTGGTTTGTAGGCGACGACGAGATGATGCGGTTCGATGGCCGCGCAATCGGTGAAAGCGGGAATGTGAAGCAACGCCTGGTCTCTGAAGAGCCAATGTCCATGATAATCAATCTCGGGTTATCTCACAGCTGGGTGGACATCAACTGGGAAAAGTTGAAGTTCCCAACCGTTCTGCGGGTCGACTATGTGCGATGGTATCAGCCAGACGGGCAGGAGATTGTGACATGCGATCCACCTGGGTAAGTTTTGACAGGCAGAGAGCGCTCTCTCAGCTTTCTGAAATCACACCATTTGCTAACTCCTGTCTCCCCCATTAGGTATGAGACGACAGAGTATATCAAGTCTCATCCGGCAGCGTACAACAATCCGAATCTGACGAGATGGCAAGATACAGGATACTCGTGGCCCAAGAATACGTTAATGCATGGGTGTTCGGCATGATGAGCGACGTCCACGTCTTGGAAAGACTCGAAAAGTATGGACCATTCTGGCAACGCGCAGTGCGTGGCATCGCTATGATTTGTCGTTTATTTGAGCATGGCGTGGTCTCCTCTTGATGACGGGACCGTCGTCGAGGCGAGAGTGGCACGATCTGTCTAAAATTACATGTGCTGAAAAGGTGGAATTCCCGCTGTGCTGATACCGTACATATGTAGTGAAGTGGAAAATAATGGACGAGAAATGGACATGAGATTGTGCAAACGTATTCATCTGACTTGAGCTCTTCTTTAGGTGATTGCATGCCCTTCCGTAGATCAGGTTTCCCTGTCTATACTGCGATGTCCATGCATCGCTTTATTAGTTGACGTCCGTAGCCAAGACATACTTATTTTCGGCATCGCCGATCTTATACGACCGACCATCCCTGTAATATAGCCCTGGGACCTCCTGTTCAGCGGAGCAACATCATCTCGGGCTCACCGCGGATGCCGCACAGAATAGAAATGGATGTTGCTTTCTTCGAGTCGGGCTTCTTCAGTGCGCAGAAGAAACAACGTCGCTTCCATGAGCTTCCATGGGTCAATTATGCATGGCGATGACGGCGTCGTCGAGAGACAAGGAGGAGCACAAAACACATGAGATGAAAGGCGATCGTCCGGTAACCTGCTTCACTGGCCATGCGACTCGGAGTACAGCGGTCCAATGCGCCTACATGATGCCCACCTTGACGCGCTTGATTGAGAAGAAGCCGACCCTCAAGATTCTGGATGTTGGATGTGGCGCAGGCGCGATTACCGTCGATCTTGCACTGGAAGCTCCTGAAGGCCAAGTCGTTGGAATTGATTTGTCCGGGGCAGTTTTGGAGACTRCAAAAGTGCACGCGCTATACCACGGCGTGGAAAGTGTTACTTTTCTCCAGGGCGATGTCCATAAGCTTCCTTTCGCGAATGGGACTTTTGATCTGGTGCATACCCATCAATCTATGGCTCACTTCACAGACCACAAAGCTGCCATCAAGGAGTTGCTCCGTGTCACAAGGAAGGGCGGCGTTGTGTGTATGCGGGAGGGCGATCTCAACACGGGAAAGTTTTGCTCGGATGCGCCATTGCTTGAGGAGTGCTTCAAGCTTATCATGGCAGTACAGAGATTGAATGGGGGTGATACGGATGCTGGCTCGAAACTCGTGGAGTGGATGGTTGAGGCTGGGGTGCCGGCACGCAGCATCACGGTCACTCAAAGTTCATGCAGTTATGATACGCCCGAGGAGCGAAGGGACTATGGAGGTCACTGGCCGGCGCGATGTACTTATGGGGTATTTGCGGATCTTGCAATGAAGCTGGGTACCACGAGGTAAGTTTTCGAGGCTTGTTGATATCAGCTTGATACTGACATGGGTTAGGGAGAGATTGGACGAATACGCGCTCGCTTGGAGGCATTGGATTGTCGGAGCTTATGGCCCATTTACAATGAGTAAGTACATTCTGCATTGCCATGCTAAGCGCTCTACTGATCTTGAGTTTTCCGAGTCAGATCATAATGAAGTCATAGTCAGGCTTTGATTTCTTCATTCGATGCCAGCCAACATTGAGGCCACGTCTTTGGCCGCTGCTTTACGCTGGGAAGGGCGGAAAGTCTACATGAGACACAGGCGCTCATTGGATCTTTCGGAGATCGTACGCTGGAGAAAGCCTTCGCTTACGCATAAGGTTGATATTCTGTGCTGTCAATTCCGGCTTAATCAGTCGAAGGATCTTGGAGCTCCCTCTTCCATCGACAATGCGACATCCCTCTCGCCTGTGTCCAGAGAATGGCTTTACGGATGGTAGCAGCTTTATGTGGAAAGGCGCAGCATCCGTTCCTCCGCTTCGATCACCTCACGTCCATCAGTCGCCAACACGATCCTACGGCCACCAGTCGTAACTACGAAACCACAAAACCAGCGGAAGACGCAATGACAAAAACCATGTCTGAAAGCCAAAGTGTCGTTATGCCCTATGACGGACTAAGAATCCTTCCAAGAATCAACCTCTTCGGGGCATATATCTCGGTAAAGTCGATTTCTGTCAAAGGTGTCGAAATAGGAGGTACTGAAGGATGTCTCTGTCGTTTCCAAGCGCACCAACCAAATTAAGCTTTTAGACGTCCTTCAGACATCCTTCGTAGAGCAAACGAATTGACGTTCAGCTCCAATTTGCAGTCCTCATTGGAYTACACACTAGCCAGTGTGACCACTGCTTTCTCAAGGACGGCGGACCATTTCAAACCAGTGCCTAGGGAACGCACTACAAATAACAACCACCTACCCGCTCCAATCTACATCACTCACAACATTCCAGCCCTAAATCCCACCCTCCTCCCAAAAATGCCCTCTCCAAAATCCCTAACAGCCCTCCTTTCCACGGCAGCTCTACTACCCAATATAGTAAAAAAATCCCATACAACCCCCACACAACCCCTCTCTCGACTCTAACACACCCTCCTCCTCCCAGGTCATCGCCGGAGGAGGAATCAACCTCAAAGACTCCGGCACCGCAGCGGGATGTACAGGCGGTAGTTAGTGCCTGCTGCATCCATCCCCTCCTGCACCATTTGACGTCGTCAATGTGAAATCCTGCGTTTCGGGACAAGTTTCCTGGTCGGCGACTTGCAAGCAAAACGCTGAGAATCCTACCTAGGGGCACGCGGGATGTTGAGGGTTGTGGAGGGTTTTGGATGAGTTGGCTTAAGGGACCGGATGGTGGGTATTATCGTATCGTGGACTTGGGGTTTAGCTGAACGATGATATATTGAGGATTTTGCTGACGGCTTTTTTTTTTTTGGTTAGGAAACCCTGTTATTGATGTTTATGAAAAGTCCACCTCGACTTATGATCGTTTCGGTATTGAGCAGTGCAAGTCACCTTCTGCTGGGGGGAAACAGTGCGCTCCTAGCGGTGGAGGGGGTTGTGTATGTTGGGACTTTTTTTGTGAATTTGATTTTGTGGATTGTGCTGATATTGTGTTTGTTCTACTAGATGGCCAAGCCGGTTTGAGTCCCCCTTGATATGAAATTATCTACCCGATTGGAGTTCTTTGATTGGACGGGTTCAATGATTGCGGCGTTGTAGGATCGCGTTAGAATATGTGAAAATGCAAGACTTGACTAGCTCATTGACCTTGATGATAAATTGTCTTTCCTTCTTTCGCATTACTCTCCGATACTGCTATGACTACATCTTAAATCCTTTTCTCCCGGTCTGAGCACGTCCCCTGTGATAGAAGCAGCCATCAGGAATAGACAGGGCAATAAGCTATTCAAAGTGCCAATCCAACCTCACTGTGGTTCGCACCATCATGCACCCATCTAATCGACCCGCGAGTTAGGTGCTCCATCTCGAGGAGTCCTCGTCCTGTCGAAGGTGCCGTGGAAGGTGGAGTCATGATCGAATCTGCAGTGATTGTGCGGTTATGGGCTGTCGACCATGGTGAGGAGGTGATTTCGGAGACGGCTGTGGATGATTCGGAGAGTGCACGTTGATGGTAAGGTTTGCATGAGTAGAATTCCTCGCGTGTACGCCTTGCTGGTTTTGAGGTACTTCCGATGATGTTGTTTAGCCAGCCGCCTGGCGAGATGTTAGTTGATGCTCACACGACTAAAAGCATACGATAGACGCAGCTCATGAATGGAGGGGCCTATGAACACTTACCGATCATTGAATGCGCCTTGCGTTCAGCAGGCTCTGGGGTGGCAATTCTCTCTGGCATTGCCGCGAAGGGCCTAGAAAGTCGCTTCTCCATCGGCAATACCGTGTCAGCCTCGAGGCCAGACTTTATTCCGCGTCTAGCTTCATGATCCATGTGATATGGCTTGGGGCGGGAGAAGGCGGAGCCAATATCATTAAGAGTTTCGGATCTGGCCCGGATCGACATTAAAGGTGCCACAGCAGAAACGTGCCCGTCGGAACTTCTTGACCGTGAGGAGTCTGACCTTTTCTCCTCCACAATGGTGTTGAGCTCCATGACTTCCTGCTCCACGTCAGGTTCCATGCTGTCCGAGGATGGCTTTCGCAGGCTGTTGCGTTTGCGATTGAGCCGCCCCCAGTCGATTGAAGAATGCGGCGATGAGGAGGAAGATGATGATAGCGATTCCAGAGCCTGGCGACGTAATGAACGTATTGAGCTCGATGAAGAGTAAGATGATAACGTAGGCCTCCTGGTTTGCCGCTCTCTACTGGCTTGCGGGATGTCACCGAGGTCCACGGTTGGTCCTCGCGTCCAAGATTGAGATTTTGGAGAATGGCGTGCATGATATGCAGATGAGGCGCTTGAGGTTTCCGTAGATGTTGGTATCTCTTTTGATTCAATATTGATGCCATGATCGATTCCACTTCTCAGAATCGAGTCTCTCAGAGTCACCGGTTCMAATTGAAGCGGAATGAGCGAGCGTCGCTGTGCTTCTGTGTATTCCAGCCGGCGGAAAGCGGTCGGTTGACCAATATTCAAGCGCTTGACATTGCTTTTCGAGGCCTTGTGACCCGCTGGTGCGAACGTGAGGCCCATTAAAGAGGCATCTCCAAAGTCAAGTGGCTTCAGAGTAGGTGGACGATCGGGAACTGATAGATTGTTGTGTCGATGTATGAAGCCAGCTTCATTTCCAACGAGTGTTGCAGAAGATACTGCGCTGGTATGTAATGGTTTGAGAGGTATCGGTTGCTCATGCCAGATGTCGTTGGGGGTGGCTGTCGACACGTCAGTATAGTCTGTAGAGTGTCCAAGGGATAGCCACCTACTTGCTGCTCGGTCTAGCCGCTTTGCAGTGAGTTCCTCGTCGCTATTAAACATTGTGCAGCTCAACAGAGCGGCCAGCCAGCCCTTGAAACACCGGTTGGTTAGTCATGTCTCGATTGATACCGTAAGGTCAGTCTGCTCTGCTGGTCTTACCCTGTAGCTTCCATCGCTGCCTACAAACAGGCCCATCGCCGCAGCACTAACGTCTCATCTTCTGCAGCTAAGCGACCAGGTCAAGGTAGGTGTACCAGCACGCGCGATGAAAGAAGGAAAGAACGATGGAGCAGCAGGTGGAAGAAAGATACCTAGCTCACTCACATTGCGAGGATCCGAGCGGCAGCACAGACTACCACTACTCACTCCTCCACCAGACAGACACCAGCGTCTGATTCTGGAACGAGCAAATCAAAGGAACAGATCAAAATGCCTCCCAGCAAGCAGGGCAGCAAGTTGTAGCGGGGCAGGCGAACTTCATCTGCTGATTGACAGCCAGGTGAAGTCAAGCTTTGTGGCGCATTGCTGCAAAGGGAATTGAWTGGATGGCGGCTTCAGAAGCTAAAATGTCCAGCGCGAGCGCTGCTGACCTTGAGTGGTTGATAAGCTATGTACTGTACATCATCGTGTGTAGCCCACCCTCTCACCGTTCACAAAGGTGCCTGCCAATGTGCGCAGGAACGCCCCGGATCCCGAATTGTGCAAATTGCCAGCTACCTTATCCCAGAGAACTGCGGTTCACTCKGAAACCGAAGGCAAATCCTACGCGTGCTGCTTGCCTTTCTTGCTTGCACGGGGGGCCTCTCATTGGCGGTTGTGACTTGATCTTCTAGATAAAGCGGTGCTGTGTGCGTACACATTGTTCAAGAACGTATGTTACATGTCGATCGCTTCGTATTTCGGTACCCAATCATTGTCCTTYTCATTCAGCACCCTGCTATCCTCAGCTTGGTGCTTTTCGCGCTTCCCAACCTGGAACGGCGATGCCACAGTCCCACCGCAACGGCCACGGAGCAGCCTCCGCGAGGACCAGAAGTGAAACAAGTGGAGGCTTTCGCAAGAGGAGAGATGGTAGGCTGCAGTGCCAGTATGCATTAGGTATCGTGTTACATGTTTGCGCAACGTGTCCCGATCATGTCCGTACACTTTTGCTGCTTCCTCTGCGGCCGAACACTGTCGTCCGTGGACTCGTCGGCGCAGCGGGCGCTACATCTGGCAGCTTGGTGATGCCCAGCTTGACTTCGCAAACTCTTTGCCACACGCTTTGCACAGCCCGCTGAAGATCCGCTCCCATGTCGCGGTTCATGAGTCCTACAGTCAAAGGTGCAAAAATCTCAATGTGTTTGCTGAACTCCGGGTCCGCAAAGGACGTGTAGCCTTCGAGGACATCAATGACCACTGGCCTCCACGTAATGATGTTTCGCTGCTGTGTTTCTTCATCCAGGCGTATGTACGAGGCAACAATGTCGCTGCACAATGGAATGAGCGCCGCTTCGGTTTCGGGCCGGCTGGCTGTTCGCTCGTCACTCTGATCGCCATACATCCGGAGTAGGATGAGTACATAGACGCTAGCGCTGCCGCTCTCCTGCTTCAGCAGATTTGGGGGCTGCTTCATAAAACCTTCCCTGAATAAGCGGGTACGCAGGTCCACGTCCTCATTGAACCGCTTCGCGAAGTGGTAAGACTTCTTCAGCAATGCCATGAGCCGTAGCAGAAGATGCGCTGGTATGGAAGCATATACTGCATCGTTGTTGAAGAGCTCCGATACCGTTTCAATCATGAGCAACTGGAGTACACACTTGGTTATGATGCTGTTGAAGTAGCGTCTTCTCGCGGCCGTAACGACGATCGGCGCTTGTTGCTTGGACGGACCAGCCGCAAAGTCCTCTAGCTCGGACGGCTTCCTCCTGGATGGAGAGGCTGGAGAGGCTGGTGAAGGGCTGCGCTCCTTCTCGCCGGAGAGCGACAATGAGCTCGAGGCCTCCGCATCCGGACCCCCGATTGACTGAGCTCCGTTCAAAGTGCCGTCAGAAGCATCAGACTTGCCGTTGATGTTCAAAGCATTGGCAGACATGATCGAGGCGCCATCATCGAGCGTCGAAGGCGTCTTGGGCGTGTCTGACGCACCGTTCGAGTATGAGCTCTCTTTGGTATACGACGCAGATGTTGCGGCTGAGAATAGCTCCTTCGCTTCCGTCCGGGCGAAGAGATCAACAAAGGCGCCTACAATCCTGTCCCAGTTGGCGGGAGTAAATTTCTTGACGTTCTGAAGGATCAGTTGCTGTAGGCAGTTGCTACCGATACGAGCCAATGTATCATTCTCCTGACAGATACAGAGTGCCAGCAAGTCCAGAAATCGGTCAAGCATATACTCCAAACTGTCAAAGAAGTGCGTGAACAGACTGATCATGTTCCGCAGGGCTTGTATGAGCGTAGTGGAGAGCCAGACAGACAGCTCTTCGTGGTTGGCAGCTTCGTGGTTGATCGCTTTGCGGTCTTTGAGCACCATGAATATTGGGTAGAGAAGCTGTCGCCAAAGAGTGTCCCAGAAGTCGCGAGGGAATTCTCCGCCAAAACGCGTGAGAGTATCGAAGAGATAATTGAGGGCCCGCGAGCGGACTTCAAGATCTTCGCCTGTCATGAGGACATCATGAAAGGCGAACAGCACTGGAAACCAAAACTGCTCTTCCTGTGTCTGACGGCTTGGCTGCTTCGGCAGTCCCTCGGCCTGCGGCGCATCCTTTGCACCAGCTGCCTTCTGGGACAAGGGGCACTCTGGAGTCCTAAGCATCTTCGGCACGGAAGACTTCAAGGTTTCTATTGCTTGTAGACTCTTCTTTTGGAATTTCATGTTTTTGCTGAACTCGGTCAAACACACCACAAGATCCGCAAAGGCGCCTTGCGAAATGACCACGCCGAATCGTTCGTGAAAGACTTGCGTTACGTTGTCAAAAGCAAGATTGACGATGCTCTCATAAGGTTCCCGGGCAGCTACAGTGAAGACACCGAACATGGTCTTCCAGCCAGACCGGATCATGTCTCCGCGCGCCTGTATCATCTGAATGAGACAGCGGAGGACCATGTCCTTGACAGCAACTTGCGAAGCGTTGCTCAAAATGAGCTCGAATGGTTTCAAGAAGTCTTTTTGAAACTTGAATCCGGGCAATTCCTCAATCTCCATGAAGCGCATGCTGAGCTGCCGCAAACTGTTGAGTGCGAAAAAGACAACATGTGTGTTGTTGTGGCAGCCAACTTCGATGAAATGTTGACCGAGAATCTGCCAGATGTTTGTCCATTCAAACCTCACACGCAGCATGTTGTAGCCGGAGATCTCAACGAGCTTTTGCAGACTGTACGTCCTCGGTGACTCGGAAAGCCCAGACGATTGGATCTCTTGCCAGCTGACCTGAGTCAAGGCTTTGACAAAATCAACGATTGCCTCTCCAGATAGGTTGGCAGTATTTGTAAAGATTCGATCGACCCCACGGATCATGTCTGCACTTCGTGACTCCTCGGCAATCTCAGCTTGAAATGGGCCATTGGTCCCGGTCCTTGCCGTTGGTCGTCTTTGCGTCTGGATGCTCTTGCGTCCATTGCCGTTGACTTGAGGATTCTGAGCGACACTCTGCGCTCTGAGCATATCAGGCACCGCTCCCTCTTCAACACCGCTAGATATCAGTTGGAATCTGTCAAGCTGTGATATGCATGTAAGGACATCACGCCAGCTTTCTTTCAGACGGTTACCCTCCGTGTATGCCACCTCGAGAAGGGCCCGAAGCGCTTCAATGTTCTTGGCCTTCATCTCCGATAAATTGTAAAGGTTTGTACTCTTGCCTAAGCTGGACACGAATGCCTGTCGAGGATCTGCGAGATCAAAGAGACAAGCAATGCGGATCGCCAACTTTTGCCCTTCCATGCAAAGACGAATTGTCTCAACATTCTGCGTATCCTGCGCAGCTCCAGAGAGTGCGGTCAAGAATCCCATCCAAGCGACTTCGAACATGGGACCGATGTGCTTTGTCGAGCTTGCGGTCAGGAATCTCGTCTTTCCGCCAGCTGCTGCGCCACCCGCCTTTTTCTGTGCTCGGAGCAAGTTCTTGAAAAGCTGCTCGGTGCGGTTGCTCATCTCCTCACTTGCTTGCGCGTAAGCCTCCTTTTGTAAGTCCCGTCCAACATTGGCAAGGGTATTGACCAGTCCTCCCGCTGCCTGCTGGGTTGTAATACCCATATTCGCAGCGTTCGCACGCTCAGTGTCCAGGACGATTTCGTTGTGTGCAATCTCGTCAAAGATACCCTGCAAGTACTCGTCTGGCAAGTTGGCGTTATCGTTGATGCCGCGATTATTCTTGATGAAGTCCTCGATGGTCATACGCTGCTTCACCTGCGCCGAATGTTGGTCGGTGTTCAACATGATGACACTGTATGCTAGCACATATGCCGTGTCTGCGTTCGCAAAGGCATTGGGATTTCCAGTGGTGTAGCGCTCGGYAAATTTCAACATCAATCGATCAATCTTCTGCGCCTCTCCAGGCAGACGGAATGATTGAAGGAATCTCCGCAGCGCATCTACAAACCGGGTCCGGGCAAAGTCCATCTGGTCGACGAAACTGTGCATGATTTTAATGTTTTCCTCGTCGCCCTCGCCTAAGAACTCTCCCAGAGACTTCTTGTTGACTGCTTCGTGCGTGAGGAAAAATCGTGCAATGTCTGTCGGGTCTGATGAGGGTATAAGTCCTTCTGATAGAAGCATTTTGATGCCCTTTTTGGGTTTGAAGTTGAACGTTCTGATGGCTTTGTTCAGCGCTGTTTTCCTCGCCTTGACCTTTTCGAGCTCGTCGGGATCATCTTCTGCAATGTGGGCTTCAACCCCGACATTTGGTGATGGAGGTGGCATGCCATCTATGGATGCGCCATTGGCACCGACATCCAATCTTGTATCGATGCTTTCTCTAATGTCATCAACCGAAAATCGTTCATCACCTAACGCGCTGGCAACTGTCTCCACCGGCGTTTGCTGACTCCAGTTGACCATACTTCGGAGACTCTCAACAAGACATTCCAGACTCTGCATCTTCATCGCGTATTCCTGCGGAAATCCAAAATCATTTTCGTGCGGTGTGACCATGTTGGCAGTCGCCAGGCTAGGTGGTAAGGTCCCCTTATCTCGCCAGTCGTTCATACTGCTGTTTTGCTTGGCTTGGTTCTCAAGGTAAGCCTGTTGCTGGATCGCAGTGACTGCGACAGGCTGGCTTGCTATCCGGCTGACATGTTCAATCAGTCGCTGATACATGTTGTCCAAGGCTTGACGATCACAGTCGTAATTGAGGTATATCTCCACCAAAATTTTGGCCTCTGCGCCAATTCGTCCTACGACATGCTGGATAATGTATGTCTTTTGCCATCCGGGAGCAGCTCTCTTGTCGAGAATAGCAAGATAGACTTCCTTTAGGAATACTTCAAGCTCGCGCTTGAGCTGAGAGCGCAGATGTTGCATCATCAACCAGAAAATCTCTGCAGAAACCTCAAAGACTTTGTTTATGCTGCTTGCGCCGTTCCTGCTCAAACTTAGACATAGATATTGCTTGATTGCCTGTGTAAAGCTTGTGGGATCACCACTGGTGGAACTCCGTATCGTAGCGTGTGGTGAAGTGAACACCGTGTGATGGTTGAACAATACCGAATGGACAATGTGCAAGCTCAACAGCTTCGATCGCATGCCCTGAGATTTGATGTCCACAGCATCCTCGACCCGCAGGCTTTTCGTCGACAACTTGCACATGGCTCGGAATATCAAGAAGGCGTCTTTCAGGTACACTTCGTCCTCCTCGTCCTCCTCGAACGTGACTTGATCACCTTCCCCTTGCACAGTTATTGATGGCACATCGGTCCCTGATGCGGTCCTGGGCTGCTTGGAACGTTTCGGCGCTCTCGTGACTGTTGTTGGAGCCGTGTCGGTGATCCTAGCATCGTCAAAGGATTTCCGGGTCTCAAAGGTCTGCAATGTCATTTTTGGACCGCCTTCCTTCTCGATCGGGTCATCAACCTCCACCGCAGATGGGGTTGCGGGTGCCGTGGATGACGCATCGTCCGAACTTGCATCTGCTGCGCCGTTCATGTTCAGATTCGCGGCGGATGCATCTCGCAGCGCCTTTGCGCCCAATCTTGTCTTGACCCGCTCGAAGACAGTCCCGACCATTTGGGTCAAAGTCCCCTGGGCAATCATCTGATTGGCGCCAGATTTGCTCAGGAGAAAGATGTTGTATGTCTGCCGCACGCTCTTCAGCAGGCCAGCACCGTGTACCACAATCTTGTCATTCAGGATGGCTGCCAACAAGCTCTTGATGATCTGCATTTGCACCTCGGCGGGTGTCGCCTCGCCTTGGAAGCAGTCGCATATTGTGTCAATTGCCCTCTCAATAAGCGGGGGTCTTTGCTGCTCTTGCGCCTCGCCTCCCTCGGGGACAACTGGGGCGGAGAAGTAGGAGTAGCTGATGAGTTTGCCTATGCAATCAAGTGCCGTGACCACCACCGCAACTGTCGATGCCTCCGTGGCCAGATTCAAGGGCTCAAATAGCACCTCCGGGTTGATCTGAGACGCATCACCCTGTGCGTTCCTGATGGAAGATAGGGCACGCTGGGTTGATTCCTGCAGCGGTTTCCTCTTCCGTGCGTCTTYGGAAGCTGCAATGCTCTCAAGCGCCGCCACAACAAAGACCATGCTGCTTCTCGTCGATCGCACGGAATTGCGCGTCGCTGTAGTCGCCGTCGTTGACTGCGAATCGGTGCGCTCGCGACCTGCCGTTGCCATGGACATTGCCGGTGTTCCTGGTCCAGATTCGGGCGCTGACGCTGGTGCAGGTGCTGGGGATGAATTTGCGGTCGACGGCTGTTCATTTCGTACTTGTCCTGCTTCTTCTACTCCTTCTCGTTCCTCGTTGTCAWCTGCCGGCGGCATTTCCTCTTGAACCTCGATGCTCAATTCGGCATTGTGGGAAGGTGTACCAGGTCTACCATCCTGCTCAGCCGAATTACCACTGTCCACCTCCACCTCCACCTCCTCGGTCTCGATTGGAGCTTCGCGACTGGATTCCACTTCGTCCGTTTCTCGTTCCGCCAGTGATTCTCCAGTTCGAGGTGAAGACATGTCCACCGGGGATGCCGCTGCCTGCTGCTCGTCGGCCATACCAGCACTTGGTGTAGCCACGAATCCAAAGCGTTGTACCCTCCAAGCCAATGCACTATTCCCAACTCATGGTTTCGTCCCCAGCAATTCGTTCAGTAATGGCCGGCGGGTTGATGCGGACTGCTTCAATCACATGTAACCACTATTGGAATGCGATCTCCACGTAGTCCCTTTCTTTGTTTAGCTCAACTCTACGAAGACTAGGTAAGATATGTACTTTGTCCGGAGCTCCCGCCGCCTCGGCGATCCACGTGTACATGAAACACACGACCCCCCTACTTGTACTTTTCCTTCTTACAACACTCACACCTACTACTTATCGAGTCTCGGGCTTCGCGCGATTGCTTGCGCTTGTGGATACAACCAGATGTCGCGTTAATCTCCAGTCTGCGCATGTTACCTATGACCAGCTGCTTTGTCCACGGACAGGCCTCGAGTCAACAACACGCGTCCATGACCACCCTCCACATGTCAGAAATGGCAACATCAGTTTCAGTTGACACGCCACTGTCAGGATACGGACAGTGGATGTGGTGAGGCCGGAACAAGTTTGTGCTCAAGGGAAGCTTCAACCTTGCTCGTGCATTTGCCAGTTCGAATTGGCATAGACTCTCTGCGATATCGATTGAATGGGCTACGATGATGCCAGGCCTACGTCGTACGAACTACCCATTCCCCACAGAGCAAGCGTTGGTCGACCCCAGCTTGCCCAGCTTCGCCGTAAAGCCTATCACTCTGCGAGAGGAGTCCCGTCTCTGATTTTCCGTACAAGATCTGGATTCGTGACAAACGCTCGTCCCTGCGACATGTTAGCAATGACCTCTGGAGTACAATGCTCATCATACAAAAGCAATCAGCACATCTTTATCTTTGTACTCTTCGTCAACGGCAGTGGCTGCAGATTGCGGACTGAAGCCACCAGCGAGTATGATTGGGCTGTGATTGCCCCATTGCTCAATAAACGGGTCGAGAGACTCGCCAGCTTCCTAATTTCGAGAGTCAGTATGCGTTGAGACACCGGCGTTCATTGGGATAGAAGGCTAAGCACTGCATGTTTCGAGAGCCTTCTCGCACGGGCAGTCATATACAATAGCACGAAGGGCTTTTATACGGACCAACACTGCAGTCCGTATATTCCCTGTCCCATCGGGTTGACTTACAACGTCGACCCGCCCGGCTATCCTAGACTCCACAAGATGGATATGCGCAATGTTAAGCGCCTTGAGGCCAGCTAGAAGGTCGCAGAACTGCGGGACCGCATCTTTCATCCCCATACTCTGGTAGGTACTGAATGGGGAGATCCTATAGCCGACGCGATCACTTCCAATAGCTGCACAAACGGCTGCAGTAACCTCTATGCCGAAGCGGGATCGTTTTCCAATGCTACCGCCCCAGCCGTCTGTACGCTGATTGACCACGTCTTGCGTGAATTGGTCGATCAAAGAGTTGTTACCGCCATGCAACTCTACACCATCGAAGCCTGCAACCTCAACTGCCACTTTCGCAGCCGTCGCATAGTCGCTGACATATGTCCAGATCTCTTCCTCGGTCATTGCCCGCGGCACGGGACCGCCTTCTTGTGCAACCGCAGAGCTGGAAACAACATCGCCCGTGCCATCTCTTGCTTTGATCTCGGGTTCGGCGCTTCGTCCCAAGGCCCAAAGCTGAAGGTAGATGTAACTCCCAGCGTCATGAACACTGTCCACGATCCTCTTCCATGAATTGATCTGTGCTTCGGTATAGATGCCCGCTCTGCATTCACTCGTCCCACCTGCTTGTGCTGACACAAATGTGGCTTCGCCGATAATGAGGGTTCCTGGCACACAAGCTCGTTTTCCGTAGTACTCTCTGGCAGAGTCGTCCAGGACGTTGTTCTCGTCGGCTAGGGTGCTACCAAGCGGGCCCATGACGATTCGCGAGGACAGCTTGTTGCGTCCAAGGCGTATGGGCTCAAAGAGCCTATGGTCCTTGAGAGACATGCTGGGCGTGTACAACGGGTTCGATTTGCGTCCTGGATATTTCCACGTAGGACGAAGAACTGCAGTGGGTTGCGAGTAGTAATAGAGACTTACTAGATAGTCACTCGCGTGCCTTCGTCAAAGCACGTTATGAAACTGTGTATGAGGCAATGCGGTTCGCCGGCTAGTATAATCTTACGCTAACATAGCATTGTTTACGACAATAGCCACCGGGAGCTGCAGCGAGCGTACAGGGAGAAATTCTCTTCGGGCCTGAAGCGAGATAATCGTGATATGTAGAAAGCAATGCCATGCGTGAACAGCGCTTGGATGGAGATGTCCCACGCTTCGAGCTGGATTAATAATATGGAAGTCCACTTTAGCCGGAGCTCGTGCCGCGGAACAGACCATGAGGTACCTATAACACCCCTCCTCAATCTTGACAAGTTGCATGCATTGGTATTCATACAATCGTATGCGTCTAAGTGTATTGATTTTAGCGAGCGGTCATGTTCTTGCGACACCTCTTTCGTCCCACCCATGCAGTCTTCCCACGGCCATTTCAAGAGCTCTTCACTCGGGTACTGCTCCACTCAAGCACGCCGTGCTGACCCTCCTTGGGCTGTACCGTCTTGCACTTGTTGAACGTTCTCCAGAGCGCAATCCAGAATGGGGTCTCATCGCGGTTGTAGTAGCTGCCGAGGACCGGGCGGATTGCCTTTGTCGCTTCCTCTGCGTGGTAGAAGGGCATGGATCTGTGGATCACTGTTAGCAGTGCAAGACAAGACATTGGATGCGTGGCGAGTTACGGGAAGATGTGGTGCACCACGTGGAAATCAATGATTCCGTGGAACACCTTGCGACCGATGAAACCAAACGGCCTATCGACGGTGGTCAATGCTCCGTCCAGGAATGTCCACCGGTCAGCCTCGTAGTGGTGGCTGTCCGGGTGAGTGTGGTGCAGGTAAGTAATGGCCACTGATCAAGACATTAGTTGCTGAAGGCCGTTTACTCATCCAGGGCGATCAATGACTTACCTAGCCAGTTGTTGACCCACATGTATGGCTGTCCATAAATGAGAAGGGTGCTTGTCAGGCCAATCAGCCCCACCATCTGGTACAAAGCGAACATCACAACGCCAAGGCCAACCGTGGAAAGGAAGACGAATGGCCGCTGCGACGGTGTCCACAGGTTAGCCATTGGATCGAAGTGGCTTCCTRCACGGCTTTCCCCAAGAGCTTTCGGAGTTGACTTGTTGCCAGCGCTCACGTAGAAGAGAAGGTATGCCTGCCATCCGAGCAACTGGTGGAGGATCAGACCTCCCAGCATGTACATTGGAGTATCATCGGCATGTCCAAGCGCGTCCGAGATCTTTGCAACGATAGACTCTTCTCCAGCCCGACGTGGTACGAATGCAGTATCCTTCTCCATGTGGCCGGTGTATCGGTGGTGACGAGCGTGGGTGTACTTCCACGGGAAGTAAGGCACCAGGAGGATGGTGTGAAGAACGAATCCGAAGGTGTCATTCAACAGGTTGGTCGAGAACAACGATCCATGGCCACACTCGTGAGCGACGATCCAGACTCCAGTGAAGATGAGGCCTTCAATGTAGCCATACAGCGCCCATAGCAGCCAGCGAGCAGGTGCAAAGGCTACCAATGGAATGGTCTTGAAGGAAACGAGCGCAAAGAGGACAGCGACAGATACATCGAATACTGCGTGGCCCGCTGATTTCAAGTTGTTGGGCTGGAAGCAGTGCTCGGGAATGGCATTTCGAATCTCCCGAATCGTCGGGGGTGGGCCGCGTGCCGACGATGTGACCACCGGCGTCTCGACCGTGACGGTAGCGGTTTTGCTCATGATGATTGATGAGCTTCTTGTCGCGGAGAGAGGAATATGGAAGTCAAAGGGGCGTTGAAGGAGACGGGAGCTCAACTTTTTTGATGAGGATTGAGGACCCTCTCCACTAGGATCGGCGGCCGATAGTAGTGCATGGACAATTTCTGCTCAGGCGAAACTGAAAGACACGGGGCAGTTCAGGCCTTGGCAGGAAAGATGGGCAGCGTGGATGGGAAGGCCGCTATGCGGGCTTGAGCTAGGATCGAGCCGGCAATCGCGTGTCATTCTGTCATTACCGGAGATTGCTCTGATAGAGAGCTTGGTGCGACCTGACGGAAGAGACGTGAAATATGAGAGACGACTGAGCCACGTCGCCAATGCTGCTCCGCATCGACGTGAACCGCACACAGCATGAGTAGGTTCTTCCTAGCCATGGTATTGATCGATAAAGGAGCTCTATGATGATGAGCATTAAAYAATTTTAGCTACGGGCTCTAATCTGCCACTCTAAGTCCCTGCATGCTTTTGGCGCCAGGGCTCGTCAGGCACCGGACCCTCGTTCTCGCGGGTATATTTTGGCTTTTTGGTTGAATTTACGGCCGATCTCGGGGAGACTATGATCTTGGGTTCGTGGTAAGGTAGCGAGCAACTTTCGAGAGTCAGGTCACGTCGGGGCCGTTATATGGCCGTGAATCGCATCGAAACGAGTCTTCCCACTCTTCCTGAGAAACTTGAAGATTGGCAACACAATCTAGACAATATTATGTTGAGTCAAGTGGAGGCAATGGTAGTGTGCTATCAGCTCTGTGCTCGAAGTCAATGGGAAAACATTCACGAGGTATCCTTGTCCATCTTCACCGCTGTAGGTCTTGGGCACGACGGCCGGGAGTTCTGGACCGATCAGAGCTAGGACCTGGGCCCTTGTCGCTACAATCGTTGCACGGGAGACAATGGTCAAAAGCGAAGACCGAGCGAAGGACTGGCTGGTCACTGGTGTGACGAGTTTGACCCTCTTCGAGAAGAACATCAATCGAGACCAATCGCGAGCCTCCACGCGAAGCAATAAATAGATGACGGTTTCTGTTCAGTCACTCGGCGGGCGGTCCACATGGAGTTCTGAGGCAGTGAGGCCTCACCCAGTTTCAAGCTCTCAAGTCCTGAAAGGAAGCTTGAAAGGGGAGAATGGCGAAGGCGTGGGGTCTTTAAAGACGTGTTGAAATGTCGATATGTTCCGACGGTCGCCCCCCCCACCTTGATCATATCCGTACGGAACTTTCTCCTTGAGTGCTGATGTATCATAGGAATCGTGACAGCATACGGACATACTCCGTACATGAGTGTCGGTTCAAACTTGACTTTCCTCGACAGCCTGAGCCATCACATTAACGTAATAGGACAAGCATTGGCAGGTCGATACATCTGCTGAGATTTGAGGGACACTGGAGAAGCAGCACAGTTCCGCTCAAAAACGCGGAGTGCTCCTACTTGATGATAGTGAAATGTTGCGTATGGGGCGAGTCGTTGAAACTCCGGCTTATTTGACCTGGAGTCATTCGAGACAAATGTCAGACGTAACGGCTTTTTCGAATCTCAAGGCCGAATGAAAAATTGTCGTGGATGGACCGAATGTGCACTGAGGTGAGGCGCCCGCAATTTTTCATCGACGTACAAACTAAGGTAGGTACCTATTGGCAGCAATCTGAAAGTCAGGGTGAAAGATGAGCCTTGGGAACAAAGCCAATGCGCTAGGCGAGCACGTGAGCGTCGGTGGTTTTGATTCACGGAGGTGCGTATTCGCCGACCAATTGATTAGACTTGATTGAGATTTGATTTGGGAGAAGCTGGGAGGACTTTTGATACGCACCTCCGTAGTAGGCCCGATGATGGAACGCTAGTAARACCTTCACAGGTTGGTTGAGGTTCAAACAGCTTCGTCAATTCAAGCCCAACAATTATCTCTCCTGCCGTCACTTCACCGTCGACACTCTACCTGCAACGATCCTCGACCAGCGGCGAGCTCGAGAACCCCTTCAATCCTCCCATTCAGCGCTGCGACACGGACCATGTCAGCAGCTTCGATGTTTGCGAGGGCGTCGCGGGGCGTGTGCACGAGGAGCGCCTGGAGCGGACTGAGGACACAGGACACGGCTGCGTGAGTGAAGCTGGCTGGGAGGGGCAAGATGAAAGTGATCATGGACAATAGCTGATGGGACGATCTGCGCAGACGGAGAATACCGGCGCTTTCAGCGCTCGCGCGATACTATGCCTCGAATTGTTGGTCTCTCTCCCATTGGAAGATGGAAAGATATGGAGGTCCTTGAGCGTGGCTAACATGCGCTTACAGCCTACCCACCACACACAGTCATCTCTATGCCGGCGCTGTCGCCAACGATGACCGCCGGAAACATCGGATCGTGGCAGAAGCAGCCCGGCGATGCACTCGCGCCTGGTGATGTGCTTGTCGAGATTGAGACGGACAAGGCGCAGATGGACTTTGAATTTCAAGAGGATGGCATCCTTGCTAAGATCTTGAAGGAGTCCGGCACCAAAGATGTCGCAGTTGGCAACGTAAGTTTTGCTTGAAGATGGAATGGCAGCCACGTGGTGCTGAACACCGCTAACGATATAGCTAGCCCATCGCGGTTATGATCGAGGAGGGCGGCGATGTCTCCGCTTTTGAGAACTTTTCCCTCGACGATGCAGGCGGCGAKAAGGCGCCAGCCGCGAGCAAGAAGGAGAGCGGCCAGGAGGATACCATGGCCTCTGAGCCACCGTCTTCTAGCTCCGAAACCGCGCCCTCCGCATCCAAGCAGGAGGCCCCCAAGGCACAAGAGTCCGAGTCGACCGGAGAGCGACTACAGACCTCCCTCGAGCGTGATACTGGCGTCTCTCCATCCGCGAAGAAGCTTGCGCTCGAAAAGGGCGTGGCCATCTCCTCCATCAAGGGTACCGGCAAGGGTGGTCAGATCACCAAGCAGGACGTCGAGAAGGCCAAGCCCGCTGGCGGTGCTGCACCTGCAGTCGGAGGAGCTCCTGCAGCTGCTGCCTTTGAAGACGTCGAAGCCACTAGCATGCGCAAGACCATCGCCGCTCGTCTCACCCAGTCCATGCAGCAGAACCCCCACTACTTTGTTGCCTCCTCCGTCTCCGTCGGCAAGCTGCTCAAACTTCGCGCTGCTCTCAATGCCTCCGCCGACGGCAAGTACAAGCTCTCTGTGAACGACTTCCTCATCAAGGCACTTGCACACGCGGCTCGCAAGGTCCCAGCTGCGAACAGCTCATGGCGTGAGGAGAACGGCAAGGTCTTCATCCGCCAGCACAACACCGTGGATGTCTCTGTTGCCGTTGCTACGCCCGTTGGACTCATGACCCCTATTGTCAAGAACGTTACTGGCACAGGCCTTGAAGCTGTCTCATCWCAGATCAAGGATCTTGGAAAGCGCGCCCGCGATGGAAAGCTTAAGCCAGAAGAATACCAGGGCGGGTCGATAACGATCTCGAACATGGGCATGAACAACGCTATTGACCGCTTCACCGCAGTCATCAACCCACCCCAAGCTACCATCCTGGCAGTCGGTGCCGTGAAGAAGGTCGCCATTCCTAAAGAGTTGGAAGACGGCTCCGAAGGCGTCGAGTGGGATGAGCAGATTGTCCTCACCGGTTCTTTCGACCACAAGGTGGTTGATGGCGCTGTGGGAGGCGAATTCATGCGGGAACTCAAGAAGGTCATTGAGAACCCGTTGGAGCTGCTGCTCTAGATCTCGTCCTGACTGGGAAGGGACGAGCTTGGAGTTATAGATCTGGAGCTTTTGTACAGTGGGCGTGATTATCCTACCACCGACACCACTACCTTACTTTGTGTTTTGCAGCATAAGTGGAGCACGGGAGACTGGAGTTGGCTTGCTTTGCTTTGACTGCATGCTGCTTCTGCTGTACTAAAATAGCGCGAGGAAATGGAAAGTGATTTCACTGTGTGAGTACCGAGCTGCTTCATTCAAATATTCTCACTTCACCGTCARCAGGATTAGGTGAGCTTTGCCGAACTCAAGTGCTGGCACATGCCATATTGTGGCGACAATGCAAGTGAAATGACTGAATTTGTGGTCTCATCACATGCTGGTCCGAACAGTATATGAACCTCTCAACACTCTCCAAGTTCACTTTCTCACTCATACTCCTACTTCTTCAGCACACAATACCCCTTCTCAAACAATTCAACACTTCCAACAAACAACAGCGACCATGGACCATCTCGTGAACAGCCTGATCGAAGAGATCCGGCGCACCAACTCACCATACGTTCTGAAAATGGTGCGTTGTGGGCGAGTGATCAACGAACGGAACTAACCACTCACTTCAGACCAGAATCACCGAAGGCTCACGCAAAGGCAGTTCCTTCATCGAGGTCGTGGGCAAGACCGGCTTTCGTTTCCTCGATCTCCACTCTGAGATCCGAGATCAGATCTACAAGATATTGCTAGTCAAACCAAACCCCATCTGCCTCGCGGTCTTCAGACGCAGGATTGGCTGCAAGGTGGTCACGGGCACGGGCTTCGACTCTCAGAAAGAGCATCCTGGCCAAGTGTGGGATCAGAGAAAACACAGATGGGCCGGCGATCCGCCACACGAACTCAGTTTGCCGAGGGTCAACAAGCAGATTCACCGAGAGACCACGCCTATTGTTTACGGGAACAACCAGTTCATTCAGGGGTCATCGACAGCTCTCCTCTATTTTCAGCCGCTGATCGATTCGTCCATCAAGTTCCTCACGGCGGTCGACTTTGGCGAATCATGTACTCGGCACAACATGCAGGTACTCTTCACAGCCCTGGTATCTGCAACTGGTCTCCGCAAGCTGAAACTCAGTCAACCTATGGTTTTCCAGGCCTTTGGTTTCGATGACGGCAGCTTAGACGGGCAGGTTTACAGAGATTGCGCCATCATACTCGCCAAAGATCTTAAGCCCCTGCTAGTCTGTCTGCAAGTCGCCTACAAAGCTGGCGGCAGAACCTGGAAAGCGCTACACGTGTTGGAATTTCGACCGGCCTTCACCAAGATGCACACGTCGTCGCGAGAGAAGCGGCAGGCTAAGGCGCTCGAATATCTTGTGCGGCGCCGGACGAATGCATATCTCAACGACGAGTGAATTGGAGGGCAGTGCGAATGATGAGCAATGGTCATTGGGCCACACGACAATCAACAAGAAGATATACTGTGAGGCACTTACGACATTGATTTTTGGCGAGTGACAGTGGCATTAGGACGGATAAAGCGAGGGGGCTTTTCCTTTGATGCGAAGATTGTGTACCTTATGGACCACAGCCTGGTTAACGGTTTCGAGCCTGGGAAATTTTCGTGGAAGTCAACGACTGCTTACATTCAAATTGCCTTCCGGTATCTGAAAGCTCTCTTCAAGTCGAAAGGTTGGGTACGTTCCTGTGAATGACAGTGCGAAGACTGGAGCTGCCCACCAACTCAGTGTCATCCTACCCATCACACATGTTGCTGTATTTGAGTTACCTCGAGCTGTCTTTAAGGTCACCGGCGGACGATGCGCCACTACACCAACCCTAACCCTAACTCGAAATGTTCCCCTTCCAGGTACTCCTAGTGGTCCAATCTCATTATTGTATGGAAAGGATCATTTCATCGCACATGAGTAAAGCTGGCTGTTCACGTATTGAGGATACTGTAGCCATGTCCACACCGATGAAGTACGTTGGATTCATCACGGTGCACCATACAGCAATCTGGACATTTTGACCACTAGCGTGTCTTGTCTCACATCGRTCTAAACGCGAGAAGGACGCGCCGGATGAAGCCCACCAAATGCTCTCGTCAAGCCCACCTTGCGAACCCGGAACGGATGATTTGGCAGAACTGTATGGTATAGCGCCAAACACCATCGCCAGTACTGCGCCAACCACCTTCTCCGACGATCTCGAAGCATTGAATGAAGTTGCGGTCGAATCGAAACGCGCCAAAACCGCCGCCGGCATCGTCGTCCAACACCGCAGCTGGAAGATCTCCGACGTCTTCCACAGCGACGCACAGGAAGCAGCTGGCTCGTCGCCCGTTCGCATCCCCACCATGGCGTCCTCACCACCCCTCACCCCGTCTCCGATCAAGAAACGCAAATTCGGCCAGTTGGACCTGGGCAACTCCGCATTGACGCGTCCGGCCAAAGCTCAACGATCATTCTTTGGCATCGACATCCACCGCCTGCTGGAAGATGCTCAGGCGGAGGAAACATTGCCAAAGCCCATCCAAGAATTGCCAACCCCTCCGTCAGAGCCAGTATCGAAGAAGTCCACGCTACTCTGGACGGAGAAGTACCGAGCGAAGAAGTTTACCGATCTGATCGGAGACGAGCGTACACACCGAGCGGTCATGCACTGGCTGAAGCGCTGGGACCAGATCGTCTTTCCCGGGTCGTATCGCCCCAAGGCGAAATCAAAGGGAGCTGGCGATGCTGTGTTTGAGGAAAAGCCGCTCCGCAAGATCCTCATGCTCACTGGACCCCCCGGACTCGGAAAGACAACTTTAGCTCATGTCTGTGCCAAACAGGCGGGCTACGAGGTCCAGGAAATCAACGCCAGTGACGAGCGGAGCAGCACTGTTGTCAAGACTCGCATCCGGGACATGGTTGGGACTGAGAATGTGAAGGGCATTGATACAAAGACTGCCAGCGGCCACACAAGAAAAGCTGGCAAGCCTGTCTGCGTTATAGTAGACGAGGTGGACGGAGTAGTTGGTGGTAGTGGTGCAAGTGGTGAGGGCGGCTTTGTCAAGGCTCTAATCGATCTCATCATGCTTGACCAAAAGAATTCATCAGGTGCCTTGAGTTCATTACAACAAGGTCCCGCCAGGAAGAAGAAGGGAGAACGCTTCAGGATGCTACGACCACTCATCTTGGTATGCAATGATGTGTACCATCCGTCGCTCCGACCATTGCGACAAAGCTCGGTTGCAGAAGTGATCCGGGTGGGAAAGCCCGCAGTGCAGAACATGATCACTCGCTTGCACAACATATTCCAGAAGGAAGGTGTGCCGTGCGAGACTGACGGCGTGCGAAGACTTTGTGAAGCTGCGTGGGGAGTGAGCAACCGCAAAGAGGACAAACATGGAAGTGGTACAGGTGAGGGAGATATGCGAGGAATAATGGTGGTTGGGGAGTGGGTGGCAGGAAAGCTACGAGCTTCCAATGAGATTAATGTGCGCCTCACACGAAAGTGGGTTGAAGATCATGTCATACGAGATCTCGCCCATGACGGTGGAGCAGCGAGAGGATTGGGCCGAGGCGGACCAAAGGAAATCGTGGAGAGAGTCTTTAAAGAAGGCGCAGGATTCCCCAAACAATCGAACCTGGTCACTCCTCAGCAAAAAAATGGTGGCAACACTGGTGTCAAGGGTGTTGCGGAGGGCATACGACGAACGGCGACTCAGCGGCTGCGAGAGCTAGTCGACACGTTAGGAGACACAGACCGGATCATGGGAGACTGTTTCGCCTCATATCCAGAGCATCCCTTTCAAGACGACACTTTCCTCTCCAAACCGGATGCAGCATATGAATGGTTGAACTTCCACGATCAGCTGTCAAGTGTCGTCTTCAGCAGCAACGAGTGGGAGCTTGCGCCATATCTCAGCACACCAGTGCTTGCGTTTCACCATCTCTTTGCCTCTCCTACACGATCGCAATATGTTGCACCGGTTGACAATGAGGATGACGCAACACCCGTCCATCCATTAGCTGGCCCCGGAGCTTCTTGGGCCGCACACGAGGCAGAGAAACAGAACACCGCACACATGCAAACGTTACAGTCAGCACTTTCGCTCCCTCTCACACGCCTTTTCAGCTCAACGGCCAACATGGCGACCGATCTCCAACCATATCTCTTCCGGATATTGACACCGAACATCAACCCGGTGGTTGTCGGTGGCAATGACAAGGAGAAAGGCACTGCATCTGTCCGCAAAGCTTCAGAACAGGCACTTGTGAAGCGCGCTGTCAATGCGATGGGTGCCAGTGGCGTTCGCTTCGATCGAGTCCGAGTGAGTGACGACTCTGGCTCATTGTATGGTGCGCCTCAATGGATCTACAGGATGGAACCACCGCTCGATACCCTTTGTACTTTCGAGACCGGTGGACCTGGCTTTGGTGACAGCAGTGGCAAGACGCGGTACGCTGTTCGACAGGTTCTTGAGCAGGAATGGAAGAAGGAAGAAGCTCGAATAGCTGAAGAGTCTCGTTTAGCTCGATTCGGAGTCTCTTCACTGGTCCCTGTTGCACCTTCTTCAAAACGTGGAGTTCTGACTGACGAGGAGATGCTTAAAAGGAGCATTGCGAGAGATTTCTTTGGCCGGCCCATCGCTGCACTTGCGCCTGAAGCTCAGAAGACGAAGGATGCCGAGGATAAGGAAAAGCAGGGGCCTAGCGTATGGATCGCGTTTCATGAAGGATATTCGAATGCTGTGCGTAAGCCTATTACTTTGGCAGAGTTCATGAAAGATCTGTAGAAGAAGACGCCAGTGAAAAGCTGATGTTGGAAAGGCTGGAGGGAATTGATCTACTATATACTACGACGAAACGTTGTCCATATCCAGACACGACAACGATGAATGATCTTGTGAATGCAATGATGACTGTAAATGATTCAAAACATGTAGGATACCTTAGGTAACTATGTTTGCTGCCAGGAAAATGATGTGTAAGCATTTCGCCGCTTTGTGCTTTCTCGCTTCAAACTATCTCCTCAGGCATACATACACCATGCTATAGCAAATTTGGCACCGAGGAACGGCCATCATGCATGAGATTGTGACGCTACAGTTTGGCCAGCAGGCCAACTACATTGGAACTCATTACTGGAACATTCAGGTAGGTGAGTTTGCTCAAACTTCTATGGGTCCATCCTGCAGGCGCACTGACATCTCATCAAGGAATCTTACTTCACATATGGCACAGAAGAGGAATCTCCCGTCGATCATGATGTCTCATTCCGACCCGGCATTGGCGCTGACGGGGCGGAAACATACACTCCGAGAACACTGATATACGACCTCAAAGGTGCATTCGGCACTCTGCGACGCGAAAATGCATTGTATGAACTTCAACAACAGGAAAACCCTGCTCAGCAAAATCAATGGAGTGGGAGCACGATCCCATTGGAATTACCTCGAATTGCTCCCAGTTCATATCAGCAAGCTCTGGACGAAGGCACGACTCCACCCGTGCTGACCACAGATACCGTCCGATTCTGGTCAGACTACAATCATGTGTACTACCATCCGCGCAGTATTGTGCAAATGAACGAGTACGAGCTCGGAAGTGATCTCATGCCTTTTGAGCAGTGGCAAAAGGGCGAAGAGCTCTTCATGAACCTTGATCGGGAGTATGATCTTCTCGACCGAGATGTGAGACCATTTCTGGAGGAATGTGATCAACTTCAGGGCATTCAAATCTTCTCCGGCATAGATGACGCGTGGGGAGGGTTCACTGCAAAGTACCTGGAGCGGCTGGCGGACGAGCTCGGCAAGGGCAGTCGCTGGGTATTTGGTCTTCAGGAGACGCAGCGTGTTGCCCGGGATCGCCAGGCACTGCAAATCGCAAACGTTGCCCAGTCCCTGCACGCGATCGACTCTTCTGCCAGTATGCATATTCCACTGGGCAGTGTACCGTCGAAGCTCCCGGAGTACCTCGCAATGGATGGCTCAAGCCGCTGGTTCACATCAGCCCTTCAAGCGGCTGGCATTGAATCGCTCACGTTACCAGCTCGTCTCCGCAGTTCTCAAAGCGCCCGAGCAACGTTCGATGACCAAGAAACCACGCTGAACGGTGATGGCAAACGCCGTATAGCTGCAAGTTCGATCTCGGTCAAGGATCCAGCACAGTTGGCAGCACCCACCACGAACGGACAAAACGACGCTCGAATGACCAATGGCCAGCACCATGACGAGGATTTCGAAGAAAAGGAGGTGAAATTGGACCTCGAGTTATTCCCTACACTATCTCTGAACGTCTCATCTGCCAGAAGGGGGAATGTGCGACGTGGTAATACCTTCAGCAGGTTGGAGACTCTCCGCGGTACATGGCGAGCCGCAAACGACGTGCAAAACTCCAACGAGCAAGCACGGAATCGATTCGCAAGTTCAAACGGTCCGCGAACATCTGCGCATCAAACTGGACTCCTGTTTCCCCTGCTTTCTTCATATCCGACCTTGTTCAACTTCGCGGATCGGCCTCAAAAGCTCGCAGTGCAAGCTTCGCTATCTACATCGACCGCAATTGCTGATCAAATCAGAAGCGTGGAAGGAGTTGCAAGACGAATGGTTAGCATTGACGAGCGCGAGGCGTTATGCGATGGTCTAGCCGCAATGGCAGACGAGTACGAGGAGGGTTACTCGAGCGATGATGATAGTGATGAGGACTGAAATGAGGCGAAGAAGGTCATAGGCGACAAAGTCAATATTTTGCAGTGCGGTTGTATGCTCAAAAACATACACAACGCTTCAAGGGGAATCGTGGATCATATGTGTTCAATCTCCTCGTGCTTCATCATTCCTCTTCATCATTCCTCATCACTCATACGTATCGTGCTCGAAGTTCTCAACAAAGTGCAACATCCTAAAGCTGAGGTGGATCTTTGTGCAACACGTTGCGGCCATTGTCATCAATCGTTGTTGAAGGATGGCCGTGTCCATGGCTACTGGTGTCCTTTTCCTCCTTGTGGCTCTTGGGGTGCAAAATCTTCTGGAGCAAGCCCGTCTTCTTCTTCTCCTCATGCACGTCATTGTTATGACTGCCAGTCGTGATACCAGCGCCAGTAGCCGTACCAGTAGCGGTAGCGACATTAGCACCAGTAGTGATGCCAGCACCATTAGCGACACTAGCAGATTCGTGCGATGATGAGGCAACAGTGGAGCCACCTAAATTGATTGGCGAAGCAGGGGTAGCGGCAACGTTGGGGTCGAGAATGTTCGCAATGTCCAGCGAGTGTGGCCCAGCTACGTGGTGAACGTAGCCAGACACTGGGTTGCCATCGCAGTCCAGCTTCGTGCCGACCGGGTGGCGGAGAGACGTATGAACATTGCCAGAGTGATCTGTGTATGTCGCACCTCCTGACGTAGCGCCCAGCGTTGAACTCCCGTGAGCCTGATTGGAAGCTGCCAGACCACCACCAGTGGCAGCAACGCCTGTTGCCATAGGGACTGTGGAGTTCGCTGTGTGTGGAGCACCGATTGGGTTGATGTGGTTATCGGCAGTTGTGGAGCCGTCGCTCACATTGGCTAGGCCTATGCTTTCTGTATGTGCTGCATGCTGGGTCATGCTAGCCTCAGGGGCTCCGACTGGGTTGATGTGTCCAGTCGTCGTCCCTGTACCATCTCGTAGAGGGTGTGAGCGGTCGAGGACATGATTCTGGGGCTCGTTGTATTTCGGATTGATGTCATTCCCAGTACCTGTGAGTTGTCAGATTATTGACTAACTTGATGAAGATCCAATGTTCGATTGATGGCGTACCAGCGAGGACGGGTTCGCTATATCCAGAGGTTGCACCTGCGACGTTAGTCTCTCTTCCGAGCGTGCTAGTTGTGGGTTCCGTACCAGTTCCAGGGGCGACGCTACTGGCAGCCATCGATGAGCTGTAGGGATGTTGGTCAGAATTGCTAATAGGAGAGTGCCTATGTGCGCCAAGCTAGGCGATCCCCGCTGATGATGCAGGACGGGGAATGTGCAGAGATCACTTACGGTGCTCCAGCGGCTGCAATACCACTACCCAAGTGATCGGAGCGGCCTGTATCGGCTGTGCCCACTTTGTCGCCCGCGGCATGAGCTGTTGTACCGAACGCAACATCATCCCGCTTGTTACCCGAGGGATTGAGGAGCTGACGGAGCACAGTGTGGTCTTTCTGACTTGGGTCCGTCTCCAACTTGATGTTGGGATTTACAACTCCGTTTCCAAGATCGGGGTGATGAGTCTGCTGGTTTTCTTGTACGCCGTGCTYAGGGTACAGCTTCTCGCCTACACCTCCAGTTCCCTGGTGCTGTCCCGCGCCTGCTGTGACTGCAGTCTCGCCAAATCTCTGCTCATCATACTTGTGGCCTGAGCTAGATCAGCACTTTGCAATTGTACCACTTGCTTACATCACATACCCCCTGGATTCAAGATCTGATTAACCACTGTGTGATCTCTGGGAGCATCAGGGTTGGTGTACAGCTTATTTGGGTCTGGATTGGAAGTTGCAGTTGTGCCGTAGCGTTGTTCGTCGTATTTGCTTCCCCCCGTGATTTGGCTCAACACACCGCCCGACTCTTTTTGACCTGCTGCACCTTCTGTGGGATACAACTTCGGAGGCTCCTGCTCTGAGGTGTTGGCAAGACTCTCTTGGCGCCTCGTCTCCGGATTTCCATACAGGACCTCATCATCCTTCTTACTCCCTGGCGAAAATACCTTCTTCAGCTTTTCCATGGTTGCTATCACAGTTGGTTCCTTTGCGAGGGATTTTCGTAAACTAGCTCCAGGAGCATCGGGGCAGATGGTCTCATAAGTAGCTCGAACGCCTCGGCGAGGCACAAACAGGAGCTCTACTATTTGCAGACGTCATGGCTATCAGCTTCATCTCTCCAACTATCTTGGACAAATGCAGCCCAATGGCGTGACACATGATGGAAACGTGGCGTTGGCAGTAGCCTTTGCAACAGCGTTTGCTTAGCCCATTTGGCCATGGCGTTGCATCAGAACCCATGGTAGCAACCTAAATATCATCGAAAGCGCACGTTTTGTGTAGATGATTGAAGGACAAGTGAAGCCCCGCGTTGCGTCACAGATTGATCTGCAAGATCTTGGTTGTACCTACCAGTCCGAGGGGTGGGGCATTTGCTAGCGCGACTCGAAACCGGTAAGTTGGTAGCGACCGATTGAGCATGTGACATGAAGATCACTAGCCATCGAAACGACCTGTCAAGGTAAGGGAGTATTTATTAGTAAATATCTGCCTGCGAAGTTATACTTTACGAGTCCAAAGCAGGGATTGCCGAGCCTTCGTAATAACAGGCCAGGTAGCACGGTGTCCTGAGTGCACACCGACAGATCGTTCCCTCCAACACTATCGGACAAGCTTGGCATCCAACCACGCTGGATGGACCACGCGTGGTCACGCGAGCCCAAGTGCCACGGTGGGCCAACTACCTGTAGAGGTCCTACAAGGACGAACGAACGTTAGCTTGCGTTTTGGAACTTCAGGAGCTAGCTGAGGGTGTTGAGACGCTCGATGCCTTGCTCGGTTTGACGAACGTTACTTTTCTTCCTGTCAAGGCGTCGGTTGACTGCACCCAAAACCACCTTAAGTATGCCATCTCCGCTGAGATGGGTCCCCWGAGCCCCAGTGAAGGGAACAGTGTCCACAATGTCTCTAAGGTCATCGTCTCCCGCAATATCCGCCAGCTCGTCATCAAGCTGTTTGAGGTGCTTCTTCGCGGCTTCGTCCCGCCCAACTGTGAGAAAGGTCGTTAGCACCATGAAAATGTTGCTGGCCTCGGGAGGGTGTGTTCACAAGGAGAACGTACCCTGGAAGAACTGAATTCCAATTTGCCAGGCCGGAGCGTCAAGCWTGTCCAGCTTCTTCGCGGCTGCAATGATCGGACTCTCGACATCGTCAGAAGGCTCGCCGTCGGTGATGCAAATAATGTTGATCGGCTTGGTGGTGTCGGGAGAGCTCTCGTAGCGGCGAAGATACGGCTTCAAAATCTGATTGAGGCGCTGGCCGGTTGGAGTTCCGCCGCCTGGAGAGACTATCGAGAAGATCTCGCGAACTGTGGAGGTTGACTGGATATTGTGGTAGTGCTCATTGTCCTTCCGGTTGAGAAAAATGATGTCGATTCCGTCATCGTCATGTGCGGTGCAGATTGGCGTGATGGTCTCGATGGCTTGACAAGTTTCTTGCCAGCGACTTCCTGCCATTGAGCCCGAGTCATCAATGAGAAAGATGGTGTCAAAGCTGCTGAGAAACGCATAAGGGTCGTCTACACCATCATTTGTGGCTGCAGTGCCCTGAGCGCTTGGCATTGGAGCTGCGTTGGGCGCGGCAGAGTATGCTGGTGGTGCATCGCCGGGATTTCTGGRTGGGTTGGCGGAGCCTGGCGCTGGGTTTCGGGTTGCTGGAGTTGTGTTTTGGGAGTTGGATTGCTTCATGTTTGCTGGGGCTGATTGTGTTCCTATTTGTTTTGCTGTTGAATTCCTGCGAGTCAAGCGATCTTTGAGAGAGTTGAACATGTTGGTTCGTCGATGCAAAGTAGAATCGGTGAGCCGTGTTTGAAGTGGGGAAGCGTCGTGATTAAGAAGATATCACGAGGTAGGCGCAGTGGATTGCGGAAAGAATGATGCTGCTTGTAAGCCGGCTGTCACGGATCTAGAGACAATTTGGCTATCGGAGCAAACTGCACAGCTTGCCATACCTACTCTTATTACACATGTTCCATTCTTTCTGTGGAACCGTACAGCGTAGGCATCGCTGGCGTCTCGCATCCGGCAAAATTTCCAACAGATGGGCAGTGTACCTACACCTGGCGAAGCAAGGCTTTCAGCAATTGACTTGTGAGATGATGTGAAGTTGTGGCTTGGCGTAACGTAAGACCCTGAAAGTCACCAGGTAGGTTGGTAGGTTGTCTTCTGGCTCAGCCTCCCACACAGCCTCATCCTTCATTATTCTGCCAAGTGGGCGGCTAGAGTCACCCGACACAGCCGACCATCTTGGCGTGGATCTGCCGAGTTGCCATTGACCTTTGTATGGAAGTGTCTGGTAGGTTTGAAGTCTTTAACAGCCAATGCGAAATGGTCTTCTGTGAACAAGCGGTGATTCCCCATAGACAGCGGATTGATTCGCGGGCTTAAGATAGAGGAGTTGTTCGGCTAGGACAGTATGCGTAAAATCCTCATAACCAGCACATATGGTACCTTCTCGGCTGTTGAATGTTTGGAGAGCCGTCAACATTTCCTACCGTCGTACAAAGCGTGCAAACTGGCGTTCCGATGTGACAAGCTCTCTCTTGAAGAGGGATCCCGTGGATAACCTTCGTTGAGCAAGTGCCACCCGTTTCGGCTTTCACGCGCTCCAATCTCTGTCGACCGCGGTGAAGACCGCCCGAACGTTATTATGCAGCTCCTGGTGCACCGGCGTCCGAAGTCGAAGGAGCTGCCGCCTCCACAAAAGTGGCTTCTTCGTATCCATCCAGGAATGTTCGACACGAGCTTGCGACCAGCATTCTTGACATATGCCGACATGCGCAAGACACTCATTAACCATGTCCAAAAGCGGGATCAACTTGGTGCGCAACCCGCAATGATGATGGAAGGAATCTATCTGGTATTCCGGGGCCTGCTTTAATAGATCGATCAAGACATTCAGGTCCCCTTGAAATGGCTCAGACGGCGCTGCGTCATCCAGGATTGTTCCACGAACTGAGGCCGTACCGATCCTGGAAAAGAAGCGGACCATTTCACCAAGCTGAAAGCTGTCACCTACATTGCGAAGGGTAGAAGGGTTAGCGATGTCTGAGGAATTCTCGACGTGGACATGGACATAGCGTAGCTCGGGAGACACCCTCGAACTACCCTGTATGCCTTCTGTCCTTCATGGCTTACATTGAGCGCTGCTATCGTATCCTAGCCTGCACTGTCGTTCGCGAGAAGTGTAGAGCTTGATGAAGTGATGCTCGAGCGATTGAATCGTTTCTAAGATGCAGTACCGGCGATGAGCAAGCTCCTCCTCGATCTGCATGGGTAAATCCCACCACAAGGCAGAGGTCTCATCGATTTCTCGATCGATCCAGCCTTTGACAACCATGCGCAAGGAGTACTTCTCGGTCCATGGAGGATAGTCAAGTAGTATCGCTACAAGAAGCCTCTGCCTGATCTTTTCTTCCGACAGAGCCAGGTCCACTTTTGGCGCAGTCTTGCCGTCGATAGCCCGCAGCATCTTCTTGCGCCGTACGTAGGAGCCCACAGCCGTCAACGCGTCGAACCTGTCCGCAACTATTGCCCAGTTCGCAATGTTGGTCACAGGAGGCAACGGTGGCGTGTCCAGATCGTGCAGTATGGAAAGAAAATCGGTGCATAGCGCCTCGATTGACTTGACCGCCGAAATTCTGCCTATGTCGTCTATGCGTACAATGGGCAGCTCTGCAGCTGGCACATCGCCAATATTGTCATATTGCTTTCGAAGCTCTACATGTTTCGCGCCCACTTGCTCGCTTTCTCCGAAGCGTCCTTGTAATAGCCCAGAAAAGTACTTTGAAGTGGCTTTGAGCTGGCCGGAGGAAACACGGAAGCGGTGGACGTGGACCGTCGCGGTCGCGTCGTGCGAGATGCAGAGTATCAAATCGCCACGAGCATCAATGTCAACTATTGAATCCTTGGAGGTTCGTTCCTCGTTTGCAATGGGATTAGAAACGGAGGCGGTTTCGAAGCGTTTGGCCGCGTTCTTGGGCTCTCGCGCAGGGGCAGACATCGGGTGATAAGGACCTTCTGTATGAAGGCATGGAGCACCTCAGCTCATGGGTAGGGCCAGAACATGATGGTGCAGAGATACTGGCGAGCCGGATGGGGTTCTTGCGTGGTGTCGAGATCATCTTAGCCAGAACATTTTGAGGTGAGCACGCGCTTTGTCATGGGCTGTTGTGATTGGACGGCGGAAACCACACCACGTGAGGATGTAAACGCCCTCAAACTTGCTTGGTAAGGTATGCTTTTAAAAGATCTCCTCGAAAAAAATCCAACTGTGAGATGTCTACATGAACAGGTCTGGACCTTTATGCGCTGACTACCATCACTCGATACCTCAAAGCGGACTGCTGATACTAGACAATCCGACTACGTCGAAAGCTGGCGTGGAGTGCTGGTTACATGCACAGTCTTCCCGGCTTCACCTTGGTTTTGACTGGATTCGTCGCTGTCCACGACTTCGCTGTCGTCTGGTCTGGCCTTGGCCTTGAGGAGGGGAAAGTGGCCACGCTTCTCGTAAAAGCCAAGCGAGCCAAATGCTAAAATCACTCCCAACCAGTACAGATTGTAAGAGATGACGGATCCGTAGGTAGCACTGTTCGTCCATCCGAGGATTGAGTTGAATATGCCCCAGCCGCCGCCTCCGTTGAGTTCTGGATTGCAGCAATTCACATGCCACACACTCTTGCGTATGTCGTAAGATCCAGGCCCCGAACCAGTCTCAGCTGCGTCACCTCCCGTGAGCTTGCTCCAAGCGTTCATCTCGAAATACCATACGGCCTTGGAGAAGWGCCCTATCGCAGTTAGCAATCCGTCAGCATTATCGATCAAGGACTATTTACCGGCCGCAATCAAGTACAAAAAGCACGTCGAAATGATTAGGAAGATCTGGAGCTTGGCCGTATTGCCGCCACTACACTCACGTTAGCACAGGCGTCGATATGACTCCAACGCAGAAAAYCTACCGATATATAATGTAGCCGACAAACACGCCAGAAAGAAGACCGCAAATCACGGCCAGTGGGAACGATGTAGCCGGAAGTCCGAGGCCAACYCCTGCAATAAAGACGACCATCTCCAGTCCTATAAATTGAGGGTTAGCGATGTCTGAGACGAATTCCGATACGGGCAGAGACATGGCGAAGCCCGGAAGCAACCTTCGAACTACCCTGTATGCCTTCTGCTTTTTAGTATTAAGCTTACCCTCACGAAGCACAGTGACAAACGGCAGTATGAAGAGGGCGTAGCGCTCGCAGAAGAGCTTGAATCGGCTTCTATAGCCAAGCCCCTGTCCAGCGTGGTGCTTCTCCAGAGCCTGAGCGATCTTGACTCTCCACTTGTCCTGCAGCTTCGAAACTCGCAAGAGTCCTATACCCATCTTCGACACCAACGAGTCAGCAGCGTTTCCACCAGGCTGGACAAGCTTGGACCATGAAGTGAGGACGAGTACTGCCCTCTGCTTCACTCAACTTACAATGGAAATGATGATGGTGGCGATCAAAGAGAAAACACCCTCCCAAATGTCTTCAGCTTTGCTGAAAAGGTTCTTTCCGAGGCCATAGAAGGTACCGATAAATGCTCCTCCAATGATGAAGCATAACAAAAGGCCAGATGCAATTCCATACCAGATCTGCCTGAGTAGTTTCTTGTAGACCACCGGGTCACGTCCAGGTCCGCCGATGCTCTGCTTGAGAAAGGCCAAAAGGATCGAGACGATTATTGTACATTCAAGGCACTCTCGGAAGCAGATGAAGAACACTGGAACAGGTCAGTACGCTTCGGTCGGATCATGCAATCGCAGCGTTTTTACCTGGCACTGCAAAAACGTTCACCATGTTTGTGGTTGTCCTTTGGTCGACCTTCTTACGACAAGAGTATAGATCAGATAGAGATCTGATAGTCGTGCGATCGAAAGTCCTGTGATCGCTTTTGCAGGCCTTGCGATGTCGGCTTCGCACGCGATGGGAGTGCCAGGATGTCGGAATCTGCAAGCGCCGGACGAGGAGCAAGGTGTGGTCGTGTAGTATGAACAACAGCGCTCGTCTGACTACCAGGTACCTCCGCTTGGAAGAAAAAGTAGAGTATTTCGGAACTTCTGGCACCCGCGACTCGCTCGCACGCCCCTCAGCAAAAAGTCTTAGCTATCCCGGAGTACCTGGTACAGCTCTCTCCTGCGGACCACTTGGATTGCAGAACGGGGAGAGGTATCTTATCAGATTGATAATCGTGACATTAAGCATATACTAGCCCGCAATCCTGGGGATCTAGCCCGCCCTGGACCCTGCTACCCCGGGAAGTCACGACTCGGTGTCCAACACTTTGAAATTTGCACCTGTTCTAATGGCAGCAGGAAACAGAAAGCGGCGCCCGAAGACGTATATCAGCTTCGAGTACCAGGCAGCGTACAATCTTTGGAGCAGTTGGCCGGAACGAAAGCTGGCTGTGGCTCTGAAAACAAACTCCAGAACGATCGGCGTCGCTTATCATTCAAGCTAATTGGCAGGAGCTTGTCCCCTCCTAACCCATTTAGCACTTTGTACGCCTTACCGTAGACGCCTTCCAACGCCGCGGCGATCAGCCGGTCGAGAGATCTTGGGCCCTATCAGATCCTACTACTGCATTTTGCACATGCGCCGAACATCGGTCAGCATCTTCGAGGAAAGAAACTGCTCGCATCGCTTCAGTTATCATCACTCACTGAACTTGAGAGAGCGACGAACCGGGAGCATCTTCCGCATAGAGAATTTCGCGGACGATGTTCAGCTTACGAACATGTATCTTTGCGAGTCTGCTCGCGGCTCAGTCGTCCGCTGTGACATTTGATTGGAACATTGTGAGCAGAACAACATTATCAGTCTATACGACGAGTGTTTTTTCACTGACCATACATACCAGACCTGGGTCACCCGCAACCCCGATGGACAATATGAGAGGCCCGTCATCGGTATCAACAACGAGTAAGCTTCTTCGATATGGTGCTTGATTGAACTAAGCTCACACGCTCTCTCAGGTGGCCTGTTCCGCTTCTCAACATCACCAAGGGAGAGAATGTGGTGATCAATATGCACAATCAGGTAGGTTCTAGGCTATAGGGTTTTCGTYGCATACTGATAAAAGGCGTTGTAGCTCGGCAATCAAAGCACAAGTCTCCATTTCCATGGACTCTTCCAGAACGGAACAAACGAGATGGACGGGCCCGTGGGCGTAACGCAATGCGATGTACCTCCTGGATCGAGCTTTGTATACAACTTCACACTTGAACAGCCTGGAACGTATTGGGTATGGTACGAGTGGAATGATGTATAGGAACATGTCTGACCAACAAGCAGTACCACTCACATAGTCGTGCGCAATATCCAGACGGACTCAGAGGGCAATTGCTCGTGCATGACCCGGAAAATCCATACGCCGGTCAGTACGACGAGGAGGTCGCCCTCACAATCTCAGACTGGTATCATGCGGAAATGCCAGGCCTTATGGACCACTTTATYAGCGTTGAAAACCCTACTGGCGCTGAGCCGGTTCCAAATGCCGCTTTGATGAACGACACTCAAAATTTGACCGTGGCCGTGGAGCCTGGTAAGACTTACTTCTTCCGTCTGGCCAACGTCGGAGCATTCTCGAGTCAGTACTTTTGGATTGAAGGTCACAGCTTGACTATCATCCAAGTAGATGGCGTCTACACGGAGCCTGCTGAAGCTGAAATGATCTATGTAACCGCCGCACAGCGATACGGATTTCTGGTGACTGCTAGGAACGATTCTTCCGCCAACTTCGCCATGGTGAATTCTATGGACACCGACTTGTTCGATGCTTTCGATCCCAAACAGAATTTCAACGCGACTGGCTGGCTTATGTACGACGATGCGAAGCCTAAGCCCGAGGCGAAGCTGCGAGAGAGTTGGGATGCCCAATATGACGACTTTGATCTGAAACCGTATGATAAGCTGGAGATTTTCGACCACGTCGACTACTCCTTCAACCTTGACCTCTCCATGATCAATTTGGGCGACGGTGCGAACTATGCTGCGTGAGTGGTCTTGGTACGATACTCGGGGTGAAGGAACTAACAATGCTTTGCAGCTTCAACGATATTACATATGTTCGACCCAAAGTTCCTACGTTGTACACAGCGCTGAGTACAGGCGTGCACGCCAACAACGCGACAGTGTATGGCAGAGATACGAATTCATTCGTGCTGCAAAAGAACGATATCATTGAAGGTGGGTTTCGCGATGGATTCGAGCAAAGTGCAGATGACTGATATCGACTAGTTGTCTTAAACAATGACGACCCTGGTAAGCATCCATTCCATCTCCACGGACATGATTTTCAAGTCGTCTATCGAAGTCCTGAAGAGTGGGGATTCTACGACCCAAAGAATCACTCCAACTTCCCATCARCACCGATGAGGCGCGATGTGGTTTGGGTGCGACCCAATGGGAACTTTGTGATTCGCTTCCGTGCGGACAATCCGGGTATATGGTTGTTTCATTGCCACATAGAGTGGCATTTGGCTAGCGGGCTCATTTCCACATTCGTGGAGGCGCCGCTGGAGATTCAGAAGACCATTTCGATACCCGCAAATCATTACGACGTCTGCGTGGCCGGGGCTACACCGACTGCGGGAAACGCAGCAGGCAACACACAAGACGTTTTGAATCTTGACGGCCAAAATCTGAGCGTGGCGCCCTTGCCATCGGGATTCACCGCCGGTGGTATAGTTGCATTGGTCTTCAGCGTGATAGCGGCGTTGTTGGGGATGGGCGTGATCGGGTGGTATGGAGCAGCCCCGCTGTCCTCGACTGAGATGGAGCGAACACAGAGATTCGTTGCAAAGGCAGGGTAAGACTCACCGGTCCAGCGGGCGGTGGTACGACATCGGTTTCATTATGGAGTCGAATGGATGTTAGCTTGACGATTCAATGCATGATGGCTTCCGGTCGGGTCACGTTTGGGGCGGATGAATGTTCTGGCGGTGTGATTCAATACGTGTCGACAGGGGAATTAGGTAGCAAGCGAAGATTCCCAGCAGACGGCCGTGGGCGATCGATCGCTGGACAGGACAGAAATGCCTTGCTGTAATGGTGACATGAATTGTGAAGGTGGATACCGCTGGAACGTGTCGACCTATGGGAGAGCAGGGCGCGCAAAGCCTTGCATGTGCTGCCGACTGCATCCACGACCCGCTGCGGATCATGCGGCACTGCACTGCACGGAGACACACACCATGTTGAATGATGAGTCCAGCGGGCGGGTGTATCCGCCGACGGCGATGGATGTGGAGGAAGGCGAAGCGGAGACCGTAGAGACCGAACAATGCAAAACTCTCTTCCCAACCACACTGACTAACCCTTCTCGTCTTGGGTCGCAGAAAGTTTAAGGACTAGTAGTTGCATGCGACCGCTGCTGTGCTCTGCGTTGCTCAACTTTCCTGCAGACGACGACCAGCGGTGCTGTGCCTTGCCAGGAAGCGCTGTGCTGTGCCGCATCTTCAACAAATCCATCCATTCAAAACAAAGCCGAACGACCTGCCTGCCTTACTTTCCTCTACCTTGTCCACTTCACTGCCTTTCCCATGCTCGGTCCTTCCTGATCTCCCAAAGCCCCTCCTTCCCCCGCCTCCTCCTCCGCCGCCGCACCGCCGCACCGTCGCCGCCATGCATCCCACCCTCGCCTTGACCTACAACGAGCGCTCGGAGCTGCCCAACCTCACCCCGCTGGCCACGTACCTCTTGCGCCTCGTGCACGTCAAGCGAACCAACCTCTGCGTGAGCCAATATCATGGGTGGAGGACATGATTTCCCCACCCCACCTACAACACTCCCGGATGGACGCTGACCCTCTATCCCGCCTTCCAGGTGTCCGCCGACGTGACAACCACCAAAGAGCTGCTTCAGATTGCCGAAGACGTGGGCGACCACATTTGCGTGCTTAAAACGCATGCCGACATCATCAGCGATTTTGGCGAGAAGACAATCCGCGGACTCAATGAGATTTCACGGCGCAAGAAGTTTATCGTATTTGAAGACCGAAAGTTTGGAGACATTGGCAGTACGTCTACGGCCTGAGAATTGAGGTGCAATGCATGGTACTGTATACACCGGCTGACACATTCTGCCCGCAGGCACGGTGCAGCATCAATATGTAGGCGGCCCACTGACTATCGTTCGCTGGGCGCCGATCGTCAACGCGCACATTTTCCCGGGCCCGGCAATTATTACCGCCCTGGCCCAGGCGGCGCAGCGGGCGATCCTAGCTTACAACACTTCCGTCTCGACCGAATGCAGAGCGAGCCCCAGATCATCCGCAGTTGATACGTGGGACGACCCAGATGAGGACGACGACGACGATAACTACACCAATGGAGCAACTTCTGGCGACGAGTCCGAAACCGAGTACGAGCACAACGGCAGGAAGCACTCGGTAGTCTCTGTGAGCACCACCATCAGCATGAAGTCGGAAGCCATCAGCCCGCAGCCAAGTTTGCGGCCTGCAATATCGCGCGTTTCTTCAGGCGACCCCGATGACGAGGACGAGGGTGATGATCCGGAGGCCCTAGAACATCTCGGACCTCCCCCATACTTTCGCTCTTTGCTTCTCCTGGCTCAAATGTCGTCTGCGAACAACTACTTCACGCCGGAGTACACATCTGCATGTTTAAAGCACGCCAGAGAGAATAAAGACTTTGTCATGGGCTTCATTGCACAGCAGACGCTTAATCAGGCACCAGACGACAACTTCATCACCATGACCCCAGGAGTGCAACTGCAATCCGGCGGCGACGGTCTCGGCCAGCAATACAACACTCCTCAAAAAGTGGTTAGCGAAGGGGGCACGGACATCATCATTGTTGGCAGAGGGATCATCGCAGCATCAGATCGTCGCGCCGCAGCATTAGAGTATCGGAAACAAGGCTGGCAAGCTTATCGTGATCGCGTTCGTACTGCACGAAAGCAGCGGCGATAGATTGCGCGTGGTTTCTTGCTCAGTTGCAGATGCGTTCAAAGCGGGATCTTCAGCCGAGCGCTATCTCCCCGTGGGAAGCAAGGCCGATCAAACTGGTGCGAGTTGATGGGAAAACACAGTGCGCCTCCGAATCCTCTGCGCCGGGCTGGGGCCGGAAGTCTGGTCTGGGTCGTTTCATGAACTGCTCAACTTCAAACAACAGGGCTGGACGACGAATGGATTTTTGCCGATCGGGAAGAGTGGCTGGGTCAAGATGGATTTGGACAAGCATGTGTGAGGGACGGCATAAAGGTGAGATGAGATGAGACATCTACATGCAAATGATTGGCTGGGGACATGGCATGGTCTGGTGACCGACCACATGACGAAAACAAAATATGAGTTATGAAACTTTCCTCAATCATCAAGGCAAACAGGCACGCTCATATAGTGTATGCAAAGGCAGGTCATCCTCGCCGTCAAGGTTGTCGTCACGTCATCCCAGTCCGTCCTGCATCAAATAATCTGTCCCCGACAATCTGACAAGATTTTCAGGAGCCATGCCAAATCGAAGCCCCAAAGCGAGCCAGATGCATTCCATCGCACATCGACACTCGCAGCATGCTCACCACAAGTCTCATCCAAGCTAAGATTTCTTCGCACCCCTCTTCGGTTTCGGCTCGATCAGGTTCTCAATCGTTTTCGTCCCGATCTGCTTGCACACCTTCGTCTTTTGGGGTCGCTTGTTCGCCTTCTTCGTCCCAATTTCACCGTCTCCCTGTCACTCCTTTTCCAGTCTCGCCTCGATATCCTGCATCCACTCTAGACTCATCTGAATGGCTAGGTGACTGTTGGGATGGTTTTCATAAAAGACCACTGAAGTCTGAAGAGCTCCTCAAACATTTGGTCTAATTTGAAACAGTGGAAGAAGAACATGATGTGGAGAGCCGTAATGAATGGGAAAACAGACGGGGAAACCAAGCGGGAAGATCTCGGCTGAGCCCGTGCACCCGGTGAGTGAATGAAAGTTCGGATTTGTACGAGCGTTACGCGGCACGACATTTTTGAATATTGAGTCCGGATCTTCTACATAAGTTAGATGCTGATAACCATCTACAAGGTGAAAGCATCTCTTTGCGGGGAATCTCTGCATCTTCTAGGGTTCGAGAAGCAACGAAGCCCGCTAGCGTTATCTGCATTGCGTTCCTCATTCTAATGTAAGTCGCTACATGGCTTGGACTGACTTCCTGTTCGACACAGGTTTTATTTTATGCATCTCCTCATCACCCCTGTTCTCCACACTGCTCGGATGTTCAGACTGATCAGCCGAGGTCAGGGGAGCTATCAAAGGTACATGGGTAGCTACATACATTGGATTCATCATATTCCACGACTTTTCAATGTACACACACACACATACTTTCCGACACCCATCGACATTTAAAAATGGCACCACCCCATCGAATGGACCACATAGGTTCCCTCCTCCGCCCAGCATCCCTCCTAGAAGCACGATCAAGTCTCTCATCCCCCTCAAATCTCTACACCATCCCCTCAGACCACAAAATCAAACTCGCCGAACAACAAGCAATCCAAACCATCGTCTCCAAACAACAAACCCTCTGTATCCGACCCATCACTTCAGGGGAATTCTGTCGTCATATCTACTACGGCGGTCTCTTTGAAAAACTCTCCGGAATGACTCCGATGCCTAATCTTCCCATTCCAGAAGCCTTTCTTTCGTACAGATTTCCCCACTACAACCGGCCTCGCGAAAATGGGCGCAAAGACTCGTGCGGCTGTGATTTGCACGGGACCGATTCGTTGGGAGGAAAGTGCGTATTTGGAAGAATGGAAAATGTTGACTGCGACCCTACCGAGGGATTTATGGCAAGAGTGTAAAATTACTTACCATGCCGGCGCCGAGTTATCAGCATATTCAACTTCGCCCCGGAACGGCATTTACTGAAACTTCCGGGTATCGAGGAGATGGGGAGTATTTTGAGGATTTGGCCAAGGCTTGTGCTGCGGAAATTCAAGCACTCTATGATGCTGGGTGTAGGAATATTCAAGTCGATGATCCTCATTTGACATATTTCTGCTCGGAGCAGTTTTTGAAGGGTTGTGAAATTGATGGTGTCGATTCGGATGCTTTGTTGGATTTGTATATGGAAGCTCATAATATTGTTTTTGAGAGAGAGGCCTGGGCGAGATTTACATATGGGGACGCATCTTTGTCGAGGGAATATGAGTGGTTCGAATCATTGGGTTAATGGAAGCTATGATATTAKGATTGCTGAGAAGTTGTTCACGAAGACGGAGTATGATACTTATTATCTGGAATTTGATGATCTATCTGGACAGAACGGGTGGGTTTGATGTCTTGCGATTCCTTCCAAAGGGGAAGAATGTTGTGTTGGGTTTAGTGTCGACGAAGAAGGCGGATTTGGAAGACGCGGAGGTTCTTCAGGGCAGTATCTTTCAGGCAGCTGAGTGGGTCGCCAAAGGACAGGGTGTTTCCCCGGAAGAGGCTTTGAAGTGTCTCGCTATCTATCAGTCCGCAGTGTGGATTTTCCAGCTCTTCTTTGGCGGGTGGCAAGGATATGACGGAGGAAAGGATGTGGCAGAAGCTGGAGCTGGAGCTGGTCAGAGATACGGCGAGGAAGGTGTGGCAAGATGCCGCTTGAAATGGAATGGACGTGGCAAGAGTCTCATTATTGAGAATGTGTACATAGCTTGAAAAGTGCTGGCCCTCATTTCATCAGTATGCATAGATCGTCGACTCACGACGGACCCGAGAAAATCTTTCTGTCTCGTCTCAATCAACTTGTTCGGAAGTAAGTACATGCCCGGCCACTTTCGCAGCTGCAACAAACCTCTTGACGAGGATGTATGTACCTTGCGAAGTAGCTCAAGAGTTCGCCCAAACACAAGTGGACGGGAGAGTAAGAATTTCATGATGAGCGAGCGTACTGTGGAAATGAAGGGAAGGATTCAAAACAGCGGTAAACTATGTATGCACTTACATTTCGAGGAAGGAACGCTCGCGAGCACCCTGCTGCGTTAATTACCTCTCTGATCTCAACGCTTCCAATGTCTGATACAACGCCCGTCAAATACCCCACCACTTCATCCAACTTTTGATCTTGCCAAAAATGTACAGACATCTATATTATACAACACACTGCAGGGTATCATCACGCACCAGCCACGCTAGAAATCTCCTTCTTGACCCACTTCTCCAACCCACCTCTGGCAATTATTTCCTGTACATTCGGGGGTAGCTCTCCCACCTTTTGCGTCCATTCCTCTCCACCCTCACCTTCCTTGACCACGACCTGACTTCTCCTCAGATCCCATGTAAATGTCCATCCAGTCCTGACAGTCAACTGCTTCTCTTCCGTGGGCTTGCTTTCAGGTGCTGGGGGTGGGGAGTCCAAGCTCTCGCTATTCCTTGAAGGCTCTGTGATTGCTTGCTTCTTTCCACTYGCTGTGGATTTATCATTGTTGAATGTGGCCCGTAATCTCTCAATCAGACGCGGTGCTTCCACGCCCATCAAGGCGTTGTTGATGCTGTTCCGGCTGAAGATGTTACCGAAACTACCACACACCACCAGAGGGATGCCCTTGGCGAGGATCGCAGTTGCGGCTTGTTCTCTGGATGAGCCACAGCCAAAGTTGAAACCACTGACGAGGATGTCACCTGCTTTGGCAATGTTGGCAAAGTTTGGGTCGTAGTTCTCCATCGTGACGGTGGCCATCTTCGCGGGATCAGAGCTGAAGGCGTCGTCATACGTGTACTTCCCCGGGTAGATGGCGTCGGTGTTGACGTTGTCAGCATTACACCACACAATCTCCCCGGTGACCTTCTCGGGGAAGCCGGGGAGGATCTCAGTCAGTCCGGRGCTCTCCTCCGCAGGCTTGTCGGCGCTCGCACCGGAAACCGCCTGTGTAAGACGCTCCTCGCCCTCCTTTACAGCTTCCTCGGCCTCACGGATGAGCTTGTCGAGGGCGTCCTCGATACTGATCATGCGGTCTTCCTCCTTGACACCATCACCTTCTCCGCGACGCACGCCAGCCCAATCGGCAGGCTTCTCGTACCAACCCGGCCCCGCAATCTTGCCTTGCAGGGCACTGGCAGCAACCACCTCTGGACTTGCAAGATAAGCCTTGGCATCAGTGCTGCCCATGCGGCCCTTGAAATTTCTGTTGCTGGCGGAGATGCCAACCTCACCAGGCTCCAAAAGACCGGTGCCAAGACCGATGCAGGGACCGCAGCCAGAGGGAAGAGCTTCGGCGCCGGCATCGAGCAGAACTTGCCAATCGCCAGTCTCCTCGGCAGCCTTCTGTTCGGGAATGGAGGCGGCAGCGATGTAGAACTTGACACCATCGGCGATCTTTGGGATCTTACCGTCAACGTCGGCACCTGCTCGGAATACCTTGGCGGCGGCCTCGAGATCGGAGCGACGGGAGTTGGTGCAGGAGACGAGGTAGGCCTTGTTGACTTTGATGTCCTGTGCTTCCAGTTCTGCAAGAGGAGTGCCCACCTTGACAGAGTTTGGTCCCGAGACGTAGGGCGAGAGAGTGGCGAGATCCAAGAATAGCTCCTTTGCGTATGTAGCGCCAGGGTCCGCGGCGAGTGGACTGGCAAAAAGATCATCAAGTCTCTGGTGGTTGAAGCGGTCTGTGGTGGGGCTAGATGTTGGCGAAGACTCGTTGTACATGCTCGCTTCCGTTGCCTTGTACCGCAGCCAGCCCTTGAGAACGTCATCAATGGGGAATAGACCAGATAGAGCACCCCATTCAGTGGTCATGTTGGCAATGGCAAGTCGGTCGTCCACGGGGAGACTTCGCATGGTGTTGGTTGAACCGGTGAACTCAATGGCGTGGTTCAAGACCTCGTCGTTGTTGAACAGTCCACATAGCGCCACAATGACATCCTTTCCCGTCACACCTTCGGGCAGAATTCCCTGGAAGGTGACCTTGGCGATTGGGGGAATCTGCCACCACGTCCTGCCCGTTGCCCAGATGCTAGCGGCGTCTGTCCGGACGACTGGAGTTCCCAAACAACCCACACCACCATACATGTTGGAGTGAGAATCGCTGGCAACGGCCATGGTGCCTGGCCATGCGTATCCCTCCTCCACCATGATCTGATGCCCAATCCCACGGCCTGCTGGGTAGAAATCGACGCCCTGTTGCTTCGCAAACGCCTCAATCTGCTCGTATTTCTTCAAGTTCTTCTCCGTCTTGTTCTGCACATCGTGATCCAGCGTCATGACAATCTGCTTGGTGTCGTGGATGCTGGTAGCACCAATGCTCATGAACTTGGTGGCCACGGGCCATGAGTTGTCGTGGGTCATACAATGGTGTGGAGACAGAGTCACGTAGTCCCCGGCCTTGACATACTTGCCTTCGGCCAGGCCCTGCGAGTAACGCTGAACAATCTTCTCCGTGAGGGTTTGAGGGACGGGCGAGACGACATCTTGCATGGCCAGGATCTCCGAGGGAGCACCGTCGAGCTGGGAGGAAAAGGCATCGGTGACTGCGGCGGGTTGGAATGTACGGGTCGAGGAGGAAACATTGCGTCGGAGGGAGGTCGAGGGGATGTGGGAGACGAGGGGGAGGGAAAGGCGAAGGGCGAGAGGGCGGAGAGGGAATGGTGTCTGCTGTGGTTCGCGATCAGATCAGCTCCATTGCCTCGTCTTCCTTTTGGATTTGGTGGTATATTCTATCACTCACCCTCCTCACGAGCCTCTGTAGACTGCGGCCAGCGCCGGCTCGAAGTGCAGCCATGATGATCCAATCCAATCCAATCCAATCCAATCCAATCCAATCCAATCCAATCAATTGCTATGGTTGGCCTGCATCAATATGATTGTTGTTTTCAACGCATTGGCCGATGGAATATATATAATATATTCATGGCATGCCGAAGCAGCCAATGGCGTGCAGGCAAAGTAATGTCATCGCCGACCAAAGTAATGCCATGGCCGACATCGCTGTTGCTGTGGCCTTGACATCCATCACCCAGCGAGCTGTGACTCGTCAAGAGGTGGAAGAGAAGAAACATTATTGTTCTTCATCCTTCTCCTACATCCACCACCTGAAAACCAAACTCCAAGATGCCGTCCAGAGAAGATGTTCACTACTTTGGTGCTGGTCCGGCGCCACTGCCCACTCCGGTGCTCGAGGAAGCATCCAAGGTGATTCTCAACTACAATGACTCGGGCATGGGCATCGCCGAAATCTCGCATCGCAGTGCAGATGCCAATGCCATTCTTGCCAACGCTCAATCGGGTCTTCGCCAACTGCTCGACATTCCCGAGTCCGATGGTCCCGACGGCTACCAAATCCTCTTCCTCCACGGTGGCGGCAGCGGCGAGTTCAGTGCCGTCGTCTACAATCTCGTCAGCGTCTGGGTCGCCAAGCAGCTCAAAGCCCTCGGCGGCGATGAGCAAAAGCTGGCCGACGTGGTGCGAAAAGACCTCAAGTTGGACTATCTTGTCACGGGATCTTGGTCTCTCAAAGCCTCCCAAGAAGCGGCCCGTCTGGTCGGCAGCGAGCATGTCAACATCGTCGCCGACTCACGCAAGCACCGCGATGGCAAGTTCGGCCTGATCCCAGATCAATCCACATGGACTCCAACATCATCAGACGCACCTCCCGCCTTCACTTACTACTGTGACAATGAAACCGTCGACGGAGTGGAATTCCCCTCCACACCTACGGGCCACAACCTCATCGCAGACATGTCCTCCAACTTCCTCTCCCGTGCAGTGGATGTCAAGAAGCATGCCGTCATCTTTGGCGGAGCTCAGAAGAACATTGGAACCACCGGCATCACCATTGCCATCATCTCCAACGCACTCCTTCCCCCAAATGCTGAATACGCGGATCCCAAAGTCATGCGTAAGCTGGGCTTACCCACAGGACCCATCGTYCTGGACTGGCCGACCATTGCAAAGAACAACAGTMTTTACAACACGCTCCCCATCTTCGACGTTTGGATTGCAGGAAAGGTCATGGATCGCCTGCTCGCAATGCACCCTCATGCATCTGGAGCCAGGATCCTTGGACAGCAGACCGAGAGCGAGAAGAAGGCACATATGCTCTACTCTGCCCTGGACAACAACAGCACCGTCTACTCTGTCGTGCCAGACAAGAGTGCTCGTAGCCGAATGAACATCTGCTTTAGAGTCAAGGGAGGCGATGCCGATGCCGAAAAGGACTTCTTGAAGCGTGCCGAAGCCAAGGGTCTACTGGGTTTGAAGGGCCACCGAAGTGTTGGCGGCATCAGAATCAGCAACTACAACGCTGTGACTGTTCCTGCGACGGAGAAATTGGCGGCATATCTGCAGGAGTTTGCCAAATAGTGTGTGGCTTGGGAGAAGCTCCGCGGAAAGCTCCGTCAACATTATGGAGATGGCGAATGAAGAACCTCACAGAGATTGGCTGCATGAATAGCAGCACACAGGCAAGACCTGATGAATGGACACTWTGTCTTTAGCGTGGAGTTGGGGACGAAATTGCTGGGTCATGACATGATTCAACTCTCATGGCTTGCTTCGGAAAAGTGATGGGTTGAGATGGAAAAAAAAAAAGGTGCGGTCAGATTTCGCATCATGGGATAGAGTATACATCGTGAGCACTTGATTGATCGAGTCATTTCGCAAAACTCATGTCATTTCCTGTGCCATATCAATTCGCTTTGCTGCGGAGTTTCAATCTCCATCTACCAAACCCTACAGTGAATTTCACTGCGAGGAAGATGTCGTGGCCAATGACARACAATTAATATGACATCGACGGACCAGAACTCGCTTCTAAGCATTGGAGATGGCCCATCACGAAGACAACTTCCGACCCTGACAATGCTTACAATATTCGACGTCTCGATCAATGTCTTCGCCGCCGATGTGTTTGTAGTCTTTCATAAAGCTAAGGGATTTGGAAATCGCGGAAATTGGAAGGATGCGAGACCGTAGTGATGGCAATATTGGTATTGTAAGACAACGACGGACAATCACATTCAGAGTAAATGTATCATGAATTGGAACTTATTTTAAATGTCACGTCGTCTWCGTGCAAAGTTTTCATCTGGGAGCAAGCGGTAAGCAGTATTTCTGGCACTTGGCGACGGCGCTTCACGTCGTGCGTTCGATTGCTTCATGTCTGTTAAAGTTTCTTATTGCTCGAGTACGCTATCAACTCAAGTCGTTATCGGCAGTACAACTAGACATCGTCACTGGTGGATAGCAGTGAAGGTTACCCGAGTCGTAGCAGAGGGAGTTTGACGATCGAGCGGCGTTAAGGGGTAGAATTGGTCATTGGGCATATGTAGTTGTGGTTCTCGTTTTCTAGAGCGTCGTTTAGTATGCAATAAATCACTGAGATGACAACATTCGATCACTTCTGAAAATTCGCGAATACATAGAGTTGCCTATGTTTCGCAACTGATTGCATCTCTCCTGACGCGCATGTCATGCCAAGACAAGAAAAGGAGATCAGACGCGTCGAATGTGCGATGCAAAAGGGATGCTCGATCGAGTGTATGGCAGGCACCTACAACCATCTTCGTATGGCATGCATAGTCACATTCTACGAGATTGTGCAAGACACGACGTAGCCCACTGAACCATGTGCCATGGCCATGCGGCATATCACACGTCACGTCGAGGCTTCGATTAGCAGAGTCCAAATGACCACCTACTTCCCGCATACAACAACTCCCAAWCCACACTTCTCATCCACACTCCCCACTCATCAAACCTCAACGCATCTTCGAGGAATCATCAACATTCACCGAACCGTCCAAAAACACTCTTCAACAAAAATCGAAACGCAATCGTACTACCCACCACAAACATACCCCAACGAACATCCATCCATCCATCCATCCATCCATCCTCCCATCAACATCAACAACAATAATGCCACGCAATAACCACAGCGAAAAGACCGATTGGGGATATCTAGGAAAAATAATCCCTTGCCTTAATAAGCCCCCTCTGGCAGCCTTTCGGGGGAGTCAAAAAAAATCTCGAGCTCTGCCGCCCCGAGATCTTCGAATTCTGATTCTCGTGAAATGTATTATTGTCGCACGACTACGACTTGGACGAAGTACCGGCGATGATTTGATTTATTTAATTTACTGGTGTCGATGACTTTGTTTGGTTTTTGGGTGTGTGTTTGGGTGCTTGAAAGGGGCTTAGGATTTTTTTTCTCGGTAGGGGTATATTTTGGTGGACTCGCACGGTTGAGTGGGCGGGAGGTTGTATACATACAGCGATGCTATGACACGTCAATGTTTGATCGATCTCTCAGGGTGTCAATCTCACATGCTAGTCTGTATTCTGTCGTTTTGACATGATATGCTGATCCTTGTGCGAGTATGTCAGCGTGACCGTAAGGGATGATGGAGTCAATGCTACGGTGAATAAAGCAAGTGTTATCGTAAAGCGTTCTGTTCCAACTCCTCTGTGAATCGGACGTTGTACTATTACCACTTCGTTCAGCTCTACACTACCACGAACACAGACACGCCAAACACAGGACCCATCGTTCCCAAGCACATCGCCATCGACATTTCAACAAAATGACTCACTGTCACTTCATCCAAGAGCCCTGTCAACCTCTGGTCTACCTCCCACAACCCGTCTACTTCGTACAAGAACTTCCGGGAGTTCAACCTGTGCAGCCAAGGAGAGAGCCTAGCCAGTCGTCTTCGAGCAGTTACTCGAGCCATTACTATCGTCGAACAACAACCATAACGACCACCACAACAACTATGAGGAAGAGGCGTTGATATGTTGAGATATGTAGTGGGAATGCATGAGTTTCTGATGATTGTCTTTGATTTGCTGCTTGCATGTTTTGCCATGTTGGAGTTCGAGATGCTTGGATGGAACCAAGTATCCATATTTTAGAAGCGAGCGGATTGAAAGACATTGAACAGTGATGTACATCATCAACTATGGCTACACCATCCCCACTCATCGAACAAAATAATTTCCCTCTCATTCAAACGTGTCTTCCTTCCCCACCTTTCTGGAGGTCACAAACCAGCGAGCATGATTGTCTCAGACCGTAACAGGTGATACCCGTGTAAGGAAAAGCCGGCATGACCATACGTTATACCAGAACCCGTGAATTCGATGTAACGGTGAATAGAGCAACTTCAGTCACGGCTTCGTCTTCCCTTTCTCCCTATAAGACCGACAGAACTCTTCACCAATAACTTCCCACTTCTTCACAACACTCTGAACTCCATCGAACGCAAGCTCGTTGAACATCTTCAACCAACGTTCAACAAATACGAGTCAATCTTCAACCAACCTTCAACAAACCTTCAACCGCCCCTTAACCACCAACATGTGTCATCAACCCGTCACTCTACTACCATGCCAGCCCATCGTCTACCACCCAGTCTACGTCGCTGCACCCGTCTGCGTCGTTCCAGCAGTCGTGGTGTACGTACCGACGATTCTCAGCCAAAAAAAGCGAAACGTCCCGCAAGGGTACGAAGACAAGTACCACTACAACCACTGAATGGAGGTGATTGATGATGGAAAATGCGAAGAGGAAATGTGTGACTTCGTCGTTTCTTGCTTGGGGTTCGCAATGGACGGGAAGCTGAGGTGGATTGGGGACTTGCATCGTTGAGAGAATACATCATGAATGAATACGTTGTGCGTTGCGTTGTGAAGAGTCTCATTTTTTCTTTCGCTTTTTGATTGTACATCTCTTCGAGTATGTCTTGAGATTCCAACTGTCGGATGTAGAATCCAGACAGTGTTCAAGATCTACTTCAAAAGAGCYTCGAGTTCTTTCGCAATGGCATCGCCGACCTCACTGGTCTTAGCAGAACCACCAATGTCGGCAGTGTTGATGCCCTTCTCGATTGTGTTCCTCACGGCCTCATCAACCTTCTTGGCAAGCTCGGGCTGCTGGAGGGAGTACTTGAGCATCATGCCCAAGGACAGAACCATGGCGACTGGGTTGACAATACCCTTGCCGCTAATGTCCGGTGCGGAGCCTATGAACTTGTCAGTGAACGTCTGAATGTGTGTAAAAGGAGAAAGTCTCACCGTGAATTGGCTCGTAGATGCCATTGCACTTGCTCTTGCCATCCGGCGAGGCAGTCAAGCTGGCACTAGGGAGCAGACCAAGAGAGCCTGGAATGACCGAAGCCTCGTCACTGATGATGTCGCCGAATAGGTTGCTGGTGACGATGATGCCGTTCAACGCTCTAGGGTTCTTCACCATGAGCATGGCAGCAGAATCGATAAGATGGTGGCCAATCTTGAGCTGGGGGAATTCATTCGCCATGACATCCGTGACAGTCTTACGCCATAATCTGCTCGTTGCCATGACGTTGGCCTTGTCGAGCGACCACACCGGCGCTGGTGGGTCTTCCGCAAGAGCCAAGTGCGCGGCTAACCTCGTGACTCTCTCAATCTCCATTCGCGAGTAGGGTTCCGTGTCCATGGCAAATCCCGAGCCATCATCTTCGGTTCGCTCTCCAAAGTAGATGCCTCCGGTGAGTTCACGAACGATGTTGAAGTTGACGCCTCTGCAGACTTCCTCCTTGAGAGGCGATGACTTTACCAGGCTCTCAGAGGCGAAGAAGCATGGTCTGAGGTTGCCGTAGGTACCCATCTCCTTCCGGAGCTTGAGAATGCCCTGCTCAGGGCGGACTTTGCCGGTTCCCCATTTGGGACCGCCAATGGCTCCGAGGATGACGGCGTCTGCAGCTTTGGCAGCTTCAAGCGCTTCGTCGGTCAATGGCTCACCAGTGGCATCAATGGAGGCCTGGAACAAACTTTTTAGAGAKCAGGTTCGAAAAGCAGGAAGATTGATGCACTCACGCCACCGAGCAATTGCTGCTGGATGTTGAATTGAACGTCTGCGCTGCTGTTGTGGATGACGTCGAGGACCTGAAGGTAAAGAGTGAGTACTTGTAGATAGAGAGCGGCATTGCTTTTGTGTTGCTATGAGGTACCTTCAATGCCTCTGCGGTAACCTGAAAATGGGGTCAGCAATGGCAACCTGCTTGTTTGTAAGACGGAAATGCTTACTTCAGGTCCGCAGTGGTCACCYGCACAGGCCAATGTTAGCACCGTTCGTCTCGACTGAGCAATTGTGCACTCACCCCCGAAGACCACAATGTTATAGGTAGGCATGGCGAGCTAGAGTGGTGTCGTTGTTGGTGAGGTGATTGATCGTTGTTGTGTACGTACCTACCTAACCTTGGTGGTGGCCATCTTTTAAATTGTGGCCGACATCGGCCCCCACCACCATAGGAGTAGAACACACCATCCATGCTTCATTTCACTTCGAAACCCACTTCGAGTCTTCAATCTCTTCCATGCACACACAATGTTGAGCTTGTATCTACGAGCGGCTTTCCCGCTCCATAGTAAGTATCGTGAGTTCTCGAAGCTGATTATACAAATATCTTCCCACCAAGAAAGAAGCATTTCCAGGGAATTAGAGACTGTATTGTTGAAGATCATATGTCAGAGGTATGTATGTGTGGTCGTAGGTGTACTGCGACGTGTAGCGGCATGCACTGCAACTGCCCTTTCTTGAGGTAGCTCTGCTATAAGTTGCGACTGCTTGAGCTGTAGCGTGATCACCACTTTCCTGTCCTGTCCTTACCTTAACGTTCAATTCCTTCATATTCCTCTCAGTATCCGCCTCAAACAGCAAACGCATCAGCTTCGGCATGGCCTTGCCACTGATGCCCAYCCGCAGTCGCAMCATTGAAGAGCAGATCACGGCCAAATTGTCGGAAACAGCACCATTCAACCCTGATGAGTTGCGGCAACAAGGTCGCTGGATTCGAGACATGCTCGATCCTCAGGTCGCACAGGAAGGGCAGGATGCTCTCCACTCGGACGAGATTCTGACACTGGACGAATTGCTTCGTAAATTGCTCGACACCGACATCAGTCTGGAGGATATCCGCTACAGCCGTATGCACCTCGCCATTCGCGATATTGCGGGCCGGGCGACACGTTGGCCAAAAAAGCTGGCCGATAGATGCGATACTCTCAAGGGTGCCTGGGAAGCCCGCTACGGTCCGATAGCTGCGATTGGCACGCTACTGTACGAACCAGGAGGCCGACTCAACGGCATCTGTGAGCCTGGAGATCTCAGTAAAGAGAAACTGCTTGTCAAGTGGTTGAAGTCACCAGAAGCGAAGCTCAGTCCTGCTGTTGCGAGAAGAAAGGGCAGTCTTGGGTTCACGCCTGGGGAGTATGCTACTCACAATGTGCGTCTTGATCTTACAATGCTTACAGCTTCTATAGTTGGTGGATCAGTCCTCTTTTCGCTCATCGTGCTGGGATTGTGGACACTGCCAATTCTGATGGAGGCATCGTCTCTGATGCTGCTGGTGCATACGCTGTGATCATGACGAACAGCGACGAGATACCTGGTTCAAATCCCGAAAGCTTCCAATATCGAGCCAGAGACCGAGATCCTGGACGCTATCGCTTGACAGCTGGAACTCCAGAGTCTCGCCATCCCATTCGAATCTTGCGAAGTCACTCTCTGCGGAGCTTCTGGAAGCCTAGGGCGGGATTAAGATATGATGGACTGTGCGTAGATTTGTGTTGCACTCCATGACCAAGACGAATTCCATACAGCTCGCATGTTTCTACTTTGCTGAACAGGGGTGTGTAGGCACAAGGTTACAGGATGGACTCTCAAAAAAGACGCCAGAACCAACGAAGTCGTCCTTGTGATCAGCTTCAAAAGACTTTCCAGCGAGAACAGCATGGACTCGGTAATGTGCCGACCTTGGTCTGACGAGGTGGAAGACTACGTGGAGTACAAGAAGATTTGGAAGCAGTATCACGAGATGAAGGATGCTGCTTTGCGTTCGAAGCCGAACGTCAAGACGATGCCAAACGACGGAGCCGATGATAACGCACTCCTTGCACCTTTCACCCGGCGGAAAGACACGTTCGMACGCTTGTAGGTATGATCAGGAGCTGCATCCTTGGTTCCGACCAATATCCCCGACGGCGTCACAAAAGCGAATCATGCGGTGCGGAATGACGCATGCAGTCGCAGATGAAGGACCGCAGTCGAGAGAGAGCCTTGGTTGTATATGGTTAAGAACTGAGACGTTGAGCTTCTATGTATATTAGTCGTCTAGAGAATCCATTATATCTTAGCAAGGTCTCGTCCTGTATTATCCAACGGGTCCGCGGAGCAGTAATAAGCAGCAATAAGGTAACTTCGCGGTCAGCTCGGCTTCCTTGTCGAAATAAAATGCTGCGGGGTCAAACCAGCGTGGTAGTAGACCGGCGCACAGCAATGGACTCGATTGACTGATGTCAATTACCGGTTAATCCGTATACCACAAACGCTCCCATGAAGACGGCAGAGCGACAAGCTTGGCAGTCTTGCGTAGCGCGCCGCCGTAAATCCCACCCACCAAGAATCAGCATTGATGTGCTGTGGCCAGACTAATGGGCATTTATTGTACCCGCCGATGATTAAAGGGTGTCAGAGCAGCCGTAGCAGGTGCTGGACACGGTCCGCCCAGTCTGGTATTTCTCTTGCAGCCGGACCTGACTAGCTCGGGTGTCTGCTATTACGCGCGTCAAGTACGTGCTTGATTGATACAGTTCTGGGTGGTGTTGCGGCCTGGTCTTGCTCGTGTATATGGCATGTGGCTCTTGTGTTGGAGCAGAGGTTGGCTGTTGGATGGGGTCCACGACTATTCCGGATTGTATGCGATAGGATCAACATCAATGTCCAGAGAATCGAGGCGCCAGATGTCCCATTCGTAAGCATCTTGACGGGTGCCAAATGTCACCTCACGACGCAGACACATCGATCCATCCTCGCCGATCCTCTCAACAATCCTTCCAAACTTGTAGACGAAATCTCCAATGCCAACAATCTTTGGGACGACATTCGTGACGAGATCTCTGCTCATGCCTTCCATTCGCTCCTCGTGCGAATAGACGCGCAGATGCTCGATGAGGAAGTCATTGGTGAGGATGCGCAAAGCTTTGAGCTTGACAAGGAATGGCATGAATAATCTCACACACTCGTGGTGAATGCCGTGGACTGCAAGCCCCAACTGCTCCAAATTCGGACAATGTTGCACAAGCGAGACAATTTCTTCTCCGTTTAAAGGCCAGCAATCTCGTAGGAGCAAGTGCCGTAGCCCTGAACCATGAAACGTGTTGATCGCGTCCAAACCGCGTTGTCGCAGCGAGGCCGCCTCCAACTCCATGTCAGGTGTGCCGACTGTGTCGGAGGACGTTAAAGATGGGGCATTATTTGGAGTAGTGTCACTCGCAGGCGTAGATCCGGCCTTGATTCGCTTCGCAGAGACCAGATACAGGCGCTCGAGTGCACATTTCGCTCGGCATAGCAGGGCTATAAATTCGACAGAAATTTCGTTGACACGAATTCGCTTATAGCTGGGCGCGAATTCGGGAGGAATGGCTCGCCATGTTTCGTCAATGAATGTTGTTCGTGGGTCTAGAGAGAAGCGGATCGCAGAGTTAGCATTGTGTGGTGGCATCGACGGGCGTGGCTGAAGTCTGCAACCCTCCCAGTCTAGGAAATGCTTACCGCTGCCACCGAAGACGTCAAAGAAGACAATGCTTTCATGGGACTCCGACTCGAAAACGCTATCGAAACCCAGCACGTTGGGACCGAAGAAGTTCTGTATCGCGACTACAAAGTGCCGATTAGTAGACTGGACTGCATATGACGTCTAGGACATGGCGCACTAACGATGCTTGACTCTCAGCTTGTAGCCTGCCTTATAGCACCGCCCAAAGAACTGAACGAGATTCATGCACGGCTCCGCTTCTTGCCTCATTCTGGGTGAGAAGTGAAGGCGCAAATCCTCGATCCTTCTCGAGTGCAGTAGCAGTAGGGAGATGTCATCGGGATAGCACATGGGGTCAATCTCCATAACTTTGAACACACGCAAATTGGCCATGGGAGGAATGAGGACGGACGGGCGCGGAATCCTCGCCGAAGGGAACTTCAGCGTCAGTGATGTCAGAGTGTTATGCGACGCAAGGCCAGTGTATAACGTCTTCAAAGGCTTGCAGTCGAGCTCCCWAGAGAAGCTCTTCAGCTTGATCATATTATCCGACACCGTCCGTAACATGAGATTGAGCATCATGCTATTGGCTGGAATGATGCCTTTCGCAAAGTCTTCCACCCCGACCTCTTTCCATTGTCCGTATACTCTGAAGTCGTGCACCAGCGCAGCGTTGCTCTTTGTGGCCAGACCCCCGAGCGCAGCAAGGAAGGGGCTACCGCCGCCATAGCCTTGTGGCTTGCCATTGACATACTTGATTTCGGCGTAGGAACGCAGATGCACGCGCTGATATAGCTGCGGTAGGGTCATGTAGTACAGCAGGCGCGAAGTGCGCGTGACTCTCGCAAGATCCCCGACATCGTCCAGAAAGGAGACAATCAGGGCAATCAGGTTCAGCGGCAACGTCGTCGCCGTCAGCGGACCTCCACTGCCAGTTGGAGCGTTACTGATCGCAGGACTGGTGAGTTGTACGTATTTCGGTATTTGGTTGAACTGCGGTCGAGCGCTGGCTGGCAGGTCATAGTCCTGTCGATTCGCTTTTTGGGGTCTGGGAAAGCTCATCTCCGCGGCTGGGAGCGGACGTTTATTCATGTTGACGGTTCCTGGCGGCGCAAAGGAGTGTCATTGACAGAGAGCGACGGTCGTCGCCGTCATCAACACCGGTGCCCATCTTTCTACTTGCACAGGTACAGGAACCCTGTCGTTGGTGACTGGGGCCGGGGTGAGGTCTAAAGCAGAAACAGGAAAGAACTACCGAGACCACCGGCCGATCATTGTTTTGAGCTTTGATGACTGATCCACATCTTGCCGGTCCTTCGGCACGTCACTTGGGCATCCGGGCTCGTGGGAAAAAAACCGAAGCAACGATAATCTTGACCTCCTGAGGAAGCCTGGAGGACCCGGCAAGATGCTGAATAATGATCCAATCATCACGCTGATTGAATCATTTCACGAACTCAATCCTAACCTCGTGGAGGAGCTGCCCGCGGAGCCGAATGCGCTGGAATTCATGCGTCGAGTCGGTCAGAACCAGCCATTTGTTGTACGGTAAGCAAGATGAGCCCGGATTGGCAGCAGACATCAGCTTCTATTCATGGGAAGGTGAGCTGGAATCTTGTTTCTGCTGTTTCTTGCCGCATCAAGTTGCGTCAAACACACTGATCACGGTACTTGCTTACAGACAAGCTGCGAAACAATGGGGTGCTGTCGCCAAGTGGAATGCCAGCTATCTTCGTCGAGTACTGCATGGGAAGAAGGTGCGAGTGGCAACGACACCAAATGGCAATGCAGATGCCGTGGTAGCGAGTGCAGACGGCACGTTGATGTTCGCAGAGCCACATGAGACTGAGGAGGACTTTGGCGCTTTCCTGGACTACGTGCAACAAGACCCAGGCCATTCATCGTCAAGAAACGTCAAATATGCTCAGCCTCGTGAGTGTCAACATCATTGTATCAAGCATCCGCTAAGACTTGGACAGAAAACGACAGTTTACGGACGGAGTACTCCGCTCTGTTCGGCGATGTTCCTCCGGACATAGCTTTCGCCAGCGAGGGTCTTGATCAGGAACCAGACGCAGTGAACTTCTGGCTTGGAAATGATCGATCAACCACAAGCCTCCACAAGGACAACTATGAGAATATCTATGTACAGATCCGCGGTCAGAAGATCTTCACCTTGCTGGCACCTGTCGAAATGCCATGTGTTAATGAGACTAAGCTCCCATTTGGACGTTATCGACCTTCTGGTGGTGACGAGCAGGCGTTGGAAGCGTACTTGAATGCCGAGGGTGAGCCAATGCCAGTTCCCATATGGGATCCCGAGCAGCCTGAAGAAAGAACGACAGCATATTCGAGCCACGCAAGGCCGTTGAGGGTGACAGTCAACGAAGGTGACATGTTGTACTTGCCGGCAATGTGGTATCACAAAGTGAGCCAGGGAAATGGAGCCGAGGGATTCTCCTGCTCGGTGAACTACTGGTATGACATGAACTTTGGAGGAAGCTTCTGGTCGAGCAATGCATTCCTACGGGATGTGATGAATACCAAAGCACAAGAAGTACCGTACCCGAGACTGGAGCTCAGCAGCGATGATTGATTCGTTTGAAACGCACTCGCTGCTCAGTTGCTCATCACCTCAAAGCTAGGATGTATTGACACTGGAAACTGTCTCATCGGGTACTGCGCTTGACGAGGCTCTGGAAGAGGTCTTTACAGTTTCGGAAAATGTTCATTCAGCAGAGAGCGAGGGATAGGGACACTCAGTCTTGATTTGGGTCTCCACACGGAACGCTACTATCGAACATGCCTCCGTTGAGGCGTGCAAGGAATTACAACTTTACGTCTCAAATATGGGGCCAAAAAACCGCGTTCAAATCTTCATCTCAACTTTACTGCTAGGTGCTGCTCCCGACTATGCATTCGCGGAGTGGTTTTGGCGGCTCAGTCTCAGAACATTTGCGTCTTCAAGCAGGAGCTATATTGCAGCAACAACGCGGCCATCAGAATGGCATCACCTTTCTCATATGATATTGCTATCAACCACGCCCTCACGGATCCCTCTACCGCTCTATCTTTCTCTACTGGAAAGAGCGAGTCGGGCCTGATCTCGCTATGCTCCTGCGACGCTGCTCTCAACGATGCCCTCGCGGTTACCTTTGCACGTTTGAAACAATTCCGTCGCCGGGAGAGCGCAAGGATGTGGCAGCTTGATCCCAATTCTCGCACATCATGCTGCTCCCGATCAAGCGCTCACGGAGGCACCTCCTGCCTCGAGATGTTTGGATCCTACGAGAGCGGAGCGAGAACGTCACGCTGTTTAGCAAACCTCGCCGCGTCTTCGCGAAGGTGCAAGTGGTCACATCACGCTGGCGGATGTACTTGAAAGATCCGGACGAGAGAGTGAGAGCTGACATTCTGCTAGCTCTAAAATGGTAGCACGGTCAACATATGTCGTGGAGATCCCAAAGGAACGATCGCTGTTGTGGAGGAGATCCACGATACACGATCGCTCTTCTCGCTACGATCACCCCTGAATCTGCGGATGGCCCGAGATCCTCAGATCTTCCGATCTTCTGGTCCATGTATTGAATGCCACATCTTTATAAGACGACTGCGCTGCAGAGGAGCTTCACCTCCTATGACTCCCAATTTACTATAATCTCTGTTAGCGACTGTAAGGAATAGTGCGAGCGATGTTGTATTCTTTACTTCGAGCGTACGGCTGTCGAGCGCCGATTTGCTCTTATAATCCAAGATTTCCCGCTCTCCCTCAATCCTTTCCTCTCCAAACCTAACGACCGACCCAGACTTGCAATTCCCCTCTGTGCCACGAAACTTCGCAAGCTACGACGAAAGGTCCGTCGCCACCCACTCCACGCACAAAACCCTTCTCTCCAGTCACTCCGGCCACGCCACAAAAGACACAGCCAACCAAGCGGCAGCCCTCCAGACACCGATCACACGATGTGGGGAGACCTTCTCGGCGGCCCTATCAAGTGGTTTCTTGACTGGGATGAGAGAACAGATCACGGCAGAATTGTTACCAACATGTTCATACGATACTATGAGGACAGAGGCATGCCTCTCAGCCGCGAGACAGTGGACCAATTCCGCGATTTTGCCATGAAGTATCCTGACGCAGCCAGAGAGGTGTTGGAGCGACGAAAGAAAGAGGATTCCCGGCGTGACAGGCGTGGTTGATCGTGTTGTTCTTAGGATTTTGCGACGAATTTGATTGACTGGTTTGCATGATGTTCTTGATATGTGTGGACATTTTGATGCGCAAAGGTTTCTGCAATCATTTACTTGTTTCACAATCATTGCTGGCTATCTTGGAGGAAAGCAGAGCAAATGAATAATCACAAAACTCCCGTTCCAACGTCGTCATGTACATGCCGCCTACATGAAAAATGCTCCGTACCCCTTGCCGTCCACGTAGCGATTCGTGCCCGGGGCAAGCTGAACATTTTCACTCCACATCTTGTACAGCTTGACCTGAGTCACCGTCAACACGGCGTAGAGCGCCTCGCGTTCACTGCCGAATCTCTGGCTCTCCACGAAGATGTACTGAGGAGCCACCTCCCCGTTGCGAATTTCTCCGCCGTGGACAATCGCGGCTTCGCACCAGCGCCCATGACTCGTGATCACGACCTCGAGAGTGCTGGGAAGTGCACGAGCCGAGGTGGCGCGACCCGATACGATCCGCTCCTGTTCGACCATTGGCCACAGGACGCGGGCATTGGCTGGGAAAATTCAGTATCGCTGCGGATGTTCGGAGGGGAGTGTGTGGCATACCCAGGGCCTGCTCGCGAATGTCAAACCGAGAGCCTACCAGGAACTCAGGGTTGACGACAGGGTTGAGCCATTCCGGCATGGTGAAGGTGCGGCCTTCCTTTTGAGAAACTTGGTCTGCTCCGTTGTTGAGTTTGTGATGGTCGGCCGATGGCGAGTTTGTTTGTGCCGCTTGAGTCACTGATGTGTCAAGCGCCTCCGGATAGTGGTGCTGATGAAACGGACTCGAAGTCGATGGTGATTGAGCTGGTCGTGGTATTGAAAGGAAGTGCTGAATGAAGTGAGGCGTGACGACGTACGAGTTGAGAGCGGGACGGCAAGAGGCGCGGCAGCGTCCGGCACGCCAAGCCTTTTCATGTGAATGAAGGCGCAGCATGAGATGGAGAGCAAGATTGAGATTGCATACGGCAGCAGTTCTGCATAACGGGTTTTTCACGGGGTTGAAAGTCGCGACTGACCTGTAGATTGAAATCTCTGCTACAGTGATAGCCACAGACTCCGAGCAATCACTTTCTAATCTTTATCCCCTGCAAGCTTTTGACACTGGCCCAAATGCTCTCTGTGACCTTGACTGGTAGCTTCCTTCCTTTCAATCGTTGATCGATGAGCCACATTCCAACAACAAACTCCTCCCGACTCAAACGCCCAACCGCATCATGATCTACTAGATCCCAGACAGTTTCCAGCGTAGCTTCCGGCAGCCGAGAACGACTCCAAACCTCACGAGCTACCACATTTGATACCTGATCGCTGGTAGCGGACTTCATCTCAAGAACGCGTTCGCTGGTTGGAAATTGACGAATCAACTGCTCCTCACCCTCAGTGAAAGAACAGTGGATGCCCTTGTTCGCAGCCCAGACACCTTCGTAGCGCTTGCGCTCTCGCTCAGTCACAGCGTCACGCCAGCGCTTTCGGTCACCTTCGTGGTGCTTGTTGGGATGCTTCCGAACCAAGCGCTTCTTCTTGTGCTTGCCGTATGGATGTAGGCCGGCGTCAGACTCCGACTCGGATGTGGCTTCCTGGTGTCTCAAGGTGTGCAGCATGCCGCCTTTGGCAGGACTTGGCGTACGGGAAAAGCCAAGGACGCTGTGATGATGATGCGGGTTGTGCCTTCGCCGCGTCGGCACAGGAGGTGGCTCCAGTCTTGTCGGAGAGGGGGCGCGTGAGGAAGCGAGACTTGACGCAACCAATGCATTGGCGAGCTGGTCTCCGGTCGTGAGGGGTGTTATACGCCCAGTTCGCGGGTAAGCCTGGTTGTACTGCGCCTGAATGCTTCTGGTGGACAATGCCGAAGAAGTCGAATATGCGTCACGGGAAGCAGTGCTGGGTCGCCTGATTTGTGATGGCTTGGAAACGTTATTGCGCATCGGAGAGACAGAGTATGGCCGGCGTTTTGCATCATTCTGCGCCTTGAGAGTACTGCCTACTGATTGCGGGGACTGACTTTCCCACCGGACATCGTTTGTGGAAACGAATTCGCTCGGGCTTTCTGCGTTCAAGTCTTCCGACGCAGAGGCAAACGAGTCGTCCGAAGACTGCGTATCAGCCTGCCCAGGCGCATGATCCTCTGCTCCGTCTGTGTTCTTGACGCTTTGGGACTTGCCCAATTGTTTGCTCTCCTCGAGTTCAAACTGAAACATCGAAGTGATTCCGGATCTCATGGGTTTGGGACTCCTGACTGGGGTGTCGGTGGGCGACCTGGAAGCTCCGATGGATTCAGGTCTCTTGGCTAAAGCACCCGACGCAGGTCTCGACTTCTGCTCGAAGAGGTCCACCAGGGACGTCGTAGGAGGGATCGAAGTCGTGTCCGTTGGTTTATCATTTGCACCAGCCTGTCCATGATAATTGGACAATCTCCGCGGCTTTGGCGCCACTGCAGGCCGTACTGTAGAGGTAGACGGACGAGCACGTGAGGCCGCTAGAACAGCAGCCTGCTGCGAGGCCGATTTGGTATAGGCATCCGCCTGCTGCGGTGCAGCCAGGGTCGGCATCTTTGAGAGATCAAGCGCGGGTTGCTCTTGCCGAGAGCGACCACTCACACTTCCGACAGGCGATCGAGTCGGAGGTGGAAGCGGAGACCGAGACGCGGTGCGGTGGGATTGCTGCGATTCCCGGCCTGAGTTCGCCGTCACGGCTGCTAAAGCTTGACGGCCACTTTCATTGCTGCTTCGAGCAACTGCGATATTGGAAGGCCCGCGCTGGGCCGGCGTTGGTCTGCCGAAGGCGGTGGTGGCGCCTACGAGGGCGGCATCGATGGCGGTATTGTTGCTGGAGACGGAAGACTGTCTAGACGGCGGCTGCGGGCCCGGCATGGGCGCATAGTAATTGTCTGATACTACGAGGTGGATGTGTTTGCACGACCATTGTTCGATTGCAGCAAACGAGTAGCGACGTCTGGTAGGCCTTTGCAGGGATGAGTATGAAGTTGGGATCAAACGTCACGTCTTCTGAACCTGCGTCGCGCCAAGACAAGGTGAGCTTGGTTGCCTTGCCGGCTGCCTGGCCCATTCCACTTCACTACATCAACATCCCATTCGCAGGTAGGTTTCCCGCCACTCCACTTTCTCATCTGCTTGTCCTCTCTCCTTCTCGTTGTCAAGAACTCGGCGGCTTCATCGACTTGGATATCGCCATCATGGCGGAGGATACAGAAATGCGCGACCGCGATCCTCCCCGGCAACAGCAACAACCAGACGATGAAGCCATCGAGGAGGAGCGCATGATGTACGGTCGCGGCAGCATGACCGAAACCGAGCTCACTGAAAAGTACCCCAATCGGCCTCACATCTTTCACAAGACGCTTCCATTTCATGAATTGTACACAACACTCTTCAATCCTCTGAGCGAGAACAAAAAGAAGCCTACCGGACCAACAATTGCACGCAAGAAACTAGGCCCTGACGTTCAGGCGCCAAATGATGTTCGACGCTCAATCATTGAGCGATTCATCTCGAAATGGCGGCACGAAGTGGGAGATGACATATTCCCTGCCTTTCGTCTCATTGTGCCTGAAAAGGACCGTGAAAGAGGAATGTATGGCTTAAAGGAGATGACTTTAGGGAAAATGCTCGTGCGCGTGATGAAGATCAAYAAAGACAGCGAAGACGGCCACAATTTGTTGCACTGGAAGCTACCGGGCGTCAAATCTTCGAGCGCAATGGCTGGCGATTTTGCTGGGAGGTGTTTTGAAGCCATCAGTAAACGACCAATGCTTCAAGAACCTGGAACCTTGACCATCGCTGAAGTCAATGCAATGCTGGATCGCTTGGCTGTTGCGCAGAAAGAAGAAAACCAGCTGCCCATTATAGAGGACTTTTACAATCGGATGAATGCCACCGAGCTTATGTGGCTCATTCGAATGATCTTGAGGCAGATGAAGGTAGGCGCGTCTGAGAAGACCCTCTTTGATTGCTGGCATCCCGACGCGGAGAACTTGTTCAACATATCCAGCAATCTAAGGCGAGTCTGCTGGGAACTTTACGATCCGCAAGTCAGACTGGAAGGTGACAGTGCCGGTATTTGTCTCATGCAGTGTTTCCAACCTCAACTGGCCGCCTTTCAAATGAGATCTATGGAGCAGATGGTTTTAAGGATGAAGCCGACCGAGGACGATGCGGTGTTCTGGATAGAAGAGAAACTCGATGGAGAGCGCATGCAGCTCCACTTAGTAGAGGACGAGACAGTACAAGGAGGCTATCGATTCGGCTTTTGGTCTCGCAAGGCCAAAGACTACACCTACCTGTATGGCAGTGGCTTCGAAGATGACAATGCCGCACTTACCAGACATATCCGTGACGCCTTCAAGCCGGGTGTCCGCAATATCATCTTGGACGGAGAGATGATCACGTGGGACTTCAAGCAGGATGCTCCTGTGCCTTTTGGCACGTTGAAGACCGCCGCACTGGCGGAACAACTCAACCCCTTTGCAACTGGCAATCGTCCGCTTTTCAAAGTGTTCGACTGCCTCTATCTCAATGACAAAGATCTCACACGGTATACCTTGCGTGATCGTCGCAAGGCACTGTCAGGCGCTGTCACCACGATCCATCGTCGACTGGAAATTCACAAGTACGAAGAGGCCACCCAGTTTTCACAGATAGAGCCAATGCTTCGAAAGGTCGTTGCCGAGTCTAGCGAGGGTTTGGTCCTGAAGAATCCACGCTCAGAATACCGCCTGAATGACCGCAATGATGACTGGATTAAGGTGAAGCCGGAGTACATGACAGAATTTGGAGAATCACTCGATTGCGTTGTAGTGGGTGGCTACTATGGCTCTGGCAAGAGAGGTGGAAATCTTAGCAGCTTCATGTGTGGCCTGAAGCTGTCCAAGCAGCAATCTGGCAATCCCCAGAAGTGTCTATCATTCTTCAAAGTTGGTGGAGGCTTTGCTGCAGCAGACTATGCTGAGATCCGTCACCGTACCGATGGTAAATGGATCGAATGGAATGCCAGGAAGCCGCCTACGGATTGGGTCGTGCTRGGCGGCGATGGTAGACAGTTTGAGAAGCCGGATGTATGGATCAAGCCTGRGGATTCTGTAGTCCTCTCAGTCAAGGCAGCATCTGCCTCGGGCTCCCAGCTATTTGCCACGGGTTACACGCTGAGGTTTCCTCGTTTCAAGAAGCTGAGATCTGACAAGTCATGGCGTGAAGCACTCTCAGTCGACGACTTCATTGAGATCAAAGCCAGGGCAGAGGGAGAGCAGGCGGAGAAGAAGATGAAGATCGATGAGTCGAGAAAGCAACGCATAAGCAAGAAGCCGAAACGGGCTTTGGCGATCCAAGGGCAAGAAGACGCGGTCGTGACACCATACGCCGGTCCAGCCACGAAGGTTTTCGACGGCCTGACCTTTTTCATCATGACCGAAGCTCCTAAGCCGATCAAGAAGAGCAAGCTCGAGCTCGAGCAGCTTGTTAAGGCTAGCGGAGGAAGTGTTGTTGCATCAGCAAAAAGTCCAGATACTATCGTGATCGCTGATCGTAACGTCGTCAAGGTTGCTTCAATCGCCAAGTACGATAACCGAAATATCATCCGACCGCTGTGGCTACTTGACTGCATCAAGCAATGTGAAGCGGAATCTGGTCGCCCTTCGCTGCTTTTGCCGCTGGAACCTGACCGCCACGTTTTCCACATGGCGACTTCCGAACAGGGGAAACATGATGGCAATGTCGATCAGTACGGTGACAGCTATGCTCGAGATGTCACCACGGAGGAGCTTCTATTACTACTCGACAAGATGCCGGCCAAGTTTGAGAACGAGCGAGACTCGCAGWATCGCCTCGACCGATTGGAAATGTTTGGCGAATCACTTGACAATATGAAAGGGCTGATGTTCCATGGACGCATTGCATATTTCAGGGGAGTTTCAGAATCTACCTTTCGCGTATTCAGGTTCGCTGGTGGCCAGGTGGCTGATTCGGTAGACACTGATGGCCTCACACACGTGGTTGTTGGACCGGGCTGTTCGGTGGCAGATATCAGAAAAGAGGTCTCAATGAGATCGCAGCTACCAAGGATTGTCAAGGAGGATTGGGTAACCGATAGCTGGTCGGAGGAAACTCGACTGGACGAAGAACGTAAGTCGCTTGCGCTATTGCATGGATTTGCATCTAACTGACATCATCTAGAATTCGCTCCCTGAGCTTCCGATGCGCAACGATTCGCGTCGCGGAAATCAAGCATTGTCAATATGCAAAATCCTCATGGCATTTCCACCAAGGATGCTCAGTCCAGTCTGTTCCTCATCTACCTCGTCCACACCAGTAGCCGACATGACCGCCTTCATGTTTGACGTTACGCTGAGCCACTCTCGCTCGTCTGTGTCCAATGGCGGAAAGAATGGGTGATCCGTTCCAAAGAGCACTCTGCAATGGTGTCAGTATGGTCAAGGTGGATCAAGGTGGACTTCTGACCTATCTGCACCACTGGCATCGATGGCAGCATTTACGCCCAACTCAGAGTAAATCACTGCGTCGAGGTATATGTTCGTTTTCAGCACGWCCCATACGTCCCTTCTCTGCTCAATCTTGCCTTCCTGCTTGAGGTGAGAATCATGTGCGATGCAGCTCTCTATCCTGCCAGCTAGGAATGGCAGTGTTCCTCCACTATGAGCGAGCAGAACGTTCAGGGATTTGAACCTGTCAAACACCCCACTCAACAGCCTGAAGAAAAGTTAGACCCTATCCACCGTAGTCGTCAGAATCACTTACATCCGTGTCACTGCGATGGTAGTTTCAAGGGGGAATCCCATGGACAGCGCAAGGACATGGCCGTATTCGCCGGAACGGGGTCCATATACCTCACTCGGCAAGCCGTAGTGAGGATGCAAGAACATGACCATCTCGTTCTTCTCCAGAGCCGCCCAGATAGGATCGAGCTTCGGGTCATCCAGACCGGCACCTAGACCAGAAGTTCCCATGACCACCCCTCTACAGTGCTTTAGTGACTTCAGTCGCTCGATCTCCTTCACGACCTCATCTGCGCTTGCACTCAATGGAAGGGTGCCGAATGCATACAGCTTCCCTTCGTGCTCCGTGCACATTCGCTCCACATCATCATTCACAAGTCGTGCGGTCTCTGCGGCAGAGTCGGCTGGTAGCCAGTCCAGCCACGGGTTGGCGAGCGATATCACACTAATATCAATGCCGTGATTTTCCATGAATGTGATTTTCTGTTCGACGTCGAAGTATTCGGACCMAATCGGACGTCCACGGGAGGTTGAACCAGTCTCTTCGGAAGGTAAAATGACGAGTCGCTCTCCTGCTTCAGGATTGTCCGGAAAAGAACGCACGTATGGGACAGTTTCTCGGGCTCGCAGCAGCTCCATCAATGCTGGCGGATACATGTGAGTATGGATGTCGACGACCTTCATCTTGGCGATATTCCTGTGTTTGTCAAATGAGGAAGGATTTGACTATGTTACATTCACTGAACGTGAGGTAAATTCTTGGATGATCCTGGATCGAAATTGGTGTGCTGATGTTAGCAAGTTAGGTCGTTCGAGGGGTGCGCCCTCGTCTCGAACAACCCATCGGATTTCCCCGCCTATCCCTGGTCACTCTTCTGCCTATCTTGATGAAATTATCTAAGTCGCTATARTAATACAAGATAGCAACACTTGCTAGCCCTTCTTCTTATTCCAATAGCTTCGCAGCAAAAACGAAACGAAAACGCATCATCAACAAACATGGCATCCAAAGCAGTTGAATCAGCAGTCTCGTCAGACAGCTTGGAAATACCCCTCATCGACTTCGCATCATTTGCTTCTGGAGATGAGGAAACCAAACTCTCCACCGCAAAAGCCATCTTAGAAGGGTTCCAGCGAGCGGGATTCATCTATCTCAAAAACCATGGCATCCCAAAAGATAAGATCAAGACGACCTTTTCCGAGTCTGCAAAGTTCTTCAAACGCCCAGAAGAACAGAAACTTGAAATGGCCTGGACTACACCACAAGCAAACAGAGGCTACTCTCCACCAGGCCGAGAAAAGACGACAGACTCTACAGACCCTGCGGAAATCGCCAAGATYCGTGCCACTGCTGGACCTGACATGAAAGAGAGCTTCGAGATTGGACGAGAGGGAGAGAAAGATCTGCCGAATCACTGGCCGGACTTTGATGAAGAAGGTAAAGTGTTCAAGCAGAGAATGCTCGACTTTCATGATGCTGGCAAAAACTTGCATATGCAAGTAATGCGAGCAATAGCGGTCGGTCTCGGGATCGAAGAGAAGTATTTTGATGAGTACTGTGAGATTGGAGACAACACACTTCGCCTTCTCCACTATCCTTCAGTCAACAGCGATGTGTTTAAAAAGAACGAGCTTACCGTTCGTGCGGGAGCTCACACTGACTATGGTACGTTTTGATCACATTGCTCAAGGAGAAGCAGTGGGTTAGAGGATAGCTTTCATCAAAATACGTGCTGACTGGCAAAATAGGATCGATGACCTTACTTTTCCAAGTAAGTAGTACCTTGCTTGGCTGATCTACTGTCCAGCAGTAGCGCATGACTGTACAAGAGTAGTACGGTGACTGACTGGCAATGTAGGACATGGCGGGCGGTCTCCAAGTGCTATCACCGACAGGAGTCTACGTCAATGCCACACCGATTGAGGACACTATCGTCGTGAATGCCGGGGATCTACTAGCGAGGTGGTCGAATGATACGATCAAGAGCACCAAGCACCGGGTCGTCGAGCCACCTAGCTCCGCAGCAATTCATCCAGCGCGATACAGTGAGTCGTTTGTCTGTGATTGTAGGTATTCGCAAGCTCGATTTGCTGATCGTATGCCAGGCATTGCGTACTTCTGCAACCCGGACTTCTCGAAGTTCATCGATGCCATCCCAGGAACTTTCGATGAAAGCAGGCCCAAAAAGTATAGCGGGATCAACAGGTGAGTTCCCTGGGCTGCAAGTTGTATGATGCATGCAGCTGACAGTGAAAATAGTGGTGACTACTTGGTTCAAAGGCTGTCAGCAACATATTAGACCTTCAGGAGATGACGATTGAGGAAAATCAGTTATGTCGTGAATAAAGAAATATTCAGTGAAAACCAACACATCGGGCACGTCTTGAGATCCTTACAGAGCAGTCAATAATGGCGATTCTCCATTAGATCAAGAGTCTCCGAGTCAATTTTCAATATTCTCGAGACTCTTTTCTCGACACGGCCTCTGTGTTGGTGGCAGAGTCGCTTGCTAGCCTTCTGAGAGACCTTTTGTAGGAACGGAGTGAGGTTGAAGAAACCTCATATCGACTGCTCTAGAGACTTGGTGTGGCCTCCTATCACGTTTACGCGATCGGTGGTGAACTCACGTCCAATGTAGATCGCGCAACGCGTTGCCTCAAGGCCTTTGTCGTTCTTCTCATCGGTGGAAACCCATCCAATGCCCATAATTGCCGCGACCTCTTGACCGCTGGTTGGATCGACGTGAGAACCCTTACCCTGAAATTGGAAGTTCGTGATCATCTTGATGCAGCCCGTCTCGGTTTCAAGGTGTGTCCTGTGCTCTCTAAACTGTCGAAGACTCGAGGCTGATGCACGTTCTGCAAAGACCGAGTCTCCAGCTGGCCCATAGACTCTAACAGCTTCAGTAGCCCGATCTCGTTACCTTCATCGGTGATTGTAATTTTGAATATTTCTGGGATGCTGTTCCACCTATTCCCTATGTTACGGATGTCCGGCTTTCTGCAGCGTACCGAAAAAAGAGCATCAAGATACACCCCAACTCCGACGATGGACCATCGGTGGACTGCCTGATTCTCTCAGCCATAACATGCGTTAGGTGAAGCGAATGTGCGCCATTTTTCGACCACATAAACGCGCAGAAACGATGCCTGACGTTCGCAGTTCCGTGTATTTGCACGACCTCAAGATGCATCGTCTCGGCTCGAGAAGTTGTCTGGAAAAGGACCGGCTCTGCTTGTAGTGAATCGACGACGATGCTCGTGAACAGCTAGTTGTAAGCACAAAAAGAAGGAGCATCGCGGAGAGTTAGACATCTTATCGAACAACACCTTCTTAAGGGTATTGCCGTTCTCGCAGAAAGCACAACATCYTGAACCGCTCCAGGCAGGGCGGAAAGCTTCAATTTCATCGGGCTTTGGGCCTGTGCATACGGAGTCCGGAGTAGGAATGTACAACACGCCAAGACCTTCTTCCTCGCGCAATCATCTGACCCTTTCCGCATGGACTTTTGAAACCACATGCAGCGGGCAGGCTTGTGAGGCGGTGAGAAGGAGTCTGGAGACCATGATGGGGCAGAGCAATTGCCTCGCGCATGAGCCCTGGCTGCTCGGCCAGACCGCTGCGGGCATATGTGTCAACGACTCTACGTTTCGCAATGTCCCGCCGGCATGGCGCCTTTCTCATTGTCTTGCTGTTAGTCAATGCTCCCAACAGTTTGCTCTGCTGCAGCCAAGTATTGGCGGTTCTGCTGAGATGAGTACGCAATGCTTCATGCGTGTCACGCTCACCTCGTGCGCACAAAGGGCAGGCCATACTTCGCGGCGCTGCAGTACAGTATGTACAGGCCCATGCTTCGTGGGAAAAGTACGGAGGTGGCTTGCGACGTCGCCAACCAGAATGCGGGGAATTGTTTAGATCTGCCCGCAGCCGCTGTGCAGCTTGTGGTCGTGAACGTCTTCGGAGCAGGTGGACTACCTGATGTGATCACGGTGATCGGTTAGATCGCATTGAGTCATCACACCCCGCCCGTTGTTGAGCAAACATTAATTCGCGATGCACGTCTGCTGACTCGGGCCGCACAGTGGGWGACGCATGGTCGGTGCTTCGAGAAACGACTTTCTGCGTCGGAGTCCGAGTCCCGGAGTTCGACTGGTGCCGGGAGAGCACAGGCTAGGCTAAGGTAGTGAGATCATGTTGCTAAGCTGAGGAGGCGGTGGTCTGTATTCTACCAACGTCTAGCCCGATTCGGCCAATACGTACCCAGGTAACGGTCGTTATGTGGTGTGAAATGAGCTCTGAAATAGGTTAGCCTTACGTTGTAGTAGGCAACTAGTCGTTAGTAGATTGTAGGTAGAGCTATATTCCACTAACGTGTCGCTCGTATAGCCTCGTATGCGCTAGAGTTAGTAGAGTTAGTAGAGTTCGTAAAATTACTAAGTTAAGTCGATTACCGGTATAAGAGCTACTTTCTTATCTACTACTATAGATTGTTCTTATCGCTGTTTCCTTAGCAAACGTACTGCCCTTACTAGCTCTAATATTACTGCCCTTACTAGCTCTAATATTACTACCCTTAGGTCCTATTGCCCTCGCTACCTACCTTCGTACTATTCGTATCTAATTACTATCTACTATCTACGCTCTTTTAGTAGTGTTTATACGCCTTCGCGACGCTAGTAGTCTCTTACTAGGTCCTATATAGCGAATTGCCTATTAAATTCGATAACCTCCGGAGGTAGTTTATATAGTAATAGAGTTAGTAACTACTATAGGAGCTAGCTCGGCTACGCGGTGGATTTATCGTTAATATTAGTAACCTGTTAAAGGCTCGAGTAGCCGTAGCCGTTTCGAATACGTGTTAGTATTTCGGTAATAAAGTTACGGCTTACTTAAGTAAGAGGGAACTCGTTTATAATTGCTACCGTCGAGGGCGTGTCGAACTTACTAAGCTCTATATTAGTGTCTTTATCTATTAAATAAGCAAGCGTATTATCGACAGCTTTACCGAGCGACTTAGTATTATCGCCGCCGCGCTACTCGGAGATAGTAAGAGCGCTACTTAAGAGCGCCGCTTCGTAGCTATAGGCGAGGGTGTTAATATATTAATTACGCTCCGCCTTCGTAAGCTCTATAACTATAACGTCCGCTTATCGATAGAACGTCTCCTTAAACTACTCGATAATTATATATATTAAAGTGTAGTAATTACGCTCGAGCGGCTAGTGTTAGTATTAGCGCTACTTTTAACGGCTCTCGTCGTTAATACGCTCGCTCGTTCCCTCCGCTACTAGTATATCGCTTTCGTTAATCCGCTACTTACGGTAATAATACGTAGTGTTAATACTAAGGAAGCGGTTAATATACGTAGCGGTTTAAACAGTAGTAAGCTCGTTACCGTCGTAGTAGGCATTAAACTATATATGCTTATACGGCATTCGCTACTCGAACTAGAAGTAGTAGTAGTAACGTAAAGGCGTTTCCTTATCGTACGAGGCCTTAAACCGGAACTACTAAGGTGTGAGGTTCTTAAAGCGCTTCTTACTAAGTCGGTATTGCTCCGTAATCTTCTCTTAAACGTATATAGGTAGTAGCTCGAACTAGCGGTAATATAGACGAGCCTATAGGCTAAGCTTGTCGTTCTTTAGAGCCTTATTAGCGGCGTTGTTATTCTACCGCTTATCCGTTTTAAAGCTCTTAAGCAAGTAACCGGCAATTAAGAAGCTACGCTTAACGAGCATATTACCGCTCTTATAGTTAGAATGCCATCCTTCTACTAGATTAGAGGTGCGTATCTATATTAATAGAGGATTGTCCTTACGGAACTTAGTATACTATATATAAGCGTAGTTAAATAACTATTCGCGGCGTACGTAGCTATATAGCCGGTCGTTTAATCTACCTAGTAGTAAGTTAATAGCTAGCTGTAGTTTAGCCTTAATTTTATCGTCCGTTTCGTAATRTAGCATTAYATACTATAACGCTTAGTTAGTAGCCTTATATCYACCTTTAATAGGRAACTTAGTGCGTATYGTTTAACTAACGTGTCGTTAGTAGAGTAGTAGCTTTACGTTRTCGCCGAAGGCTATACGRAYAGCGTTCTRTTTACTAGATAAGTCGTCCGTAACGGTCTACTATAATATTAAGCCGCTCTCGTTATTACTAGCCTATAATCGTAACGCGCGGAGTCCTTCTATAATAACTACGCTATACTAGCTCTTAATTACTATATAAGTAACCGGCCGAAACGAACCGTTACCGTTACGTACTACGAGGTTAATAAGGAACTACGGTAGGCCGAGTACTTAATACGTAGCGTCTATAATTATAAGAGCTCCGTATTACTTCTAAACTGTTAAACTATCTAGTGTTACAACGACGATTCTACGCCTTAATCTATCCTTCGTTCTAACAGCGAATAGCTAGTAGTATTGTCTAAGGGCACTAGTACGGTTGTCCGCCTTAATAAGCTATATATCTATAGTATCCGCGCCCTTACGGACGTATCGCTTATCTAAGTTATAGTATAGTAATAAACGCCCTTAGTTATAAGCGTGTTAGTACGTTAACTGCTTACCGCTAATATTACTATACTCTTCCTTTAATACGTCTACTATTCGAGAGGCTCGAGGGCTGTTATCTATACGCTTACGTATTAGGTCCTTTAGGAGCTTGTTCGTACGGCGAGAGTTACACTATTCGAGGCTATATAAGTATAGTTCTTTATGCTATCTACGCACTAGTTTAATTAAAACTAGCTTATTATTACCGTTTAGTTAGATTACCGCTAAAAAGGTAACCTTATACGGCTCGAGCAACTAACCGAACGACTTCTTATTCCGCGTACCTATATCGTCCTTATCTACTTAATACGTAGAGCGGCGCTTCTTAATACATTAGTAGTAGAGCTTTTACGTATAATTAGTATCCGTAGGCTCTACCGTCCGTATATAGTTCTATACGTTACTAAGTAGCTTCTAAGCTAGTTTAAAGTCCTCCGGTGTAAGAACAATCTCGCTCTCTAGACGAAAGTACCTATCTCGAAGGAGGGTAATTTCGGATGCTATTATACGTAGGTCTTAGTAGTGTACATAAGTGTGCGTAGGTAGTGTGCGTAGGAAGGATGCAAATCTTAGCACGGATTGTATTTGTTTAGAAAGATTTGTTTTAGTGTACGGACTACTATAAACAATCGAGATCGGCAATTCCGGATAATACCCGAGTTGTTCTACATCCGGCTAGACGTTGGTGGAATACAGACCACCGAGGAGGCAAGCAAGGATGGCGCTGCCGTTAGAGGACAGGCGGAGGGCGTGAAAATTTGATTAGTGTGGAGGAAGAAGTTTGCACAAAGGATGGCGCACGCTAGCGGTGCTCACGTCAAGGAAACGCGTTGCAATGGATGGACTGGAATGGCGCAAAAGGTATTCCATTACTCGACCAGATCCGCTTTTTTTTTCTCATCGGCGCCTTGCAGACTACACTTTTTCTGTGCACGCCCTGTCCGCTCACCACCCACGTGCTCGGGGCARTACTTTACATCATCCCATCCCGTCGTTCGCGGAACATGTTCATCTTCCCCACCGTTCTCTCCTCCCACCGAACCAACTCTTGAACAAAGGCAACCACATACCACAGCACCTCCTCTATCCGGAATAACTCTTTCTCATCGCCAGCCTTCTTACCTTAGCCCAGGCGCTACTGTATCTGATCACCACTTCCCATCTCGCTCCTCCCTGTGACATTCACCGTTATGCCAGGCAGGATCTGGGGATTGCCCGGTTTGGACTTTGGGCGCACCTCTTCCCCTCCTTTGGAACCTGTGAAGACCAAAACAAATTCCACACCAACCAGTCTTGAAGTGCGAAGGCCATCCAACAGCATGGAGCACTTTAAGCGGCCCACCCTGAATCTGGCCAAGAAGCACGGCTCGGACAAGAAGGAGAAAAAAGATCGATCCGTGTCGAAAGACAAGCACGCCGCTGCACGACCGCCCGCGCAGCCAAAGCCGATCAAGATGGATTTGCTCATGGAGTCGCCACCCATTCTCATGCTCGATCCCGCAAACGTATCTTCTGGCGCCTTGATTTCTGGTCGCCTCCAAGTTACCCCACTAGCGGAGGAGTCCATTCTCGAGAGCATCACAATGTTTCTTGAATGCACCACAACGACTAAACGGCCCGTCCAGGAACGGTGTCGCGAGTGCATGACCCAAGTTAAGGATTTGTACGAATGGAAGTTCCTTGCCAAACCAAAGTTCTTTACTGCCGAGGAAGGCGTGCAAGAGCTACCATTTTCGCACCTCATCCCGGGACATCTCCCTGCAACGACACACGGGACCATTGGATCGATCGACTACTCGCTCCACGTACGAGCTCGTTCGTCCGATGGTCAGGAAGTTGAGTTCCGCCGGAATTTGGTTATCAACCGAGCTCTCCGCGCCGGCAATGAGAAGAGCAGCATCCGTGTATTCCCACCTACGAACCTCTCTCTGCACGTTACAATGCCCAACGTTGTCCACCCTATCGGCGAATTTCCAGTCACTTGCCGCATGACGGGAATCACCACCAAGCGTGAAGACACACAGACTCGCTGGAAGCTCAGAAAACTCACATGGCGCGTAGAAGAGCAGGAAACTGCCATCTCTCCAGCCTGCCCTGCCCACACAGCCAAAGTAGGAGGCGAAGGAAAGGGCGTTCAACACGAACACACGCGAGATATTGGAATGGACGAGGTGAAAAGCGGCTGGAAGACCGATTATTCCGACGGAGTGGTCGAGGGGGAATTCGTCTGCAGCATGAACCCTTCCAGCAAACCTCAATGTGGCGTGGAATCGCAGAGTGGGTTGAAGATCAAGCACAATCTGATTCTCGAGCTCGTCATTGGCGAGGAGTGGGCTCCCAACAAAAAGCCCGACAGCGCCACTCCAACCGGAGCGGCACGGGTGCTGCGCACGCAGTTCTCTTTGCACGTGACGGAGAGATCGGGTATGGGAATTGCATGGGATGACGAACAGCCACCAATGTATGAGGATGTGCCGGACAGCCCGCCGCATTACCAGAATGAGAGAACGATTGTCATGGACTATGACAGTGCAGACCTGCACGAAGACATTGAGGGCTTAGTCTTGTCACCTTGAGCGAACACTGTCAGAAGCACGTCGATTTAATATGGAGCATGGTCTAGCGAGCGGAGTTTGGAGGCGCGGTAACAAAGATACCCCTATTCTGCGGAAGATTCATAAAAGCATTGGGAGGAATTAATAGCAGATTTGCATGGCGTACAACAGTAGCGAAAATTTATCACTCAACTAAGCTTAGTTTGTTCAGTTGATGCGGCGCTCATTGATCTATAATACCCGCCTTGGTAGAGATGCTGTCATGTCAAGCTCGAGCACGTCTCGTAGTCGAACAGGGATTCCTATGCTGCGAAACGCCGCGCCAACCGCTTGGCCTCTAGTAAGATACGCGAGACGGGGAAGGCGCTCGGATCGATAATACCTTAGGTGGACTGCATCTATGAACTCTAGAATATTCCATGGTGGGGTGATCCGTTATTGTCACCTCTGCTCATTGACACTGCGCGGTGAGAGACAAATCGAGATATGGAGCTACGGAGAGTATGTGGTAGTCAGTCTTAGACGATATCCAAAAACACATGGCCATGAACCCCTCTAATCTCTGTCCTTGGCTCTCTCCTTTTCCCGACTCCGTTCTCTAGGCTTCTCTCGCTCACGATCCCGACTTCGACTGCGATCCCTTCTTGCAGTCGTGTCGCCGCGACCAGGAATATATCGATCGGCGTCAGCGATTCTAGGTCTTTCTTCCCATCGTCGTGGCCGATCTCTTTCCCTCGTTCGATCCCGGTCACGGTCACGATCACGGTCCCGATCTCTATCCCGCTCACGACTACGACTGCGCTCACGAGGTCGATCCGCTTCACTGTCCTTTCTCGTCGTAGATGCGGTGGCTGCAGGAGCCGCAGTAGTAGCACCTCCAGGAACCCAGCGGTCAATTCCGGGTGGACTCCGGCTTCGATCGCGACCCACCCTGTCTCTGTCGCGTCTCCGCGGAGGACTCGGATCACGATCTCTGAATCTTCGTGGTGGTGAGCGCGAGCGAGAGCGATAGCTCCGGCGAGGTGGACTTCGGCTATCATCGCGACGACGAGGCGCACGACTTTTATCGCGACGAGGAGCCCTGCTATCGTCACGTCGAGGCGGACGACTGTCACGCCGTGGTGGGCGATAGGTGCCTCTGCTGTCGTCTCGGGGAGGACGCTCGACAACTTCGCCTTCTTCGCCTCTGCTACGGGCACGAGAACGCGCTCTGCCTCCTCTCTCCCTCTCCCTCTCCCGCTCTCGAGGCCTATCGCGGTCTCCACCGCCCAGGCGAGATTTCCATGCTTCTCGCTCAGTGCTGATGTCACGGTAAAGGTGGTCTCGTCGGTCTCGGGGATCACGGCGGTCATCAGGTGAGCGCGCCAGTCTCCTGCTGCTGCTATATGCAGAACGAGCAGGCGATGGTGACCTAGCGCGCGACGGCCGGCGGCGTGAGTCGGCGGCGGCGGGGCCAGTTGGCGCGGAAGCAAGAGGGTCGGGCTTCTTCAGTGTCAAAGAAGTTGGCAGCAGTCCTTGGACACGCATCTGGTCTTTGCCCTGGCTGGCTCGTGGTCCTGTCGGGTGTCGAGATGTTCGCGGCGGCGGCTCCATGCTCTCACTTCGCTCCAGCTCTGGACGGCGTGCTCTTTCTGCCATGGCCTCGCCTTCTCGCAACAGCAGATCCAAAGCCTCCTGCTCTAATCGCTTCTGCTCACGCTCCGCCCTCTCCTTTGCTCGTTTGTCACGCTCCTCCTGCAGTGCTTTTTCCCGTTCCTCGAGCTCTTTCTTTTGCTTCTCCCGGTCCTCATTGAATTTCTGGATCCGCTCGCGTTCACGCTCCTTCTCCGCTGTCTTCCACGCTTCTCGCTCTGCCCGCCGTTTCTGCTCCCGCTGCAGGCGCTCCGTCTCCTTTTGGAGTGCCTCCTGCTTCTTCCGTAATCCATCAAGCTCCTTCTTTTTCCGTTCCGCAGCCTCTTGTCGCTTCTTTTTCTTCTCATCATCGATGTGCTTCTGAGCACGATCTCGCCGGCGTTGCTCAGCCTCGATCGCATACTGCTCCTCGCTTCTCGTGCCCCGCTTAAGCTCATCTTCTGCAGCCTCATCGCCTATTTCCTTCCTTCGAATGTCACGCAGTGCTTGCTCGGCACTCGATACGTACTGGTCAATGTAGGCATCGATGTCCTTTTCAGTCTTTCCATACACGTCGGCCCGCGCGGCTGCGCCTTCTAGCAAGGCAGCGGCAATGCGACGATCCGGCTTGAGGTATTTCATGGAATCGCGCTYAATCTCGTTTGTGGTGAACGTGCGTAGTGAAGCCTCGAACATGCCGCGCTGAGCGCTCTCGTTGTATTGTTGAAATGCTTTTTTGCGCAACGCGTCGAACTCGCCCTTTTTCTTGAACGTGTGTAGCATGCCATCGATTGAGGCGCGTTGTGTCGAGGACAGAGGCAACTCCGAGACCTTTGGTTTCTTGCGCGGTGGTAACTCGAATTCGCCTGTGCCGGACATGGCGACATCGAGAGATGCCATGATTTCGACGTTTGTGGAGAGCATCAAGATGGAGATGGAAGGTGGAAGGTCGCGTGAGGATAATGAAGCTGATGACGGTCCGTCCCATCAATTTTGGTTGCGAGTGTCACGAGCTTGTATTGGAAGGCATCTCGCTGACTTAGACAAGAACCACTCAAGACATTGAACCTGAGATCGCCTTGTCCGCACTCTCGCACTTCTGACCACTTCACACCTGACCGAGCGCGTGATCAGTGTCCAACACACGCTTCCACGTATCGCGTGCACCTTCCCATAATACAGGGCAGGATCCCTTGGACACCGCGCGCATATCCTACCGAATCCAGCACGCATCTACCCACACAACACCGCCAACATGGTCAACAAGATTCTGTTCTGGTCAGGCTTCGGTATGCGAGCTATCATTCGCGATGGATTTATGTAGTCCCGACAAACTAACGCCGTATAGGCATGGCTGTGCGATTCTGGCAGCTCGGCATTGAAATGCGACCCTTCTTCCAGCGCGAGAACTGGATCATTTACCCCATATACGGCAGTCTCGGTGCGTCATTTGGCTACTGGCTGCAAGGAGTGGAGGATAAGCAGATGCGATATCTTGGAGAGACACGACAGAGGTTGATTGAGAAGCGGCAACGGCGTGCGGAGAGGGAGGGTGGATTGAATGCTGGTTCCGATGCGCAGAAGAATGGAGATGGGCTATTCGCAACTCAGGCGGCAAGCGAGAGGGCTTCAGCGTAGAGGGCAATTTGGTGCTGGTGTGAGAGGGATRAAGGACAGGAGGTGGAGAGGACGGATTGGTGCAATGATGATGGTGGCTATGAACGTTGCGGAATGTCCTCGAACAGCATCTCCGACCTCTGTAGCATGTATGTCACGCGCGTGTAATGCTCATTGAGACGGTCTCATACTGCGATATGAGTCTACACCACTCGAAGCCTGTATATACGTGCGGTAACTCTCTAAAATGGACATGCCGTCAGAGCCCGCCCCTTCACTCGTCGCTTCCACTTAAAACGTCTTCTGGAAGTGAAAAATGCATGCCTCAACTTGTAGTTGTAGCTAGACGGACATTACAGAATGACGACGACGAGCACTGCTCAGGACTTCGCCAATGGCTTCCAAGCGTCGTCACTCAGAGGTCCCGCTGCTACTGCCCCTACCACGCCAAATCCTCCGCGTTCCCCGGCTCTCCCTGCGTCACCTCGCAACGGCATCGTCGTCTTCTCCGGAGGCAGCGCGGCTAACAACCTTGTCGATGTCTTCAACCACGTCCGAGAGGCAAATAATACGACTCTCGCCTATGCAATTCCAATATCCGACAATGGGGGCTCATCCAGCGAGCTTATTCGTGTCTTCGGCGGGCCAGGTAAGACAGAGCCCAGCAACGATCGCGTCCTACCATTTCTAATACCACCTTTCAGGCATCGGAGACGTGAGATCCCGCCTTGTCAGGTTGATTCCACAAGATGGAGAAGAGGCGAGGGCGATGAGGCATTTCTTCAACCATCGCCTGCCCAAGTCATATGCACCTGCGAGAGCAGAATGGCTTGACCTGGTCGAGGCCATCCATCCACTCTGGACAGGCATTTCCTCGCCAAAGAGAGAGCTGATACGCAGCTTTCTAAACTTCATCAACCTGGAGATGGTCAAGCGTTCAAGGCCGACAAGTCGGTTTGATTTCTCAGGAGCAAGCATCGGCAACCTTTTTCTGACGGGGTAAGGTTCGGATTCTCTTCTGTAAGCCCACGCTAACATATGACAGTGCTCGTCTCTTCACGGGATCCTTCGAAGCGGCCATCGAACTTGTCTCGAGCATTTGCAACATTCCCACCACAACATCCATCCTTCCCGTTTTGAACACAAACTTCGCTCATCACATTGCAGCCGGTCTGGCTGATGGCACAGTCATCATAGGCCAGAACGACATCTCACATCCAAGTGCACCTGCCGCTTCAGCCAAACTTCAGGTGCTCGGGCAAACGGGGCCTGACGATGATGAACACGACAAGATTGAAGATGCAAACATGCCTGGGACACTCCTCACCCTTCGTAAGCCAGCCTTGGACTTTWCCAAGACGGAGGAAGAGCCCCTTCCTTCCAGGATTGAGAGACTGTGGTACATCAATCCCTACGGACAGGAGATCAAGATACCTGCCAATCCGCGAGTACTAGATGCATTGAGATCTTCGTCGGTGGTGATTTACAGTATAGGCTCTCTATTCACCTCCATCATACCCTCGTTGGTCCTCAAAGGCGTCGGTGACACCATTGCATCACCTTTCATCAGAAGTAAGATACTGATCTTGAATGGGACACTCGACCGCGAGACTGGACCTCCTGAGCACTCCTATACGGCCATGGACTTTGTCGCTGCGATAGCGAACGCTTGTTGCGAGAGTCAAGGGTTACCACGGCCTCAAATGAGCGAGTATTGGGCGTACGTGACCCATGTCGTTCACATTGACGGGCCAACCTCGCCGAAGATGGATCGAAATGCTTTCCTCGGTATTGGGATTGAGACCATGCGGGTATATGGCCAAAGCGGAAAGGGAGGGAGGTACGAAGCAAAAGCCCTGACGCAGGCGCTGGAAGCTATCATAGGAAGAAAAGATCCACGAGGAGACAAGACGCGAAGGAATACGGTTGTGACCTAATATCTGCTTCCGCTACAATGCTTCTGTCTCGATGCCAGGGAGTTCTGTGTGGGAATTACGCGTCTGCAGAGAGCCAGCTTCTTTTCCCACACGGCCAATGTTCTGAGCTTGCATGCCCGTAGTGGACTCCAGAACAACCTTGGAAGCGGCTGGCTGCATCGGTCCTTCTCCGGCGGCGTTTGGTAAGTTAGTAGGAGCGGCCCCGCAGAAACAGGCAGTTGCCCCGCCGAGCTCTCAAAGTTCAAACCTGGGGAGGGCAACTCACGGTGAAATTTCCGTGCAATTGGTAGGTATTTGGAGTGATCGGAATTCATCAAGTTCAAGTACCTACTCGCAACACACTTTCCACCATGGCTTCCCCCAAGATCTTCAACGTTGCCGTAGTAAGTGTTTCTTCTTGCTTAGCACTTGAGATGTTTTGTCTCAGGGATGCTGCTCTACACAATCATAGCACAGTTCTCCGCCATCGACAGTACGATCTAACGGTAACGCCAGGTCGGTTACGGCTTGTCCGCGAAAGTCTTCCATATCCCATTGATTCTCGCCCTTCCAGAGAGTTTCAAACTGTATGGCGTCGTCCAACGCTCGCCCAAAACTGACGATGATGCCTCCAAAGATCACGCTGGAATCATGAGCTGGAGATCCGTGGATGAAGTTTACGCGGATCCAAAAGTTGATGTTGTGATCATCACCTCAATCCCAGAGACGCATTTCGATATGTGCAAAAAGTCCCTGGAAGCAGGGAAGAACGTTGTGGTTGAGAAACCTTTTGTCCCGACCTCGGAAGAGGCCACTTCCTTGATTGAGATTGCAAAGAAGAGTGGGAAAGTTCTCACAGTCTACCAGAACCGTCGCTGGGACGCGGACTTTGTAACTCTCCGTAAAATCATKAGCGAAGGTCACCTGGGCGAGATATCGGAATTTGAGACTCATTTTGATCGTCACAGGCCCAACGCACCAGCTGAGAGCTGGAAGATTGTTGATAAGCCTGCTCATGGGAGTCTATATGATCTGGGTAGTCATCTTGTTGATCAGGTGTACTCCACATTTGGCAAACCACAGAAGATTACTGGATTCATTGGTATCTCAAGAAAAGGGGTCAGCGAAGGCGCGGAAGACTCTCACACAGTGCTCTTGCATTATGAGAAGATGCTGGTCACTGTAAAGTCGGCTGTTATCAGTCCTGAGGAGGAGYAGCTGAGATTTTGGGTCAGAGGAACGAAAGGCAGCTTCAAGAAGGTCAGTCCCAGCAGCAACCCAAATCATCTGAAGACAGCACTTACAATTGAAATAGTTCCACCTCGATCCTCAAGAAGATCAGCTCCGGCTACATGGCATTACTCCTGGCCATAATCAGTTTGGCATCGAGCCTGAGTCTCATCACGGCGCTCTCACCACTGTTGAATATGAGAAGGCCAAACCCATTCGCAAGACGTATCCCACCATCACACCTCCCCCCACATATGTAGAGTACTACCGCGTTCTCGCGAAAACTCTGCGCGGTGAGGGACCCGTTCCCGTAGCGGCTGAAGATGCTCGCGATGTTCTGCGTATCCTCGAGCAAGCGGTGCTGAGCTCGAAGGAAGAGAGGACTGTTGTAGCTTAGGCTGGAGTCGAGATTCTCTCGCGGATCTCATCAGCTACTTATCCAATCATCGATAACTCTATGAGATCATGCTTCCGTGGCTTTTCGAAAGTGGCATCTGAGGCAGGTCCACCGCGAAAGACCTTTGGCCTTGCCTTGTGAATCGTACATGCCCGCTGGTGCCCGTTGCTCACATCCTTTCTTCCCGGCTACTACTTCTCACAAACGACACACCCGTACTTCTCATCAACAACATATCCTTAAAGCCGGTATTGATATCATTTCATCATGGCCGCGAGCACCGATGACTCCACTTCAGCGAGCTCCACAGCATACTTCTCGATCTTGAGAGAGGACCATCGACTGCTGAGTAAATACTCACATGAAATCCTTTTCTGATCTTTGCTGAACAGTAATATCAGGCCTTGCTCCCGAGGTCCTCGAGGGCTTGCTGGCTGCACAGCCCGGCATCAATGCTGCTGAAGTCCTATTCAAAGAGATGGAGTTTTTCTGCGATCAGGTGGACAACAGAAATGGCTTTTCTCGCTACAGGATTAACATGAACTACGTGGACCGACCGATTCCGGAGCGATTTCACCTGGACGCCGAAGTGCTGGCCTCATTTCCTGGCGGGACGCTCATGGCGGTGGAGTTACTCACGAAGAGATTCTTCCACTCGGCCTTCATTTTCCGTGGCGTGACCCAATATGCACACAATGGCTTAAGGTTGCCTCCTGGATTCGTGAAGCACCGCAACAGATTCGACCAGTCGCTTGAGCAGATAATCCTCCGTCATCTCAAAGACAATAGGTATGCCTGGGTCGGTAGGGAAGAGATCATGATAAAGGTCAAGGCTTGCCGGGTGCCCGAAAATCTCGCCAGATACAAAGTTGAGCACCCTGAACGAACCAGAGGTGTCCAGTTMTTGCTCCGCAAAGACGTTTTCCCACAGAGCGTGCACTTGCTGAAAGAATTGCACTCGCGAGAGTATGCAGAAATTGTGGTGGAATTCGTTGCAGACCATACGCTCCCAGACTTCCCGCAGGAGCTGAGATACATGATCCAGGAATTGCTCTACTCCAAGAGCTTCTTGGTTTCAAAGGGCGTTTGGCGAAACGACGTTCGGCGAAAGGGAGCAAGATAGGAGAAGACGCGGGGTTCGAGATGTGTGCTACACCTGTACTGTAGCTGGAAGAGAGACCGGCAATCTCAATTGAAGAAATTGCTCCGCGTGGCTTTGTCCTTCGATATACTCACTGGGAGCCTGGAGCGTGCTATGGTCCGTAGATTGCAAGAGAGACTCCAATCAATCTTCACCATCCATCAGCTCGGCCAACTCTGCCTCTTCTTCCGCAGTCAGCATTCCCTCCTTCTTTTCGTTGCTCTCATCCTTGACCATGCCGTTCATTTCTTGCTCCCGCTCTTCAACGAACTTTGCCATCTCCACTCTCTCCAAACTCCACTGCCTTACTGTTCCGTCGATTCCAACACTCACAACACCTCTTCCACCCACAGCTGGTACCAATGCAGTGACTTCTTCGTAATGGCCACTGTAAGTGCAGACACACTTCCCACTCGCAACATCCCAGACCCGTACCTCCTCATCCCGACATGCCGTGACCACAAGTCCCAAATCCTCAAAAGGCAGCACGTCTCGTACAAAGTCTGGATGTTGAAGAGTCGTATCCGCCTCCCAATCCCGATCCCGAACAAGATACTTGGCAGTGAAATCTGCCGAAGCGGTCCACAAGCCCGAACCGTCGGCATCCCAATGCAGAGCATAGATGGAAGTCTCATGCGGACGTATGGGACCTGAAAGAGACTCTGACAGCTCGTGGGCAGAGTCAAGGCTAATGTGCCAACGTCTAATCTCTCGATCTGAGCTCGCGCTGAAGAGAGTGAAGCTGTCCGATTCTTGGGATAGAGGATCAATGGTCAAGTGTTGTAAGGCTTTGGTATGGCCTTTGAGTTTGTGGAGTTGTTTGCCTGTGGTGGGATCCCAGACTATAATGTTTGCATCTGCGCCGCCGGAGATGAGGATGGGTTTGCCGGCTAGTGAGGCAGGGAGGAGAGTCTTGATGAAATCTGAGTGACCTGTGAGTTTCTGTACTTCTGATGGTTTGTCCAGTGGAATGCAGTAGATTGTCTTGTCCCAAGAGCCGGTGAAGAGGGTTTTGGTTATAGGGCAGATTGCAAGGCTGGTCAGGGGTGCGGCGCTTCCGTTGAAGATACGTTCTACTTTGCCGGCCTATGGTAGTTATAATATCAGTACGATTCGAGATATTTGGGAGTTGATGGCCTGGTCATACCTCGAGCTTGACTCGCTTCACTTCCCCTGCTGCTTCTGCAACAAACACGGTCGGTATCGCTGTGCTGCCGAATATATCTGCGTGTGCTGCAAGGACTTTTGACGAGATCTTGATTGGTTTTCCGTGCTTGTTCTTTGCTTTGGCCTCTTTTCGGGAAGTCGTTTCCAGAGCAGCAGATGTCTGAAAGAAGTGACCGGCATCGTTGGACTTTGACATTTTGCAACGTGTAGGTAGTACTTTGTGTTTGCGGATATCGCCTCGTCTGGGAGATCGATCAAACAATCTCTCACACACTCAGCTCGCAGCTTTCAGTCGTGTTTCTGGCTATTTGTCGGCGTTGAATTGTGTGTATCCGGAATATAGCTCCCAATTTGATGATTGATGTTGATCTGAGGTCAATTGATGCGCTTTTGAGTTCGTCTTTTCTCGGCTTTGAGAAAGATAAAAATTAAGGAGCTCTAGATGTACTAACGTTTCAAAACCTTAAATCCGAAATCCTAATACCTATCCCTATTCGCACTATATTCGTCGTACTACTCGCGACAAATACTAGGTAGTTATACTTAATATAAGTAAGTATATACTAAAAGGGCTTCTTAGTATTATCTTCGGTTAGATAGCTAATTCGTATAATGCTTATAGAGATATCGTCTAATTAATACGTTATAAAGCTAGTTTAGAACGACCGTATATTAAATATCGTACGAACGCGAACGTCTATACGAATAAGACTCGAATACCGTAAGGGTAGAATATATTAAGAGGTATCTATCGTATAATATTAAATAAATACGTAGGGCGGAAGCGGTCTTTAACGATTAAAGGGCGTAGCGAGTAGATAGTACCGAATATATAGCAAATATATAGCAAATATATATATACGCCTAATACCGTATTAGCGAGCTATATACTAAAGTAGTATATATATATAAGGACTCTTTTCTTTATCTAAAACCCTCTTCCTTATACCCCCGGTTATAAGAGTATAATCCGGTTACGGTTAGAGGCTAGTAGAGGGGGGGCTTTACTAGTTCGGTAGCTATACGCTATAGGCTAGAGAGGCGTATATTATAATAAAGTAATTAATAGCGAGAAATAAATAGGGCGCTAGTAGCGAGCGACTATATAGTACTATACGAATTAAGTAGCCTTCCCCTAGCGAAGATTTATTAATAACGGCTTAATAGCGCGAGTCTTCTACTTCTTCCTCTTCGGTAGCGACGGTAATACCTCCGCCTTTACTACTACCGCTATAGCTTTATTATTAAGCCCTTTAATATTATTAAGCCCTTTAATATTACTAAGCCCTTTAATATTAAATCCTTTAATATTATTAAGCCCTCTAATATCTACTAATACTTAAATATTATTACTTAGGGGGTCTTCCTCCTCGTTCTTAATCGTATTTACTACGGTACTCGTAGGACTAGTCGTAGTAAGATCGAGTAGCTCTAGTAGTCGTAAAGAATTAAGGATGCGTGTTTGCTATAAGCCCTTCTTAACTAGACAAAGTTTAAATAGTAGCCCTAGCTCTAGCTTAATCGGAGTAGAATTCGTAGTAGTATTCGTAGTAGTATTCGAAGTAGCATTCGGCTTATAAAACTTCTTTACTAGACTCGATGCCGGAGTGTCCTCTACGCCTCTTAAAGGCGGTAACTTTTTCGCCGTATCTTCGTAGCCTTTTAAAGTACTACTTATCTAAAACATAGCGATAACGAACTCGTACTATATTACCTATCCCTTCGGCTTTAACGAAGTAAATAGTAATAGCTTCTTATTTAGCGAGTCCTCCGCGAGTATAGATTTACTAATAAAWAACGGTATATTAGTCTCTAAGTCGAAGCTAGTAATAAGACGTATATTATAGAAGTCTACTACGTTTCGAAGGCCTCCTATTATAGAGCTTATACGGTTAAGTAAGAACTTAAGTAGGCTCTATCTACTTTTATTAAAGCGATCCTCCGTCTAACTATCCCTTACCTCGTAAATAGCTATAAGATCTTTATATTACCTTCCGCCGCCCCTAGCTACCTTAATATATTAAGTAAACACTTTCGTAGTTAACTATATTTACGTACTATTCGTTAGTAGCTTTAGCTTACGCTTCGAAGGTAAGGAGCTAGTAATACTAGAGGAGCTAGTCGATAGTAGCCTTACTAATAACGGACGGCTACTAGCGGAGTATTAACTATAAATAAGAGCTAACGGCATCCGGTATTATTTAGCTACGTTTGGTAGAGAATTAAAAGTAGTATACGTACGAGCGGTACCCCTTACTATAGTCGTAGGTATAATCGTAGCTATACTCGGGCCTAACGGTACGGCCGTAGAAGCTCTCTCTATACGCCTAAGATTAWCCGCGTTTAGATAAAGGGCATTAAGCGTAGTCGCTATATATCGCTTTATAGTTTATACTAGAGTTCGGATAGAACTTTCCCTATATTAGCATTTTCTAGCTCCTCCTTATACGTTTAGTCGTATACGTATTCGTAGGTATAGTTAACGGTAGGTAGGGGTTTAGTTCGAGATACGAGGGAAAAGTCCTATATAGTAGATCTCGGAGCTAACTATAGATATAACTATATACTATGCTTAGTAGCAATTTATAGTTTAATAGTTACCGTTAGTAGTAAGGGTAGGAAATTATTATTAGCATTATTAGAGTAGAATAGCGAATTAAAAGCTATAATCCGAGTCGTAGCGCAAATGCTATACGAATAGGCTTTTTAAGTTTTATACGGGGTATTTACGGTAATAATAAATAAGGCCGTATCCCCGTAAAGCGCGCTATTATATACTACGTACTACTATATACCGCGTACTACGCTATAACGAAATAGACGAAATAGATAAGGTTATCGTAAATACGGGGGGCCGTCCGCTTCTTAAAGTAGACGATATACGCCTATTTATAGAACTATGCGTTTATACTAGTATTTAAGTATAGCGAATTATTAACGACTTACGTACTACTTATAACCTCGAGCTCTCGCGTACTATACTCTAAAGGCGTATATAGTCGTAAGGTATTCGCGTATACCGATCCCCTATATAGAATATACCGCTACTACGATAACGCATTATATACGCCTTTTACGTTCTTCGCCTTACCGATAAGGATATCTATACTATACTTTTAATCGATAGCTTTAACGTAGGCCCTCGAGCGCTTACGAAGATACGTAAGGATATAGGCCTATATAAAAGGATTAAAGCCGAGAATTAGCTATTAGCTAAGGCCGAGATATATATTATACTATAAGATAAGTGTTAGGGAATAGCCTACGGTACCGCTATAGTACCGTAAGGGTACGATATAAGGACTATAGAGGTACGCCGACGTCGGCGCCTTAGCGAAAGTCCTATACTTAGCTATCTCTACCTCTATAGATTCCTTTCTCTCTCTAGGCAATATCGTATATTATAAATTAACTACTATATTAAGACTACCTGTTTATATACTCCCTTATAATAAGCTAGATAAGAGGGATATCTTAAACTTTAGACGGCGGATACTTTACGAAGACATTCGTAGCTACTATAATATTATTAGTCGTAATAGGCTCTATAAAGTATTAGAAGTTCTTAATCTTAAAGGGGTATAAGAGCGGCGAATAAGGTAGCGACTATACGCGAGTACCCTATTAATAGTAAAGGGGCTAAACTACGTATAGTCGATAGATACCTATTATAAGCTAGAGTACTTTAGTATTTAAGTATACGGCGCCGTTAATATGTTTTCTAGGAAAGTTACTTAGATATACGTTAGTATTACCGGCCGTACGTAGTTATCTATCTAGGCCTAATATATTAAAACTACGGAAGTATTAGGAATAATATATATAATAAACAAAGCTACGAGTAGACTACGAGTAGCTACTAATGCTTTTTCGGCTACTCTTAGACCTATAATTCTTTAGACTAATCGAGGCGCCGAGACTCGCTATATTACGGATATACATCTTTCTCTCTAGCGAGCGACGTATATAGGCCTAAAGGTAGGTTTTTAGCGAATAGCTACTCGAATATATAGCAAATAAATAACCGTAACTATAAGGGTGTAAAAATGTAGCAATGTATCGACTACCTTCGATTACTCGATTAGAGATAAGACTAATTCTTATAGGTCGATAATACGCGGTKCGCGAGGAAGTAGGAGTCGCTTCGCCTACGCTAAGCCGGCTTCGCGGAAGCTTTCCTATTCCTCCTTTAACGTAGCTATACGCTACGGTTAACCTTAGTCTATAACTGCTTATAAGGTAGGCTTTACCTAGCCCTTATAGTAACTTTAGGAGCTATCTTTCGAGAGCTACTTTCGCTACGGAACTAGTAAAATAAACTAGCGTATCGAGTCTTAGTAGGGAAAGTTAAAGGCTAGTATAAACTAGTAGCGTAACTACTTTATAGAGCTCTATAATAGGAGCTTGTTTATAAAGGGAAATAAGAGTAATCGTATTACGCTACTCTTTATATATATACTAATTATGCGCTATATTATAGCGTACTTTATAGTCCTTTAGAATAATTACTATATCTAGAAGTAGAACAATCGACCGTATACTATTAGTAGTAACGTCTATATACTTTATTACTACCTAGAGCTATCCGGTGCGTTTACTTAATAGGGGATTAAACTACCGCTAGAGCTACTACTACTAATACACGAAAATGTCCGTAGCTTTAATATAGATAAGTTCCTTCTACCGGAGACGATAGATTAGTATTACTAAACCTATATAGAGTTTATCGATTATAATAGCGAGGTTTCTAGTTTAGCGGTTAATTAGAATAACGATCGAGTGCATATTATAGCCTATTAATACCTACGAATAGTACTACGAACGTACTTTAGTAATAGGTTCGATTTAAGAGAGAGCTAAAAGCCCCTTATAACTACTTACTAGCGACCGGATCTATATAACGAATAGATACGCGAGTAAGGTAATAAGAATAAGTTCGAGGGGCTACCGCTATTTAATAAGGGGCTACTTATACTATAAGAGGGTAGTAGAGTTAATTTTTTTAAGAAGCAATAACCGTAAGTAGATAATAAGGTATAAGGGCCGTATAAGAGCCCTTGCAATAACAGGATTAATAGAGGTAGCTAGATTAACTAACCTTAGAGAAGGGAGTGTAATATAACCTAACTACTTAGCGTAGGCTTAGCGCATATATAACTCCTACGCACAGCGCATATTTAACCTATAAGAATTAGT